GTAATAAATGAAGACTAGCTATGTTTTTATCAGATGCAACCATGCTCATGTACTATAGCAGCCATCTTGTTTAAGTTTTTTTTCATGGGAAGCCACTCTATTTTACAAATGGCTGCTGTTTATATAGCAAATCTTGGATGCAAACACTGCTGTTTAAAGTTAATTTCTGGCCTATATTGATATATTTAGCCATTGATTTTGGTTTATTATTCAGTTATCTATAATATTTGACACAAATATATTACAACATACTTCTATTAAAGCCTTGACAACTTTTTCGTAGCCGTGGCCGATTTTAAGTACCTAAAGCAATAGATTACCAAATTTGGTATTTTATCGTTTAAATGTTTCGATAAGAAAAGTAGCTGCCATTTACTGCCGATACTGAAAGCGACATAACAATGATACTGAATATTGTCATTTAGTACTGAATCATCATTTAGTTTTCGAAAACAGCCCCATCATTATGACTCCCGACATATAGGCTCCTGCCATTTAGTTTCTCCTCAAAATGGCCCCTGTCATTAAGACTCCCAACAAATAGGCTCCTGTCAGTTAGGCTCCCGTCAAAAGGACCGCTGACAATACGGTTTCAGTAGAGTCTCCTGGCAAAATTATCTAATTGAATATGACACCTGCCAGTGGAACCCCTCCATCAATATTCTTTAGAGCTAGCTTATCCAACACTCTTAAGTAATACAACTTATGCATCTCTTGTTCGGCAGGCCTTATTTTTATAATAGTTTATCTATTAGGCCTATAAGAAATAGTATGTTTTAATTTAAGGGTCATCTGTCTATGACTTCCGTAAATTAGGCGGTTCTAGGCTGTTCCAACTCAGTGTGTGGGAAGAGAGGTCCATGTTGTACATTCCTACCTGCAGTATGCTTGTAGGTTATCAAAACAAAATGCTCTTATCCTGTAAACATCATGTATATCATACATTTACACTTCTGTACACTTAAGCAACATTTACATTTAAGCAACAGATCTTTACTGTTGTAAATTAAACATTATCAAAATTTTAGAATTGGTGGAATTTAGCTCGATTTGTTTGTGAATTGATGTTGGTTCATGAAAAACAATTTCATTCAGGCATTTAAAAGAGGTTATAGTGGTAGTGGAGGTAGGACAATATTGTCACTTTTATGCTAATAGTGGTCATACAATTCATTTGTCTGGAGCCAATATGTCCTGGGCCTATAAGTTTGGTCGATTTGACGGCGTCTTATTAACAGGGCGGATTTGTCTAGGGCCATTTTGACAGTGCACCAAGCTGAGCAAATCACAACACATGTAAGATAGTGATTAACTGCAAAGGCATTGGGAATTTAGAAGCAATGTTTTAACTATCGATAAATTATAAATTATACAAACAATCGATTTCACGGTATAAATGCTTGTAATATATACTTTGTTCCTTTAAAATTAAAAGACTTCATTTTAAATGGACCAAGTTTACCATGTTTGCAAATTAATGCAAGCAAAGCACAAGTGCTTGCTGATTTGTAAAATTTTGAACAGAAATAAATTTTACATTAGCAAGCTTGTAAATCACTAAAGGCAGATTATCTTGAATTCTATATGTAGGAATACAATATACAAAAGAAACATTATTACAGTAGAAGGGTTGCAGAGTAATATGGTTCATTTTTTTTTTCTATGTCAAATAGTTAGGCCCAACTGAATTGAAATTGGGTCTCCTGGATTTTTTTTCTTTTTTGTTAAGTGTGCGCAAACTGTAAGTTACATCTAGATGTGTAATCAATATATTAACTATTTAACAAAGTGGTAAAATACCTTAAAAACATATAAATTTATTGTTTATAACAATTAGATCTCGATTTACAGGAGTATTTATGCTATTACCGGCCCGCTATCTGACATTAAACTCTTTTGAAAATATCACACATACCCCCAATTTCATGTAGCTATAGATCTGGAGAGATTTGCTATTATTTTTAGCTTAAGGAAATTTATTTTCGTTGCTAAATGTGTCTTTGATTGTTGCAGGAAATAGTAGCAATTTGTTACATAATGTAAAAGTGTACTATATTTTTATTCTTTTATTGTTCCTTTAAACATTATTTGATTGCATATTTTATATGTAAACAAATTAATTATTTTTATTTATTCTTTCAATGCAAGTTCATTGACTAATCCGGGCTGACATAAAAAAAAATATATTTCATGATCTTATAAAAGAAATGAGTTTTAATTTAACCCAGCCAAAAAGTGGGGGAAAAGTATTAAAAACATACCAACAAACAACCAGATTTATAACTAATATTTAAAACAGTAAATCTCTTTGGGTGTTTAATATGGTGTTTTATTAAAACATGTATTAATTTTGGTGTATATTTTTAGAGTGCTATACAAATGTTATAATATGGGTGGGTTGGTTTGTGTTGTGCAGTGCAGACTGTTTTACAACAGAAAACTGGGTAAACTGGGTCATCGAGTCCCATTTCAGTTGATCACATGTGAGCAGAGAAATATGCACAATACATCATGGTTACAAGCATAATCTAAGTAACCATACTTAGTAAACTAAAGTATGTAGGCTTAGACTGATATTATGATTTATTAAGCCTGCTAAATATTTGTAAATTTATAAATTATGATTAATGAAAATAATTAGTAAGAATCAACAACAAATTTTGTCTAATTTGAAAGCCTATTAAATGAGTAAATGTAACTTCACTAGTACCAGGGGTTAATCTCTGTCATTGTTTGGTATTTTATAGAAATACTAAATTCAAATCGTCCTAAAGTGGAGCATAGCTTCAGTCTAATAATTACACTTTTTTTTAAGTACACAGAACCTTACTATTTACAATGCTTCAACCCATTCTTTTACACAGGGTTCGTACGCAGTCTGGAAAGTCTGGAAAAAGTCTTGAATTTCGAAAAGTGAATTTAAGACTTAAAAAAAGTCTGGAAAATCGCTAGTTTTTGGGCAGGATTTTTTAAAAGTCTGGAAAAAGTCTGGAATCTAGTTTTAGAAACAAAACTTCGTAGTCCATATTTTCCAACTTAAAAAATTGCTATTTTAAAGTGAATTTACTCCAATTTTTTTCTCGCGCTATCGCGCGGGTTTACACTATGTTGTGACGTTTTTTCGCTGGTTCGCAGAAAAAATGCTCAGTTACTTAAGTTACTACATCATTGGGAGAAGAGGGGAAGGGAGGGAAGAGATATTTTGTGGCACGACTGACCCTGTGAATGTGTGACAAGTACTTACAATTGTCGTTTAATAAAAGAATGATCGCCGTCATGATTGTTAGGCTCTCGATTTTACCCGCTATTTTTTCATCTTTTTTCATCGTTTGAGTTTGCATGCAGGCAGTCATAACAAAAAGTTATGGTGGAGATGTGTGAGTGGTAGTTTAGATATAATTTATCAGTCTGTAAGGTGTCATCCATTTATGACTTACAACAATTTTTCGGATTTTAGACCTCCCCCTTCCCCGCCCTCTGTCCACACGCGTTCACTTACTTTGGATTAATATTAACATTTATTATATTAATAAGTCGCAAGGCCTCCTTGGGTTCATACCTGTATTTCTGTTTGCTTCAGCTTAACAAAGAGGTACTATTTTTATTTAGGAGTCGTCCATAAATGACGTCACACTCAGGAAAGTCGGGAGGGGGGTTTTATAAAGTGTGACGACCTGCTCTTGCAATAATGTTAGGGCAGATATAAATACTGTGTTTTGTTAACACGCTGTGATGGTTTTTAAAACACCAACACAGTCGTCTTAATTTTACTTTCTACTCGCAAGATACAAGTTTTATGTTTGTTTTAGAATGTAATCACAAAATCTTCTGACCCCTTCCCCCCTCCACGTGTACGTCATAAATGAATGACCCTTTAATTTTAATTCACCTTCCATTAAACTGTTTTTGAAATCTTTGCAAATGCTGACGATTAAAGTTAGACTACCCCGCCCCTCCTTGTAACATCGGTCACTTGTGTGAACTCACCGTGACCCCAAGTGCGTAGTTCGTACCGCTTAGTTAGTAGGGTGGGGGAGGGGGTATAAGTCACAGCAAGTTCATGTTATGACGTATTAAACAAGCATACTGTAGTCTAGACTACTATGACCTCACAGTGACTCCTTCACCATGTTGTGTCTGGGGGGGGGGGGGGGGGAGAAGGATACCGGCAACTTTTTAGCGCAATTTCCATTCTGGAGAATTGCGATTATTAACTCGACATTTCTGGGAATGGATGGATGGATGTCCGCAGCTTTAAGTCGCTTTAAGTCGTATCTCCTCCTCAACGAAGCAATATCGAAGACTAGTTCCAAAAGCAAAAATGTTAAGCAAGTTCCAAGGATGATTGTGGGCCAAAAAAATTCCCGGGTTTCCTTCCTGGTTTTTATTGCAGACCCGTTTCTCAGCTATTACTATAAGCACAAACAGTGAATGATTTTTTTTTTTTTTTGCTCCACATTTTTTTTACAAGTAGCCTATATTTATTTAGGCTACTTAACAAGAGCGGACCTAAATTAATACATTACATTATTATTCTTTAAAGTAATTAACTCTCACTATTATGCAATACCATTTTAATGATAGTTTAATTGAAAACATAAGCAATTAGATCAGGAACAGATTACATAAGTCTAATGTTGGAAACAAAATAGTTGCATCATTTTAATCAATTATTTTAATTGTTAAAATTTTAGGTAGAGTGGAGTAGGCAAACTTAGAAAAAATGTTTTTTTGTCAATTTGGCTAGAGAAAGTTCACTATGAATATAGCTCAATTGCCTAAAATAAATGTCAATTTAGTATAAGTAATTATAATGACAGTACAAATAGTGCATCATTTTAAAAAAATTATTCGCTAACACATTATCTGTCTAAAGTCTGGAATTTTTCAAAAAAAGTCTGGAAAATGTCTGGAAAAAGTCTGGAATTTTATTTTCAAAAAGCAGTACGAACCCTGTTTACAATATTGTTTAGAATGTTTCCTTTTCTGTATAATTTCAGGCTGTTTCATTTATTTTGATTGGGGTTGCTGCCTATTGTAGGGTATCTGCTATTATAACAAGCCTGACTCTAGTGGGGAGTCTGATTGCTTGTGGTGTGTTCCTGTTTCTCATTGCGCTTGTTGGACTTGTTGGAGCTGCTAAACATCATCAAGTTTTGTTATTTTTTGTATCCTTAACTGTTCAAGGTTGTTTTAATTTATGTATGTAGTTACCTAAAAAAGCGTAGAATGGTTGAAAAAAAATGTATGTACATTTCATGAGTACTTCATGAGAGATTTAAATTTCATCATACTTTCATTATCAGTATTTCTGTTTGATTACATTATTTATGAACCATACCTTCTGAATAGACAGCATTAATGTTAGTACATCTGCATAAAAAGCACATTACACTTAATGATTAGGGATGGTTTATGGGAGCAGGACATAACACCCAAACATTTTTCCCATGTCAATTATCCCACTGTACATTGCTCATGTACTTGGCAAGTTGTCGCGTTTAGCAGTCTATAGAATGCATAAGCAAAGTAAGAAATATAATTTATTTTGTATTCTGTTGGCCCATTTTATTCACACTTTAGCATGCTAGGTCTCTTGATTTGCCTTTACATGTATAATAGGTATTTATTAGGGGTACGATTCAATGTCCAAAAATAATCCTGTGTGTACCTTCTTAATTTTCTTAAAAGAAGTTTTATGTGTTCTTTTTTTTTTCTTTTACTTATACTAGATTTTCTAACTGTATTACCATAACCTATTGATTAGCTAACCCGGTGAAATAAATAAGGATCAGGCTGAACAACTTGAAGTGTGTCATAAAGCTATTCATGTGACTAAGTAAAATCAATAGTGTGGTCCTGGTGACATTTAACTTGTGGTGTGTCATTTAACAAAAATCAATCCTTGACATGTGTGTGTATACATGGTCAATTGACCTTTGAATGTTTTACTTAATGACAGTAATCTTCCTACTTTCTTTATATAGTTTTTTAATGTTTGAGCAGATTTTACTATTTTAATGATTAAAGTGTCTAGTTTTACCATTACATCTACAGAACATTCATTTTATATAGGCCTACTCAGTATATTTAAAAGCTTGATTTTTAACACATTTTACTCTTTACTTAGCTACATTCTTGTTTTGAATTTAAAATTTAATTATGGAGTCCCAGCACTGTTTTTTTTTTACTTGTATTTCAAAATTAATTTCAAGACCGATAGTAGGCCTTCTGGTTCAAAAAGTTGAACAAAACTCATTTGTCACTTTTCAAACAATGGACTGCTAAGAGGTTTTTTAGATTGTTTATCAGAAAAAAGATTCCTTGTGATTTGTATTTCTGTTTATCATTAATAGTTTCCTTAATTCATCCTTCAGTATATGATCATCTTGTTTGTTTTGTTTCTACTCCAATTTGCTTTGGCTTGTGCATGTTTGGCAGTAAATGCAGAACAGAAAGATTCCCTGGCCAGACAAGGATGGCAAATGTCAGAACCAATGACCAAAGATGATGTCCAACACCAATTTAATTGTTGTGGTTTTGAAGAGCAGAATCTTAATGTGTCAAACCCCCTAGGTCACCCACCTTGTCAAGCGGTAATTAGCTTTTTAAATATAATTAGTTTTTGTTATACAATTGTCATTACAACCATATTTTTTGCCTTACTATAATTTTCTTTATATCTGTTAGCTTGCAGCTTGTTGTCCTCCAGCCAGTACAGCTCCATGCTGCACTGGAGTCTACTCTTCAGCTGAAGACCTGACTCCATGCCCCTGTGATAAATGTTTGGATAAGCTTCGGCCAATTATCTACAATGCTTTCTCTGCCACTGGTGGTATAGGCTTATTTTTCAGCTTCACCGAGGTAAGTTTACATTGACTGTCCAATAGAAAAACCTCTATTCTCTTTATCTGCTGAGAAGTTATTTGTATCTGTTCTTAATTTGGCTAGCGGTTAGCATTTCCATACATTAAACACCAGCACTTAAGCACCAGGTAGTTATTATTCTGTAACTAAAAACATTAGTCATTTGAACCATTCTTGTTCTGCTGTTTATGTGCTAGTCATATGTCATGCTGGTTTCTTGTGTTTAAATTACTTTACTTAAGATATAATACACTATTTTATTTAACTTAACTTTGGCTTTTTTTTTTATACTGTAACCTTTAGCAGTAGCTATTGTATTGAACTGCTAAGTTGTCATTAAATTATTGTTGTTTTTTTTTAAACTATAACAGCAGAAACAATATTATTTTAGAAATAATTATAACACAAGAGCTTCAACATTTGTTTTCTCAATATTATAAACTTAGTTATGTAAATAATTTAATAGTACATAACTATATTACAACTATCAGTAACATTTTACAATATTGATAAAAAGTAGAGTGGTTAACATTATTATCAGTAATATTAGAGTAGTTTACTAGATATCAGGATTGGGATTTGCCTTGCAAGGAAAGGATTTAACACTCTGGCCACCACATTTCAGATTATTGGTGTGTGGTTGACAATTCGCTACCGCAACCAGAAAGACCCTGCTGCTAACCCCAGTGCTTATCTTTAATCCTAAAATCACTAGCATGTTAAAATGTCACAACGTGTCAGGTATATTCATTTATTTTAAATGCGTTGCCGCACTGGGTATTGGGAGATGCTTTCCAGCTTTGACTATTTTTTATCCCCCTTTTATTTTTAATTTTTAAAGGCTCAATTTCTTTTTTGTGAATGATTTTTATTTCTCTACGTTTTGTATGCTTCTAGATAATTTGCTTTATTTTTTGTTTTTATTTTGCTTTTTTTGTTTTGTTTCGGTCAGGGCGATTAAACATCAGCTGTTTTTTTTTATTGTAATGACTTAACATCAGATTCATTTTATTATTTCTGCATGAGAATAAATTCTTTGGCATCTGACAATTAATTTTTTAAAAGTTTTTATAAACTGTTCATTATTAAATTCCCCTATAGTAATTTATGCTTATTGTTTTTGGTATTAAAAAAAAAACATTGGTCTATCATTTTAAAAATACATTGGTCTATCATTTTAAAAAAACATTGGTCTATCATTTTAAAAACCCATATTGGTCTGTTATTGAAAAAAAAACATATTGGTCTATAATTTTAAAAAAAACTTTGGTCTATCATTTGAAAAAATCCATATTGGTCTATAATTTTAGAAAAAAAGACATATTGGTCTATCATTTAAAAAAACATATTAGTCTATTATTTAAAAACATTTGATGTTTGTTGTGTGATCTTTCTTATTTTTTTGCATCTTGTTTTTACCACTTTATAACAGGAAACAAGACATCATCTAACTCAAAGAAACCAATTTTTTTGTTATCTTTATGTATTTTTTTTCAGACATGTGTAAAATGCAGTATTATTACTATTAACATAAATATTTTTACTTTTTTTTAAAAAAAAAAAAGGGTTTAGTTTAATGAAACTTAACTAAAAATTAGACATTTCTTATAGACAGTGTTAATTTAATCATTGGTTTTAATATGAAGTTCACACAAAGACAAAACTCTTTTTAATCTTTCTTTTTCATTTTCTACCAGATTATAGGCGTGTGGTTGGCCATGAGGTACAGAAACCAAAAAGATCCGCGTGCCAATCCTAGTGCTTTTTTGTAACAATAGTTGAACACCTATTTGTCTTCATCTCTTTGCTGTTGTTTTGGATACTCATCATTGTGACCTTTGTCTCTACTGTTCTTTTATGTAAATGTATCGGAAGTCATCCCACATTTGCCATTGTTTATCTGTTTCAAGTTGCCTGCAGGTTAAAACTTAGTAGGAAAAATATTTTGATAATTTAACTTTTTTTAAAGTTTATTCTTTTAAAAACTTTTTTTTTTAAAGTTAATTCTATCATAAACTTTAAAAGTTACAGGGTAGGTAAGTTTTATGAATTTATGACTGCTCATTTATAGGAGGAAAAAAAAATTTAACATATTTTGTGTGAATCTCACAATGATTTATGTACAGATGTCTTCCATACCATTTATGAATGAAAACCATAATATGCTGTGTGTATTTAACCATTCAGACACTTGACTTGGTTGTTATTTTACTGGTTGGTCTCAGGGCTCTGGTTTACATGAGCATTTGGCTTGCTTTGTTCCTATGTTTACAAGTGATAAGAACTGTACCGGCTCATCCGTGTCTTTGTCTGTACAAAATGACAAGTTGATTTGACAACATGCTAAGTTTACCCGGGCAAGTGTTTTATATGTATTAGATTTGTGTTGCTTCATTTTTTTGTATCCACATGTATTGCTAAGTTATTTTTTTTTAGTTTAAAAAAAATGATATCATAAAACATTTTTTTAAAAATGTATGCATATTACCAGTTACAGCAATAGTGCAATCTTATTTTGTCTAGATTTTTTTAAACCATTTTTTAGTCTTGTGTACATGTTAGGCATAATTAACATTGTGTCCAATTGCTATTATTGCTGCATTACCATTGTTTTTTCTAATGTATTTGTTTAAGAAAGAAACAATTCAGGCAACTATACAAAAAAATTTTTTTTTTGTAGAAAAGAAATTGTGTGCACTATTAATATCTTAATAAAGTAGAAACTTGTGTTTATTAACATCTAGCACAAATCTAATGAAAAATTTTAAAAATCTGAAACTGAAATGTAAATTTGGGATTCTGAATGCTCACTTGACCAAAAATGATATTGCCAGACATTTTCTATGCATAATTATTCCTTTTGACATCTTACAACTTATAGCTTTAAGTTTTTATAAGTTTTTATTTTAATTTATTTATTTTGAGTTGTGTTTGGTAATTTGTAAAAGTATAATGTTATCAGACATTTGACAGATGGTACTTTCATTTCATTTTTTCTTACTGTGTACATAAAAGTCTCATGTTGTTTGCTGGAGTGTGTTATTTTGGTCAAAGCATGTATGTGGCTTCACTTCTTGCACTCATTTGATTTCACTATCCTTTTTTTTTTAAACTGACCACTGTTTTAGCAGGCGCTACTTGTAAAAGCAAGTAAAACTTCTGAGTGGTTAAGGGACATTACTCACACTGTCCCACTTTTTTTTTTACCTGTTTTCTCTTAAGTCTAGTGTAACATTTTGTCAAATTGGTACAAAAGTAATCATCAGTCCTTGGCTTTTACTCAGTTCTCACCCTATAATCTAAGAATAGAAAGATGTGCAACAGTATGGTCTGGTTGGGGTATAGTGATTCATTTTTTTTTTTGTAAATCTGAACTCACATAAGTAATTCACTTCTCATATAATCTTGTGTTTCATATTTGTTTTTATTTTTAAAGGAGTTTCTTTTTTTTAATTGCTTACAGTATTAACAAATATCAGAGCAGCATTTAGCTTTTTAACAGCTTTTATCCATGAATGACTTTTAAAAAAATGTATATCAGTGAAGACCAATCAGTTTTTGTGTCATTCAGCTAGAGGTCTTGTATGTGTTAATTAATCACCCTAGAAAGTATTAGTTGAAGAAAAATGTCTTCAAGAGCTATGATTTTTTTTCTATTATACATTCTGACTATTTTTTTTTAAATCACTTGGCTAATAATATCAGAATTTATCTGCCCTTTAGAAATCTTGAACACATTTTGTGTTAAGAGGGGAACTTAGCCAGCACATAATATAATTTGATGTTGGCATGTTAAATCAAACTCAACCTTCATGCTGCTCTATTTGTTTTTTAATCAGACAGGGATTTGGTTTTTCTTTTTCTTTTCAGTTACTTTTCTTTCAGTTAAATCAGTGTTGCATTAAAAATAAATGTTTATGGTTGGGGTTCACTCATTTATTTCATAGCACAATGGTTCCTTATAATGCATTCATTTACAAAAGCAACAGCAAACTTGGTTATTTAATCATGTGCATTCCACTTATGAATTATTTTCATTTCTTAAGTGTTTTCAACAATATATTATATCCCTTTGTAAACCCTTACTTTAAACCACATAATACATTGACATTAGACTCCACATTATTAACTATGGTTTTCTTTGATTTTTCTGTGATGGATATTCAGCTTTTGCTATTTGAAAACTTCATTTCCCTCAACCATTAGTACCTTAAATTGATTGTATTTATCAAATGCATTATATTTCATCAAGATCTTAAAATGACAAAAATGCTAATAAGCTTGATCTAATGTGACTACACCATTTAATTGTTGTTTTGACACTTGTTTTATTGTCAATATGCTGTCAGGTTTTGCTTACTTACGCTTATATTCTCAATAGGAAAGGATTTTACAGAAATATTCAGCTGTTGTGGACTGTTTCAACTATCAATACTAAGCTATTCTCTTTTTTTTCATCAATGCTCTTGTAATAGATTTACACGGAATAATATCAACTTCAACAATTGAAGTATTGATTTTACTTGATAGGAGTGCTTTTACATTGCTTGGGAAAAAAAGAAAATTTCAATTTCAATTAGATACTTCTTAAAAATCGTGCTCTTTGTACTGTATCAGTGAATTTTTGTCTATTGGTAATTCTTCAGTTTGATTTGGTTTTACAAAATTTAAGTTTCAGTGTGGTTGTTATTGGATTATTTGTTTCATGCTTCTTTTTACATATCTATTACTTAAATTTTTATGTTGTTGCAGACATGACATTTTAAAAGCAATATGTTGGTGACAGTTTGGGTACTGAATTAGTTAAGGAGGTGACAGTTTTTGCATATCTGGTTTGCTCATATGTTGTTTTTCTTTTTTTACTCTTCCCCTACCCCTTTTATTTTTGAACAACTATGTTGAAATTATTTTCCCTGTTTAAATTTATTCCTTTGTACAGCAAAGTTTAGTGCATTCCAGATGAAGTATTGTCATACAAAACAACTCATGTTTTATAATAATCCTTTTCCTCATATCCATCAGAACTCCTGCTAACTTAAATATTTTACTTAGATGAAATCATTCTACTTAACATACGCTCTCAGTGTTTTGTTATGAACAGTTATCTATGCCCACTTAAAAGTAACAATAATTGGCATTCTGAATTATTAGATTTTGGTATTATGGAAAGTGTTGTTGAAAAATTTGGAGCATGATTGCTTTGATTTGAATCACTTATCAGTCTTTGACAGTGGTTGATACATTCATTTTGCACAGCTTTATTTGTGGCACTATTTACTCCTGAAATAAGACACTAATATATTGCCTACCATTGTTGCATTTTAATTCAAGTATTACTTAATTCAGGATTGTGCTTTTTCAGTCTAAATATTTTTGACTAACTAAAAATTTAAAACAGATCCTTAAGTTTGGTCTTAAATATTTTATCAGATGAGTATTTTGTACCACCCATAAAACTTAATTCTTTTTTTAAAAAGCTCAAGATGCATTTTGTGTGTGGTCATACATTGATAAAGTAACCTAAGAATTTTTTTTTTTAATTAGGTCTTAAAAAATCTTATAGTGGTGCATTATTACAATCTTTAATACATTTTTTAAAAATATGGTGAGCAAGCTATTAATGTTAATATAACATTTTTAAAACCTAGCTTAGAACACTAATTTGTTTTCTTAATAGTCATATTGAAATAACTACTAGTCTAGTAACCTTAATGACCAAAACAACATTTAGTAGTCTAGCTGTTTTTATTTTAAATTACATTTTCTAGTCAAGTGGATTTAATTTTTTTTTTTTTTAAATATTACAAAAACAGCATGATCAGCCAGTCTTATAGCTGTTTATTTCCCCAATATCTTACCTTTGAAGTACATGTTCATTTCCATGTAAAGATAATTGTGCAATAAAATGGTTTTGTTCTCTATTGTCTTTTTTTTTCTTCTTTGCATTATACCTTTTATAATATGAATGTCAAACTTAAATTTATTTTAAATCGTCAGCATGTCATACTATTCTAGCCTTACTGCAGTACCAGTAAAATGTATTGCCTTTCAATCTGGCCAGTGGATCAATCTGGAAAATTTAAAGTTTTTGCATAGGTCAAACCCAGAAAATTGGGATGTTAGGTAAAAATTTAAATAAAAAGAGCAATTTTAAAATGTATTTTTTATTCTTTCAAAGAAACAAATTCAAAAACATGATATAACAAGGTTGATCACAACAAAGCTAAAATGGTTAAAATCCTCTATAAATACACTTGGAAATTCAAGCTATTTACACAATAATGTGCTCACATAGTGACTTAAAAATGACTGTAAGCTCTGCTATATCTAATGACCATCAATAGAAAATATTCACTTTATAAGACAAGTTGTGACATATTAGTTACATTTTATTGATAATTATAATAAAAATCAACTCAAAATGTCATAAAGTAGCTATTTTTAATGCTATAATTTTTTTTACACAGTATTTTTTTGCCTTATTGATTTATAAATAATTGCTTAAACCCTCAAAAGCTTTAGCGCTCCCCACGCAATCAACAATCACGTTTTTAGTGAATTACTGTATAAGAGAATTATTATATGAGGTTTTATCATCTAAATATGAAGTCCTGCACAACGCTATGCTGACATTCAACACCAACTACTTAAAGATAGAAACAGTTTAATATTCTAAAATGACCAATTATATGAAAACAATTACACAGAACAATGAATGGATAACCTAAAATAATTGATATTTTAATAATATTATATTGATATAAGTATACTTTGTATAATCATAGAACTAAATTCATTTATCTTTGTAAAATTTTAAATTTAAAGATTTTCACTAAAGTAGGCTACTTAATATAGAATAAATAAACATCAAGCCCCTGTTATATAAACATTTATCACATTTTAAATCTGCAGTCAAGACTAAAAAAAAAACCTTGGGTTTTCTATACCTAATTAATTTTGTTTCACTCTGTTCCTTTACAAAACTTTCAGACATCTTTAAAATAACATTAAGACAAAAGTAAACTTCTGAGTACCAACACGTTTTCATGAACACTTATCAGAGGTTTAATTTTGAAGGGAAATTAAAACTAAGAGCACATATTCTTTTTAAAAAATACACTGATTTGTGTATTTTTTTGTGTGAGTGATTTACAGTTAGTAAAACAATCATAATTGCCTATCATATATTTAAAAGAAAATCATCCAAAGAATCAATCATCACTTGAGATATTCATTACATGTCCATTACCAATATCAGACAAATAAAATATTAGAATAAGCGGTGGGGGGGGGGGGGGGGGGGGGCAGAGAGAGAGAGAAAGAGTAACAATACTATGGTGGATCCAAATTAATGATATAATATAGTAGACATTAAACTTATTTTATTTTTAATTTAACAACCCTTTAAGTCATACCCAAAAAAATATGTTATATCCTTATTGGATAACAACCACTTTAAGGTAGTCACATGTCAACCCTTGAACACATTCAAAATGACAATAAATTAAAATAATAAAATTTAACAATATGTACAAATGCACTTTTAAGGGGGAAAATGACAAATTGAAAAATTGGGATGAAATGAAAAATAATACATCAATGCAGTTCTTGGTATCCTAAGATCACATGATGACAGCATACAGAACAAGTACAACTAGCTACTATCACATGGTGAGTGAAATGATAAATGATAGTGACAATGTCAGGCAGCTTAATGGCTGAAACACATGATCAACCAATGAAACATTTACCCTGCTATGACAACATAGAAACATTGTACTAATATTTTATTGATACTAAATAAAACCCTTGATTTGTCATTTTCTACAGTAGGTTCATGATGTGAATATACAAGATAAAATGTTAGCAAGCTCTTCTCCTTTCAAGTCTAAATGTGAGGTCTTGCTAGTCTAGGAACAAGTATAAACTGTCCTTGTGGATGAACACCTTGCATGACATGCTGACCAATGTGCATGCCAGGTACTAGTCCATGGAACTGTGCTGCCTGAGCATGGGCAGCTTGGGCCTGGGCCGCTTGCATCTGTACAGCCTGGGCCTGCGCTTGGGCATGTGCCTGGGCCTGAGCTTGTGCCTGGGCAGCCATCATGTGGGTCACATACTGAGCACTGGTCACTGCTATACCCGGGTGGGCTGCTACTTGCATCTGATGAGGGTGCATGCCACCAGAGGACAGCATGACATGCTGTGGCATGGCTGCTGCCTGTAGAGCATGATGTGGCATAGCTATCATGGGTGCACCTGCCTGGTATGGAATAGAGGATGGTGTTGCATAGGCCATTTGTCCATTGGGTAACTGTACAAGCTGAGGCTGGGCTGATGCCATGACATGCTGATGGTGGAACTGAGCTGCATGCAAAGCTGGGTGTCCTGCATGGACTAAATGAGATGTAGGTACCAAGCCATAGGGTGAAGGGGAGGCAGCCACAGCGTGCTGCTGAATCACTACAGTGGGCTGCTGAACTAAAGGAGACTGGGTCGCTGGCATTAGAATGGTGGCTCCCTCTTCCACACTCACTTCATCTCCCTGAGCTGCCAGCAAAGCAGCCTCTTCCATTTCCTTTTGCTCAGCGGCTAACTTGGCTTCATCCTCTTTTTTCTTTGCCTGCTCTTCTTCATCTTCATCACTGCTTTCTGGCTCACCTTTAGCTTGATGTTCTTGCTTTCTCTGCTGCTTCTTTGCATGCTTTTGCGCCTGCTCCTACAGGGCAGAATGGAAAATGGATAACAAAATTTACTAAAAAGTAAATTTGAGAGTTATACAAGACAAGTTAAAATTGGAGTTTAAACACAATATATTTTTATTTTAAAGCTATACATACGTCTGGAGAATGTATGAAATAATATTAAGGTGCATAAACTTAGTCTTAATTAACGGTAGTACCTGCAGTTTTCTGTACTGTTCAGCCTGCTCTGGTGGAATAAGTGGTGCCATTGGTTTAATCTCTTCTTTCTTTGGTGGAGGTGGAGGTTGCGGTGTTGGTGGCTTGGGAGGAGGAAGAGGTGGAGGGTCAAGAGAATCCTTGGATCCTGATTCAGATGGAGGTGGCACTTGGAAATTTGGCGGTGGTTGGCTGAGGTTAAGCATAGGATTTCTAAAATTGGGGCCTAGAGGCATGCCAGGTCTAAGTGGTGGATATTGTCCATCCCTCAGTGGGCCCTGCATGGATCCTGGGGGTCCCATGCGAGACCTTGGGCCTTGTCCAGGCATTGGTGGTCCCATACGTGGACCCATTCTGGGTCTTGGCCCTCCTGGTCCCATTGGTCCAGGTGGACCCATCATACCAGGACGAGGTGGCCCTCGCATTCCTAAAGGTCCATGCATTCCTGGTGGGCCTCTCGGTCCAGGTGGGCCGCGTGGGGGCCCTCTTAAAGGTCCCCTCATTCCAAGAGGTCCCATCGGTCCACCTGGTCCCATAGGTGGACGAGGTCCTCTAGGACCCATGGGACCATTTGGACCCATTCTGGGCCCCATCCCAGGTCTAGGTCCAAAACGAGGATCATGTGGAGGAAACATTCGAGGGTGTGGCCCCCTATAGCCAGGCGGAGGTGGGCCCCTCAGCCGATGCATGTTTCCAGGATGTCTTAAAGGTGGGTGATGATAAGGGTCATGATTATAGTCATAATCTTCCTGACTTTCATCATAACCTTGGTCATACTCCCCTCCATCAAATTCAAAACCTTCATAGCCTGTATCTTCACAGAAAGACGGATCATGAGCAGACTGATACCCCATATGATTGTAGGCATGTAAATCATAACCTGACTGGTCTGCAGTAGCATCCAAGGCTCCCATTAAAGGTTCAGGTTGTCCAGCAGTTCCCCCTTCAGTGGCAGCTGTAGTGAGGGTTGTGCTAGCCACAAGGGATGTGCCGGCCACTGAGTTAGAAATGGAGGTTGTGGATGGGGATGTGCTTTGGCCAGACGAGGCATCCTTGACTTCTGTCTTTATCTTATCACCAGTATTTGGCAGAGGGATATCAATGAGACCTTCTTCCTCCTTTTTCTCATTCTCAGGCTGATTTGATGGGGTTAGAGAATCTTTACCAGGTAATGGTATGTCTTCAGGAGGTCCCCCACCTTTGCCACCACTGGCACTTCCAGTGACGGGTGCTACGGTTATTGTTGGAACTGAAATTGGCAACACTGGGGATTTTAGAATTTTTCTAAGCTTGTGGCGAGGGCTCCTAGATTTACCTCGCCTTGAATGAGAGCGTGACAGAGAGCGAGTGTAGCTCCTTGACCGGCTGTATGACCGACTGCGAGACCAGCTTGAGCTAGACCGGCTACTGTAGCTGTGACTTCTATGCCTTCGGGAGGATGAAGATCTTCTGTGATGATGCCGATGTCTAGAACGGCTTCGGCTGTAACTCCTGGATGACCTGCTTGGTGACCGAGATTCATCACTGTACCTTGATTCATCAGTGTAGCTTCTGTAAGAATCTGACCTAGATCTTGCCGACCTTGACCTAGATCGAGATCTTGATGACCATTCTTCAGAGGAGCTGTAGGAGCGCCGGCTGCTTCTGTTGTGGCTACGTGACTTTCTTTGGGTCTTGGAATTAGAAGTGACTGAGCCTTCTTTATTATTATTGTCTGAATCTGACTTGGTTTTGCTGGTCTCTGAATTGGCAACCTGTTTAATGACATTATTCAGGAGAGTCGCTGGATTTGTCAAGTTATTGGATAGAGCTATTTTCCCATTCACCTGCTTTGTGTCTGTTTTGGATTTCTCATCCTCTGAAAGAGATAATGGGCCATTTGGCGCCAAAGTTTTCTTCAGAACGTCTTCCCCTTCACTGTCACTGGTATCCCATTTACTTTTTGTACCCTCTCCTTCCTCCTTGTGTTCAAAGAATCCTTCCATCTTGCTCCAAGTGTCTTCATGAGACTCAGATTTGGCAATTTTAGCTGGGGTAACAGACTCAGCAGCTGACATGCTGGCTGAACGTTTGCGACTGACTGACGTTTCACCATTTGGTGTTTTATTTTCCCCTTCTTTCTTCACCAGGCTTTGCTCCTTTAAGTTTTTATTAGGTGTGTTTTTCAAATCTGCACTTTTCCTCTCATCATCATTTTGTTTCTTATGTGTCTTCAGTACAACGCTGAGATCATCTTTACTTTCTTCTAGTTTCAATGCACTGTCAGCACTGGCCTCTTTATTTTCATCCCGCCCTTGACTATGCCTGTGCCTCTTTTTTGATCTTCTGAATTTCTTTATTTTTGGTTCACCTGAAGGTTCGTGTTCATTATCTGAGGGTACATGGGTTTCCTCTTCATCATTGTAGTCAATTTTAACCTTTGGTTCTTTAGCATTAACACAGTCAATGTTATTCTCCACTTTGGCTTTCTCTGATGCACTGAGAGCCTTGGCTTTCTCTGACCTAGATGAACCAGGCCTCCTATGTTTCCTCTTATGTTTTTTATGCTTTCTGGAAGTCGAAGGTTTCTCCCCATTTTGAACAGCATCAGGCTTCTCTTCTTCCCCTTCTTTAACACCCTCCTTTGTTGCATCTGTTGCTTCCTCTTCCTTCTCCTTATGGCTTCTCTTGCGTTTGGATTTCCTTTTAGATTTCTCAGTTCCTTCCACTTTTTCTTCCCCTTCATTTTCCACTTTTTTACTTTTATGTCTCCTCTTTCTCTTCTCTTTCCTTTTCTTCTTTTTTTCTTTTGTCTTTTCTTCTCCTTCAGGTTGTTTTTCCTCCCCTTCTTCCTTTTTATTTTCTTCATCAACCTTTACTTCTCCCTCTTTAGGCTTGCTTTCCTTTTTCCTTTTATGCTTTTTTCTAGAATGTTTTCGTCTTGACTTGTGTGATTTCTTCAATACTTCAGTGCTCAGACTACTTTCAACTTCAACAGTGTCCTTGGAGGGTTCCACTTTATTCTCGTCCACCTGCTGCTCGGCTGGCTTAGGACTTTGTGAGCCTGGTACTTTGTATATATCTTTAAAATTAAACTGTAGGGGGTTACAGCTGAAGTGTAAAGAGGGCTGTGTCTTCGTGTACTTGATGGTTTCCATTGGCCAATCAATTTCTTCAACAGTATCCTTAGCTAACGCAACTTTAACAAAATTCTCCAACAATCTAGGGTTTCCAGATATAACAGGGGGAGATGTTAGTGCCACATCTTTTATTTCTTCTTCAACAGGGCTGCTGCACAAAAGAAAAATAAAGTTAAATAATCATATAGGTTTTAAAAAAAAATTCAAATAAAAATGTGCTTAGCAGAATTAATAAGCTAACTTACTCCATCTTTACACATTTTTTTAACTCTTCCATACTGTCCATCAAAGTTAGGGGACGAGTTGGTGGGAGTTCCACCATATCAGGCTCTTCTTGATCAAAGGCAGATGAAGTAGTTGCTATTTTATTGGTGGTCTTGCTGAATGAGAAGCTGATGCTGCCTTTAGCAAGCTCTGTAGCATCTTTTATGCTAAAAATAGAAATGACATTTATATCAGTGTGTATTTATTTCATTTGAAGTTTTTTTAAATAAGTATCTAGTTAGATTTGGATAACTGTTTAAAATGTAACAGTGAAATTTATTGTTATACTTTTTAATTTATATAATGAAAATTAATAAGCTGTAATTAATTACAGTAATTTAATTATATTAAAAAAAATAATTACCTTTTATCACTAGGGAGATCACGAGGCAACAGAATTTCATGTAAATCCTCTATTACTCCCTAAAAATAAATTTTTTCAATAAAGTATAGGCAAAATTTTAAAATTCACATGCGCATAAAACATTCTGTATTACTCTAAACTAAACTTTTTCAATAATTATTTAAAAAAAATGAAAACATACATTGTCTTCAGTAAGATTCTCTTTTGGGCTACCAGGAGGCAAAGGCACATCTTCAGTTTTTATTGGTGGGGGAATTTTGATTTCTGACATCTCCAGCTATTTGAAAAAAAATATTTTTCTAGATATTTAAATAGATGTAAACTGCAAAAAATGTGCAAAAATTTCACGAACATTAAAGTAACACCCCCCCCCCCCCCCCCCCCATAAGCAATATGAAAAATAAAGTCAAAGAAAGTACTTTTTTTTTTGTTAGAATGTTAAAAAAAAGGGAAAAAAATTTACAACTCATTTGGACAAAAAAACTTTGAACTCATGGACAAATATTGAAACTAATAAATTAAATTTAAAGGAAATTTAAATTTTAAATTAATAATTTTATAATAAAAAGAGATCAGTCAAAAGTAACCTTTTCAGGTAGAGGAATCACATCCAAACTGTCTAATAGGTTTTCCACACATTTGACCACACCAGGGCTTTTTTCTGGACTAGATATTAAAGTTGGTGATGTAACAATCTCTGCTACAATAGATGTGGGGGGTGAAGAATCTTTTTTCACTGTTTTATTTGACAGTGTTGATGATCCCTAAAACAGGTTTCAAATAATGATTAGTATGAAACATGTTCTGTTTACATTAAAAGCATTAATGTACTATACAAAAAGTTTAACCCTTTATGCTATCTGCCCAAGATTTTTCTTATGTGGTACTCTCAGATGCACCTTAAATGAGTATTGTCTGTACATGTAAGTATTCATAGTAACTAAAGTCTAGCTGTTAAATGAGATTTTGAAGATAATGGGACCATAACAGTGATGCAAAAATAATAAGTTACATTTTTCCTTTTTCATATTTATTCGATTAGTAAATTATGATGCTGTTTGGAGTCTTACATAATAAACCAAGACTATTTTCCAGAAAAGTGCTTATTGTTTACATTTTTTAAGTACATGGATAATTAAAATCATTTTTTTTAAAAACAAATTGTTTCACTTTGCCTTATGGCAGGAAAATATTTGTATGCCTAGACTGTAATCCCAAATGTGACAAGCCTGGCGCTAGAGTGGAAGCCCAAGGGAAAGCAGAAGAGGCCCAAGACAGACCTAGAGGCTGTGTCTTTTAGAACAGAAGAGGCCCAAGACAGACCTAGAGACTGAGTCTTTTAGAAGAACTGAAGCCAACAGGGATGTCTTGGGAGTTTAAAAAATTAATAGACAGAGATTGAACAAAATGGAAGGATATGGTAGAGGCCCTATGTTCCACAAGTAGCAAAGAGGACTGAGTCAAGTCAAGACTGTAATAGTTTAGAAAAAACGAAACAAAATAAAAATGTTTTCTACCTCGAGTGGCAACACTTGGGTCTCTTTTGTGACCGAGCTCAACTTTGCAGCCAGGGATCTGGTGGTTGACCTGGTGGCTTTCACTGTTGTAGGAGCCTTGATGGTTATTTTGGGCTCAGATTTTGTAGAAGCCTGTGCAATTGTAAAAATGTGAGACAAGCCTCTACACTACAGATTCTAACGTTTATAAAATGAAAAAAAAAATTCTAAATCTGTTCTTACCTTTTTTCTTTAAAAATCAGACATGGTATCATATACTTATTGAAGTAATTTAATTTAGATATACTAATACAAATTAAATACAAAACTTTACTATAGTTGTGGTTTCAATTAAATTTTTGGGACTGTTTTTTTCCAAAATCTTTGTAACAAAGGAAAATTATATACATACAGACATGTTACAGGTAGTTAAAAAATAGTTGCTATGTAACTACCTTGTTAATACAAAGATAAAAAGCAATCTGAGGACTACACCTTGGTATTAATATCAGGCAAAGCACATAAAAAAATTAAGCTTTACACACCTCCAATTTTATGAATAAAACAATCCACATGAAATACAATTGTCATTTAAGCATTTTGCATTCGACATAATAGGTAAAAGTCAGCTTCCACAAACCTTCACTGGAGGGGTTGTTTTGGTATGGTGGGTCTTAGCTTTTGTAAGCTTCCCTTCAGTTACAGGTGTCACGGGTAGCTCTGGTGTTTCAGCAGAAATCTCATCAGAGATGGGTGAAGGAGTCACTTGTACCTTGACCGGGGTCAGGTTACTCCCACTGTCTGCAGGGCTGGCGGAGCCTGAACCAGCTGAAGTGCTGGCACCATCTCTTGGTGGGGTACTTTCAAGTACTGCTCCCTAAAATAAGAGTAAAATCTTCTTATAACAAGGTTTTAAAAACCATACACCACTTTTATAATTCCTCTTACTATCCATTTTACATATATATTTATACTTTATTTTTTCCATTATTTTTACATTTCCTGTTACTACCCGATTTTGCTTTTTTTTCTTTCATTATAAATCCACTCACTACCCAGTTAACATATTTTAAAATTTGATTTAATGTACTCACAGAAGATACAGAGGCATCACCACTTCCAGGTAGTTTGATGGCTGAACTTTCTTTCTTCTGGGATGCTTGGCTCCCACCCTTTCCTGTGGGTAAACAGACAGAGCAAAAATTGAAGAAAATATAAAATTTCAGTTGAAGAGTAAGACTCCAACAAAGGAAATGAAGGCCACATAACTGTTCCTGAAGAAGATCAACCATACTCTCAGGTAGCTTAAGCTAAAATTAAACCAGCCAATATTTCGGCAAAATACATATTAACATTTTAATATTTGTATGTGCATCGTCCCCTTACGATTTAAAACATCCCAAAAATGTATTTAGCAGAAACTTCTGAACAAGTAGATGTATATAAAAGATTGATTAGTTCTGGTGTTTATCAATCAGTATTTACTTTGAAAAAAATCTTTTTAGTTGGTCATTTTAAAACTAAGGAACTAGCTAGCATGTGGTTGATTTTAAATATAAATAATTTGAAGAAAACATGCCACTTTAAGAGATCAGACTGAATCAGTTTTATGCATACAACTTGCATGTGAAGTTTCTACTTTATGTTTAAAAGTGTTTGTAGTTTCAGAGTAATAATTTACATAAAATTAAAATATATATGTATATAAGTATAAGCTACAGAACAGTTATAAGCTGCAGAAGTTTTTGCACCTCTGTATAATTCAAGTTTTAAAGAGGGGAAAAAAAAATCACAGATATTAAATTACCAATAATTTCTATGACGTTAAAATTTAAGAAGGTTAAAAAAAAAAATCATTCCTAACAATGGCCTTGATTTCAAATGAACACAAGAAAAAACCCTGAAAGGTCAGTGATGTAAATTTTAAAATAAAGGGCTGTTCAATTCAGTTAAGAAATCAAAGACACTGTCACTTAACGAATGAATGGATTAAAGTCCTGGTGCAACAGATTTTTTTATTAAAATAAAAATACAACTGATGAAGCAAGCTACATGAACAACCATGTGCAGGGCATCTAGTGCTTTGATGTATAAAGGGGTAAACCCACACCATTTCTGTATAGTGAGACCAAATGAGACAAAGAAGATGACAATGTTTAAACTTATGATGCAGTTTTCAATTTCACACAAAGTACAGTCTATCACCAAACAGAAATTCAGAATTCTTTTTTCTACTCTAATTATCAACCACTTAGTGTATGATGACATAAAGAGTAAATTCATATATAATTTCTAAAATCACTGATATGTGAGAAAACATTTTCATCTAAATAATCAGATAAAAGCTGTTTTCTATTTTATTTTATTTTTATTTTTTTAATTTAACTGGCAGTGTATTTACTGTTGGATAATTTAAGTTTTAAAATAATTTTATTAGTTTGTTTTTTATTAAATTATTGTTAACTGAGGTAGAAAAGCTTAATTTAATTAAAAAGATTTTTTTCTAAATAAAATTTAAAGTTTTAAAGCACTATAATGACCTGACATTTTATAGCTCTAAAGGTTAATTGAAATGTAAAAGTCTCAAGATTACTATAGAAGGGTGTTAAATCAAATCCAATTAATAGGGGTGATGCTAAGCTAAAATGCTATCTTCTGATGTTTTTAAACAATGTGTTGTTTTAGAGACCCTTTTCATATGAATATATTTCAAAAAGTAAATACTAATATTATATGCTTTTTTTTCTTTTAAAATTAATAAACAAACAAATACAAAATTTGTTTTTAAATTTGACTTAAACTATAACTACTTTCTCTATTTAAAAATAGTCAAGAATAGCAGTAAAGGAAATTCTATTGTATCAACTCGGAAGAGACTGTTTAATCCAAACAGGCAATGATTTGCAGTGTTGTTTTACCATTACAACACAATAGGAGTGTCAGTATGAAACATTTCAAATATAAAATACAAATTTAAAATTAAAATACAATGCAAACGATGAGCAGTAGTTTAATATGGTAAAGGTATATAAACATGCAGAATGAAATAAATAAAAAGTCACTGACAACTTCTAAAACTACTAGCAACTAATACATCTGAGCCACTAATATATAAACTATCAAATGTGAGAGGTAGGGTGTTGTGAAGAATTAAAAGATGAAAATAAAATAAATTCAGATGCTCAGTAATACACTTCATGCTGCTTGCTTAAACAAAAAAAAAAAAAACCATTTCATATTTAGTTTATGTGGCTAAAGCTAAAAACTCTCCCATCACAATCTAGGTACAAATTTGAAAGCAAAGCAGCTATTGAAATGTATGCAAGCTTGGAAAACTGTTTATTTTATGTCATTAAAGTACAAGACTTAAGCAATGATTACTTCAGCTGGGCTCCTGGCGAGGTGACATCACTGTAAACTTATAAATAAAAAACCAACAGATAAACAATGCTGAGCTTAGCAAATAAGTAACCAATATTTTAGTCTTAGTAGTTGATATCAGTGCTATATGTCACTAGAAGGGCTTTGAGTCAATAAACATGCTACATTAATAAGCCAAATTGTTATTACAAAAAGGTGTGCACAATGTTGTAAATCCCCTATCTAGCCTGGTATGTGATGAACACTTATAAATTTTTGCCCAGTTGTATTTTTTATTAAAAATTATAATAGAAATTTTAGATTTAACAGTTAGCTACTCAAAATTCTTCAATATTATTTATGTATGCTTTTTTCTATTATTTTTTGGAACTTATTCTGGCAATTAACAGTTACATTTTTTTAGATTTTGAGATGTGTACAGGTATTTTACCGCCTTCAAAGACAAAATCTGGTTATTGATCAAAAAAGCTTTTAAAACTGAAACATTTTTTAGTACAGGTTAGTAAAGATCTAGTAAGAATTTTTAATACTAAGAAAATATAAAAGAAGGAAATCAGAATTTTGTATATTTTGAAATGTTGGATTCATAAATAGTCACCAGACAATTAAAAGCTTCACTTAAAAAAAGCAGGAATTATGTTTTTTTGTTTTTTATGTGAGATTTTTTTTAGTTTTTTTTTTTATACACTATAACTTCAGACCTTAGAAATTAGCTCTTGATTTAAATAAATAATGATTGAAAGCTTTAAAATGGATGTAAATATAAAAAAACAAGTCAGATTATTCCTATTTCCCTATTTTTAATCCTGTTTCTTTTTTTTTAGATGTACTCATATTTATAAGTCTAAATAAAACATTCAAGCTACTTTATTTTTCCTATGAGTTATAAAATGGTGCCCAGCGAGAAAAGTGTGTAAAATAGTATAGGCAATATAATTAGTTTTAGCCATGATTACAAATTATAGCTAATTTAATTTGGGTTATATTGTTTTAACTCTCAATATTTGAAAATAATTATAAAAAATGGGCAAATGTAAAACAAAAGGTTTAAAAAGTATATTAGCACATTGTTAAATAATACTTACAATTAGTTGTTAGAATGTTAATACCATAACAAAATATGTATTTACTGCTAAATAAACGTAAATACTGCCACAAAATAAATAAAAACCCGAACATTACACTTTTTTTTTACTTAAGAATAAACAAAGTACACAGAAAAAATAAACAAAGCTCATTGAAACTGAACTGTTAATTTTTTTAAATGTTCAACTACTTAAATCTTAACAGACATTTCATACAATACATAAAAAAAACTAAGAAAAAATTATACTTATCAAATACTTGAAAAAGACAAAAGTAGAAATGGTTAAAAAAACAGAAAAATTATTAAATCATAAAAATATACTCTCTTTAAATATAACAAAGCTGAAAATCTAATTTGACTAAAATTTGCCAAAATTACTATCATAATTTTGCTTTTAAAAAAGTGATTTAAATAAATAACTTGTAATCTATAAGCTGACAACAGAAATGTAATCAGACCAAAAAATAAACCGAACCCAACCAACTTTGAGATGTCCTCAGGCAGAATAAAATTTAGTTACTCAGGCAAACCGTGAAAGATCACACATCATGCTGTCAAGTTATTATTGTTATAAGTGTAGTAGACAGATGTATATTCACCTTAGGTTTTAATGTTGAGGCAATCTTCCTGAAATTAGCACTTACGTAAGCACAAAAAAGTGTTGGTGAAGTACCTAAAGTACCGACTCAAAAGAGTGCACTTCAATCAAAAAGTTAATAACCCTTAAAAAAACTTACATCCTTGTGTTTTTAATCTGTAAAATATCTTAAATTAAAAAAAAAAAGAAAATCATTATAAACCTAACATTGTAGCTTTTAAACATTTTTTTTTACTTTTCATCTAAACAATCATTTTAAATTTAACTTTTTAAAATCTGAATGTATATTTTTTTTTTAAACTTACTGTACAGCTTTGTGGGCTAAAAAAAATCAGCTTTTAGCTATCTATATTATTTAATAATTGCTACCTTATTCGGTAATTAAATTTACAACAAACATACACAGGATAAGAATGATAAACAAGTCATCATCCAGTTTTAATGAAGTAGTACACAACAGTGAAAAAGATGACAACTGGATTTACGTCATTAGTACAAGACCTGCTCTAATGAAGCTGGTTATGGTATTACAAAATCCCTTAATGCTACCATGCAATATTTTCATACAAAAGAGTCAGCAAACTGGAAAAATTAACTAGATACACAAAGTAAAAGGCTGCCCAAATCTTCAATGAAACCTTAGCATCTAGATAGCTTGAAATTGTCAAGTGCAACAAAACAATAAATTATAATGCAGCTGAAAAGCCATGTACTATGTGAATGGGCGGGAAAAGCTTGGGATGAAAGTTTTCAAAATTAAAACTGGAAATTAAAGCTAATTGCAATATACTTATTTCAAACCACTGGTAAAATTACACACAAACTCTTCTAAAAAATTTAATAGATTATTTTTAAGTTTATCATATACTATTGTCCGAAAATTGCTATTGTAGACAAACTGATGATAAAATCTGATAATATTGTAATAAAAATGTGTTATTCTTGAGCAGTAGTAATTTTGAAAACAAACGGGTAATAAAATTATACATTTATAAAATGTTACATATTCCAAGTTGAAAACTTCTATGATGTACAGATATATGCAATAATTTAGTCATTTTTTAAAATAAATTTAGTTATTCTATAAAGCAGGAAACTTAAGTGATTGTGTACATGCTTTTAAGGATTTACTGCACTGTATTCAGCAAGAATATTTTAGATGAGTTGATTTAATTATTTTTCTCCATCAAGTTCTTAAGAAATAAACTACTTTAAATTTAAACACTTTTAAAAATCTATATAAATAAATTTTAGTAAACACAAAGTGATAATTCTGCAGAAATTTAGCTAACCATGTAAGTAAAAGTGTACCAGATAAAATTTTATAATCTAACATTCTTGCAATGCTTTGGTTAATGGGACAATACCCAAGTTATTTTTATTATAGGGTGCAGTCAAACACTGTTAAAAATACAATATAATAAACAGAGGACATAAACCTTTGCAATTTTGTAGGATAATGAATTTAGAAAGTGCACCCTGCTTTGTTTCTGTAAATAATTTATGTACAGACGTGTATTTTCAACATTTTAAAATAGTAAATAAAAAGTTTCTAAAATAATCTTTAAAAATAAAAAAGCAGGGCACACTAATTTTAGATACTTTGGGAAATCTTGCAAGACAAAAATTGCTCTGGGTATATAAAATTTTGTGTTTTTGCTATAATTGATTGTTATAAATTGTTTAGCCATGATTATTTCAAGCAAAATATTTCATAGTATTAAGATTTTTTTTTAAGGAAAATGGATTTGTGTAATTTTCTGTTTGTTTTTAGATACTTAAATTACAAATGCAGTAAACTCTTTATAAGTATGAAAGTATTAAACCCAAAGCAATGTGCAAGTTTACATCAATTACGAAACTAACTTGGAAAAAATGTGTTTGAAACTACTGTATTGGCTTTTAAGTGAGAAATTGTAAACAATTAGAATATACAGATGAGCTTTAAAATGTATAAATTTGGGATGCCATACTGTTAGGACAACCAATGACACAACAGAAAAAAAGCAAGAACACTAATAACTGCAGATGCGTTAAATGAATAGAAAAAGAAAAAAAATTATAATAAATCTACAACTCCTGAGTACCTTAATGACCACCTAGAAAACATCAAAGACAATTTTTAAAGTTTTTTTTTACATAAATACCTGTTGTAAGTCAAGAAAAAAGCAACAGTCAAGTCAGTATTGTATCAAAACATGCCTAAGTAATAAGGCTCTGTTCAAAATTTGAAATTTCTCCAATATATTAAATAAACAAAAAATATAAAGAAAACTAATTGAGACAAGAACTATTGTAAACTATACATTAATTCAAGTTAAACGTTTTAAATATACATCTGCAGACAGAGATATAGTTCGAAATTTAAAAATAAAGGTCGGATCAAAGTGTCTACTTTTAAATGTGCTTCTAAAATTAATTTGAAGCTTTTTTCATTTGTTTGGCGTAAAAGTTTTAATTTTAATTATTTATTACAAAATATTTTTTTAGTCATTGATGTACCTACTCTAAATCTTTATACAAATTAGAAGCTACAAGAAATATAGTTTTAATTTTAAACAAGGTTAAAATGTCACTTTAAATAATTATGCTTTGGACTCACCTGCATATTTCTCACAATATATAGTCACACAAAATAGGATTTTAATCTAATTACTTACCATTATTTACCATAACTTCAAACAAATTTTTTCATAAAACTTCATTGTTCAATAGTACACAAGCATTTATAATTTACAGTGTTTGAAAACTCATAATCACTTTTTAGATCTTCCTACATTTAAATGTTAAATTGTTAAAAAGAACACAGCCCCACTTTGTTAGTGCCATAATTAGGTAGAGTAGTCTAAAACCAAAATATATATATATATAAATTTATAAATAAATGAGGGGAATTGACTTAAGATGAAAAAGACAACATAAACATCTAACAGTATTGAAGTTTGAACTATCAATATTGTTTCAGCCATAAAAACCAGACAACAGTTATGAAAGATGCAAACTGGACTTGCAAAAGATCATGTATTGGTACTCTGTCCACAAAAACAATATATATTCAAAATAGTGCCTTTAAGATTTATAGTCGATTTGCAAACCAATAAACATTAATGTAAAATAAATCAATGCAAAGATCTGCATGCTAGAAAACTAAATCAGCGCTCATTTTTTCCATGACCTTTTGCTGTATATTTTTTTTAGAATAGGGATCAAACAACCTCATCAGGACAACAAGACACACCCTCAGTCTCATGCACTGCTAAGTAAATGGTGAATTTGTTTTTCAACGGGATATTTCTTGAATTTTTTATTACAAAAGTCCTAGGTGATATTTAAAATGAAATATCCTCTAATTATTTAACAAAACTATAGATCATTCTTCTTAGTGACAAGAAAATGGAAATGTTTGTACAACAGCAACTAACTGCAACTATTCACCAAATTCACTCCAGTAGGTGAATATAACAAGAAAAATGTAACTTTAACTGAAGGAAATCAGGAATAAATGTTACAGCAAATGTCATCTTCATACTATTTAGGCACATTAACCAGTTCTAAAAGAGAAACAAAAGAAAGGTTAAACGTTCTACTGTTTTAGAGTAGGGAATAAATCCTTTCCAACAGTGTTAGATAAAGCAACAATAATGCAGTCTCATCAAATTCACATCTTGAATTGTTAAAATTAGTAAGACTAACAGTTTATTTACTAAAGATTTAGAAATAAAGTTTAAAATTGCAAAACAAATATCTATGTACAGTGACATTTCTTGGCACACTTGTGAAACACACAACAAATACATAAAACAGTCATCATTATTGGAAATGCGTTCCATTTTCAGTTTATTTTTCCCTTTCCAACTTAGTTCTATTTGCATTACTGAAACTTTTCACTTTTATAAAACTGCATTAATAAATTAAATATTAGACACAACTTTAGAGTAAATTTATTAGATTCATTAAGTCATTATTAACTTAAAAACTTGTTTAACAGCAGAAGAATCTGGCAATTTTCTAAATAAACAATATAATCAGGACTTGTATATGATGTAAGTAAAGAATAAAGTCTAAGAAAAAGAGAAAGCAGGCCCTAAAACAACTATAAACAATTAATGAGGTTTTAAAGCATGCAGAAGCGTCAACCATGAGACAGGGTTATAATAGATATTCTGGATTAAAATTATTTGCTAACTTTATTATGTCATATTATTGAAGTTATTAACAATGTTTAAAAAAATAAAAAATAAATGGTACACAGGATGCAGGAACTAATACTGTTGTGTGTATCAAAGAGGGAATAGAGAGATGACCATGATAAAATGCATACTAATAGAAGTTAATAGCTTTTTTTTTTTTAAATTAACTCAGTAAATATTATCCCAAACAAGCAAGAAATGCCTTGAACATACTTCACAGGTAAGTGCACATATTATAACTTGCTATGCTTTTCTATCTTTAAGTAAGTATTTTTTTGAAACATAAGTTACAAAAAAAACAGAAGTTGTAAACATGTGAAGGAATTAGCCTCTAATAAAGACATTAAATAAGCAAGAAAATTATTTTAAAATAAAAAAACAAAAATTTTAAAAGAAGAAAATTACTGATCCCAAAAAATTAGCATGCACACCAAAATGGTGGCATGAGATGACAAAGCTGTTGTGTAATATACCAAGACCTTTTTAATAATTTTCAGTTGTAATGGTCGTTAGTTGTAAATTCTACATCCAACAGTTGCATGGTTTATCCTAATGCAAATGTTTATTTTTTTCTTATATAAATTAACACCTTACCTGTTATATTTATAATTTGTGTTGCTAATAATTATGATTTTTACAAAATTTGCAATTAAATTTATAAAGTAATGAGAATTAAAACAGTCAGTCACACCATTTTGTAAGATGTTGCGATTGGCTACTAAGCCAGGATCGGCTGGTGTAATACAAAAATTATGGTTGATATGAACCAATTATACTCACTAAGTAGATCCATTGAAAAGGGACAGACAGGCTTAATCCTGAAATTTTCAGCCGAGAATCAGCCATATTAAATATCAATGTAATTACTATAGTGAGAAAACAAAGTACTTCTTGTTTGGTCGGAACCAGGCTATATGAGATATTAGAAGACACTGAATCTTGATAACACTAAATGTATAACAAAAATGGGAGCAATGCTAGTTTATAAACACACGGACATCACAGGACACTACAGCTTGCTGCCTGAAGGCCATGATGAGCCTGGAAATCACAGAAACAAGTAAGCCCAGAAAAGCTGTGTGCCAAAATCAGTCACACTGATTCCTTCAAAACTTCTTTGATAAGAAAAAAAAATTGTCCAAATGTTTGTGATTTTTTAAATAATGTGCATACAAAACATTTATTATGTGTGGATTCTAGGATCTATATAAAAAGCTTTTTCTATATTCCTTTTTGAAATAAATTTAGGGCCTGAGTAATTTCACTGAAGAGTTGATCATTTTTCCTCACAACTTAGATTGTTTAAACATAATTATTCTACCTTTTTCTTTTAGTGCTGCGTTAGCTGCCACTGCAGCCTCTCGTTTTCCACCACGCCTCATTGTTGATGATGGTGATGATTGTTCCCCTGCACTTCTTTAGGGCTGGTTAGTACCATCAACCAATCACATGCACTCAGCAAAGGACCAACAAGGTATGAATCTAGAATAAAAAAATGTATACAATGGCAATTTAGCCTCACCATCTAGATTTAATCAGAGAACTGGAGATATAGCTAGAGACTAATAAGAAACCAAACATTTTAAATATCACTAGTTTTAGTGATATTTAAAATGTAGGCATTTTTATCTTCCCTATACATTAAAGATTTTAGTGATTTTTTAGCATGGTCAAAATGTAAAAAAGACTTGCTCTGCCAGTTTCTTGTGAAGCAAATAAATTTTGGGATTTATGTCAAAACAAATGGGTTGCCAATATAAAAATAATTGCATGGCTCCCTAAAAAGGCTACATTGTGGCATAAAGACAAAAAAGAAAATTGTAAAACTAGTCTGTGGGTTACAAATATGGTAAATTTAAAATTTAAATAAAGAAAAGTAACTAGAAAATGCACTTGAAAATGTTTAAAACAAAAGTAAGTGTCAAACTGCAGACATGTTGGTGTAAATAAAACCTGAATAAGTTACAAGGGCAAGAAGTGCTGTTTAGGTTTGTGCTATTTTGTCTAAGTTTTGAAGTATTCTACTTACTCTGAAAATCAATAATTTTGACTACACAGATAATGAAGTACTGAAATACTAACTGTAAAGTTTACCTGAGGATAAAAATAGGAGATTATTAAAATTAATATTAATTTGAGTCAATGATAATGGTTTCAAGTTATCTGATCATTGAATGTGAAGTAAACCTAAGCAAGAGGTGTGACCATTTTGAGGAACAGTTTTTTTTTTTTCAAAAAATAAAGATTAATTTTAAGCAGCATAGACATGCTCTACTTGTTTATGACTTATGAAATACAAGACTATTTCAATGATTGAAGCTTTGCCATGGAATTATTTTTAAAATCCTAATAGAATTATTGTACTTGCCACCATATTTTATCTTTAATATACTATTACAAATGCCATGATAAACATCATTTGATCCTTGTTTTATAAATGTAAATTTCTCAGAAAATTAATTGTTTTTAAAGTTAAAAATTACATTTTCTTATGACAAAAAAATTTGCGGGGGAGCCTTTTTTTTTCTAGTTCCGCCACTGCAAAGTAGGTCTGTGACTTAGTATTAAGAATTAGTTAGACTAGATATAAATCTAGTTTCTAAATTTACTTTAGATCTAGATTCTAGATCTAGAACTGAGTAGAATCTAGATCTAGCTAGACTAGAGTAACTCTGCCTGGCCCGACTATGCGCCTCGACTTGAACACCTCCGTAACTCTCACTATGAATAGTGATTGAACTGTTATTTCAATGTTTTATACAGAAACATTAGAATTGGTAGCAAATATGTCCATTTATATAAAACTTTGATCCATTGAATTACCCACAGTGGGATATGAGCAATTAAAAGCAACCCGTCATGTAGGTGGCCATTTTTTTGTTGCCGGGACAAGCAAAGCCTCTTCCCGACTTAGCGCCTTTTTAAAACAATGTTTAGTTTTTTTTTTCCAGAAAAAAATGAACTGAAATTGAATGGGATAGGCTACAGAACATATATGATTATAAAAAATGCTATTTTCTTTACTAAACTATAGTAAACCATAACACAGTAATTATTCTAGCATTTTATTGGGAAGAGTTATCTCCCCTATTTTTTTTCCATTGTTATAAATTATATTATTTTTGGCATTTAAAAACAAATACACACTAAAACAAAACTACACACATAAGTACAAGATTATTTAGGCCTATTCAAATGAGCTGAAAAAAACAGCAAAAATATGACTAGAAGTCGGATGGAGGAAAGACCAATCGGGTGGAGCCAAAACCGGGAAAATTGTGTTCGGGTCCAGGATGACTGAGTCGGTTTCGGGGCATATTTTAAAAGTTTTATTGCGAATGGAAAAAAAAGGGAATACATATTTTTATTCTTCTTTGACTGGGAGAGTATTTCTAGATCTATAATTTTTGGTTTTCATTCTATGTCAAATGGTAACGAAATTAGGTGTCTCGAGCCGGAAAGGAGTCTCCGTTTCGGGCTAAGGGTGTTCGGAGCTGGTAATGTTACTCTATAAAAACTAAATAAGCTAAAATTTGCTAAAATCATCAGTCCAGTCCGAGACATCAGACTCATCAGTTCATCAAGAGAAAAAAAGTTCATCTGATTCTTTGATTATTTTATATTTTGGGCACACAAAAATAAAAATGGCCATAGACCTAGATCTATAGATTCTAGGCCTAAATAAAAAATTAGTCCTAGGCTACATCCTAACTAGATTTAGATTTGGTAGAGTCTAGTAAATTCTAAATCTAGATCAAACAAATAATGAAATATCGGTCAACCGCTACTGTGCTGACGGTATCGGCAATGAGAATTTTATTTACGACGGTGCTGATTGACACAATAAGATATCTTAACCTTGCTTTAAAAACTCACCATCTTGGTAATAATACGATTAACATCATAAACAATACTGCATTAAACAAAACTGCGACAATAACTCTTAAATAATAAAGTTCGTAACAATTAATAGCACTTATTTTAATGCATTGCTACAATCAGAACGACAAGGTCGACAGCCATATTTAATCATTGCATAGCAATATACGGAAGAGGGTGATTGGTTAAATTTTTAAGTCCGGAATGCTTCGCAAATTTCCGTCACATAACATTAGGGCTCAGCCAGTCGTAGCTTTAACTACCGATCTGGATCTAGATTTATAGAACTAGTCTGGATCTAGATCTAGATCTAGATTCTAGATCTAGATTCTCTAGAGCTAGAAATAAACGTAACCGAGTTATAATTTTAATTTTCGGTCGTTTGCATAGAAAATGGCGACACAAATTATTTTGTTCCGCGTGGGGTTGTTTTTTTGTGTAGCTAAACCTTGTTAGAATTATCTACGAGTATTATCTGTTAATTATAGATTCTAGACAATTCTAAATTCCAGCTGTGGTTCTCATAAAAATCCATCACTATCTCCAATGTCCCCATCACTAAAAAGGCCATAGGCCCAGAGGCGTAGCGATCCATTCCGGCGCCCGGGGCGAAATATCCATCTTGCGCCCCCCCCCCCCTTAATTTTTACTTTCTCGTAAATACGAAGTATAGAGAAAGTCTTGTAATCGTGCAAAAAAAAAATCGAGATTTTTACAAATCTCGACGTTTTACACCTCACTGATACGGAAAAACATAATTTTGCAATCTTGTCCGTATGTCTGTCTGTCTGTCTGTCTGTCCGTGTGTAAACACGATAACTTGAGTACCGTTACAGCTAGGTTGATGAAATTTCATATATAAGTATTTTATCAAAATCGTAGATCCGTATCAACTTTTGTGCGATTTCCGATAACCGGAAGTGGTACTTTTCCTACTTTGAATTTTTCAAAAGCCTATAACTTGAGTACTATTTCAGATAGATAAATGAAATTTCACATGTAAGTAAAAGATCTAATTCTCTACCTTCTGTTAAATTTTGAGTAATTTCCGTTGACTGGAAGCAGTACTTTACGCTACTTCCGATTTCTCAAAAAACTAATGTAAATTTTAAAAGTACTAATAATATTGCGCACTATTATGCGCTTTTTTATTTGGCGTTCACTTGGTGTGCAATTAATTTGTCTACGGGATTTTATTCTATTTTTAAAACTTTAAGTATTTAAAATGGATTCAAAATCATGTCTATAGCCCGAGTTCCCATCCCCTGTTATTTTATATTAGAATATTCGAGAAAGTTTAGGGGAGATCACTCCCGGTTTATTATATATAGTTATTCAGTCTGTAAAGCCAAGTAACAGTCTATTTTTAGCGCAATTTCCATACGGACAATTGCGATTATTAACTCGTCATTTCCTGATGTATGAATGGATGGATGTGTGTCCGCAGCTTTAAGTCGTATCTCCTCCTCAACGAAACAATATCGAGAACTAGTTCCAAAAGCAAATATGTTAAGTAAGCTCCAAGGATGATTGAATTCCCGGAATTCCTTCCTGGATTTCCCGGAAAAGCCAAAAAACCTCAAACAAATGCAGTTTTTGGTCCATATCTCGGCAACCAGACCACTTAGCGACTTGAAACATTTACCAATCGATTCCTGCCGTAATTTAGAACAATATTGCCGAAGAAAGTTTTCAAAAATATCCTTTCGTTCGGTCACAAAAAATTAATTAAGAATTTTTAAACTGAGCATCGTGTAGGCCTAGGATGATATTTTTAATTTAAACTGAGCATCGTGTAGGTTTTTTGCGCAAAAAATATCCTTTCGTTCGGTCACAAAAAAATAAAAATTGCTATGGATAACATAAAGAAATTGCGCTTAAATTGTCACTAGACTTTTTATTATTTTTAAAATTCCGACTGTGTAACTCTGATTGAGCTTTACTTTTTTGTCTACCCCCTATGAGTCGGCGCCCGTTGCGGTCGGCCCACCCGCCCTCACCAAGCTACGCCTCTGCATAGGCCTAGCCCCCACTCCTCATCAAATTGACTTCACACCTGAGCATACCTCAAAATGTTGTTGTTTTTTTTTTTTTTACTTTTTCGTATATAGGCCTACAGAGTATAGAGAAAGTATTGTAATCGTGAAAAAAAAAAAAAAGAATCGAGATTTTTGCAAATCTCGACGTTTTACACCTCCCTGAGTCGGAAAAAAATATTTTGCAATCTTGTCCGTATGTCTGTGTGTGTGTGTGTGTGTGTATATGTGTGTATTTATGTGTGTCTGTAAACACGATAACTTGAGTATCGTTACAGCTAGGTTTATGAAATTCCATACGGACCCCACTCCCCCCTACGATCAGCGTGACGTCATTTATGGACGACCCCCCCTAGTGTGACGCCATTTATGGACGACCCCCCCTAGTGTGACGCCATTTATGGACGACCCCCCCCCCCCCTAAAGTGGTTATATGATATTTTTTTGTCGGGAGGTAATATGTCGGGAGCCAATAAGTCAGACCCCTTTTGTCGTGGCTTGACTGGGTTGTTTTGACGGGGTCGTTTAGTCACGGGTCGTTCCATCTCGATCGGAGTAAAATTGGCAGTAAAAATTTTTTTTATCAGAAATGAACTTTGGCCTATGACGTTTATGAGCGAACTGTATATAAACAAGTTAGGTAAGAGGAGAGTATTTTGGCTTAGTCAGTCAGAGCGATGGCATCGACAGTTGCAAGGCGATTATTATTTTCCACAGCTTCAAAGAACCTGATAAACAATGCCAGATATTATTCAAGGTAAAAATAAAAGGATTTATAAATTTAATAACCTACATTTATTTTTACTAGATATCTAGATTAAAATTATTAATTTAATCCTCGGGTGAAAAATTCATTAATGTAGAACTAGAAAGAAGTGATTTTTTTATTCTTTGAAATCTGCAACGAACTTTGGACTTTGATCAAACTACTACTAAACTAAACTAGATCAGTAGATCTAGATCTATAGATCAGATCTAGATTTCTACGACCTAGTTTATAGGCTAATAATAATAATAATTTATCTGATATAACTTGTCTTGCTATAGCGTCCAGAACCAGAAGAGACGGCAATTAATTAATAATTAAATTTTAGTTGCCTAATTCCGAATACTAAATATTAAATAAATAGGCCTATTAAAAAATATAATAAAAATAAAATAAATAAATTTAAAATAGGCCTACCTAAATACTAAATAAATGACAAATGTCAACGAGAACAACTACAACAATAGTCCCCCAATAGTATATAAGTTAATTATTATTAGGCCTAGCCTAATTAATATTAATATTAATTAATGTAGTCATTTAGTAGGCTATAAATTAAATTTAAAAAGTGTGACAACTGTGGTTTTGCCCCTTTGATCCTCATATCATAAACTAGATCTATATCTATATAATGTATATAATATATATAGGCCTAGGCCTATTTAATATAATAATATAGAAACTGTAGAATTCATCTGTCACTGTGACTTCTGTTTATGAAGGGATAGTGTGGTCAGCACTATTTCCAACTGCCTTTACTTTCATTTAAGTGAGTCAGTTTCCCATCGGAGCTGAGTTGACTCAGGGATATTCTTCAGACTTGAGCCCAGGATCCAATCTCAAAAAATTTGGGTTAGCAGTAGACTCCACTGAGTCGAATGCTCTACCATCTGACCTCTCAGTCTCCACCATCAAAGATAGTGTTATATTACCTTGCTCTCATCTAGCCTTTTTATCACCTATACCCCACGACGCCCACGTAACACAAAAATGACAAACAACCCCCTACTTCCTAATATATAGGCATACATCACACTCAAACCACTTAATATATAATAGATCAAAGAGCTCTAAGGATTTGAAGTTGTTTTTATTTAAAAAAAATTAGCATAGAATGAGATATTTATTTGTAGTTAATTTTTTTACGTCAGTATTCTGACAATCTGGAGCTTGTTGAATATAATATATATTTAAATGCTATAATACATATTAAAATATGAGTCATACCCACATTCCTTTAGATAGCTCAACTTACACTACTGTCTGTTATGTAAAGGTATTTAATCTCAGTATTATTTAAGTTACATTCTAAGTCTAATTGAAAGTATACTTTAAATGTATTTTAATACCTTTCATTTTACAGCAGGCTTGATCCGTGCCAGTCTGGATCTATGTTAGATATCGGAACTAGGCGAATCTTTAATGAGGACCATGATATATTCAGACAAACAGCGAGAAGGTTCTTTCAAGAAGAAATTATCCCCAACCATGATAAGTGAGTTTTTTCATCCTATTGATAATGCAGCTAATCAGTTGGTTCCAAAAGCAGCTATTGAGAAAATTATTTGTTCCTTTCATAGGTGAAGCTCTATATAGGGCCTACTAGTTTTATAGCAACCATTAACTTTTGTAAGGTTAAAACCAAACCTTATGATTTTGTTAATGACAGTGCTGCTGAAGTATATCTCACACTATTGAACATACCCAACAGAGTTAATGTTTTTATGTGATTCGTACTAGAATGTGACTACTCAGTATAAGGATACAAGACCTTACACAGTTGCTCTTTACTAATTTCATCAGTTATTTCAGTCCAATAGTTGCATCATGACTTTGTATACCTGAATTAGTACAATAGCTTGCATTACATTTGATTTTTCTTATACTTTTTAGGTGGGAAAATGATGGTCAAGTTAGCAGAGAGGTGAATATTTTTGTGTTGAAACTTATTAAGAAAATAATAAATTTTATAAACTTCAGTATACTATTATTTTAAAAATTTCTATTCACTTTGTTATAATTAAAATAAAATGCTAAAATTTCTTTGTAATAATTTGCACACAAGTAAAACTAAACCCTGCTTTAGGAATGAAGAAACTTGTATTAATACTATTTAAACTTGTCAGTGCTGGGAGAAAGCTGGAGCTATGGGTTTGCTTGGTGTTGACACCCCTGAAAGTCATGGAGGGCTTGGTGGAGATTTCCTGATGGCTGCTATTGTAATTGAGGAACAGTAAGTAAATATAGCTCATACATTTTAAATATTAAAAAAATGTATATTTGATGTGTTATTTTGAAAGGGTGTTTTCCACTTTGGTTTAAGATTTTCACTATTAAATGATAAAAATGTGTATTGCTGACTTTGTATGACTGCTTTTTGTCTCTGTAGTTATACATCTGCTGATAGTCAATTATCTTTAAGCAAAAGTTCTACAATTATTTTTTGTGTGTACTGATTTCCATGGGCTTTTTGTCTGCTTTAACTAATACCTAACCCTAATTTACTATTGTATTAGTTACACCAAATGTATTGTTGTCACACACAATGTACTTAGCTTAATTGTTAAGAATACGGTAGATGATCCATGGTATCCATTGGATAACAGTGTGTCTGTCATTGGAAAAGTAACCCTAAAATAAACATGTTAATAACCAAACCAAATTTATATAAATTATTTATTTGTATCAAAGTGTTGTTTAGTTAGATTTTAAACTGCAAAAAAAAATAATGATTTGTAAAGAAAATGTAAATGGTTTCTCTTCTAGAGGGTATTCCAATTGCTCAGGACCAGGCTGGGCCCTGCATTCCCATATTGTGATGCCTTACATTTCACACTACGGTAACAAAGAACAAATTGAGAAGTTTCTCCCACAAATGACTGCAGGAAAATGTATTGGAGCTATTGCTATGACTGAGCCAGGTGCTGGAAGGTAAATGGTTATTTTAGATATATTGTAGATATATTGTATGCCAATTACACAGAGAAAAAATAGTATTTTGTTTGTTAAAAATCCCATCAGTTTGTGTGGTTGAGGAGTGGATCAGCATTACTGCTTACTTATCTTTCTTAAGCTTAACGGGGCAGAAAACATCACAAAATTGTTTAAAATGCTGCTGTCAAACAAACATAAACCCTACCTTATGCAGCAATATCGAAAAGGGTTCTGTAAATCAAAATGTTGATTCTTTTTAAATTTGCTTCAGTGATCTTCAAGGTGTGAAAACCAATGCCAAGAAAGATGGGAGTGATTACATCCTGAATGGCAGCAAAGTTTTTATCACAAACGGCTTCATGAGTGATGTAGTTATAGTTGTTGCAGTGACAAATCCACAAGCAAAATCTATTGCCCATGGGACGAGTCTGTTTTTGGTAGAAGAAGGAATGAAAGGATTTAAAAAAGGCAAAAAGCTGAAGAAAATGGGACTCAAGGCACAGGTAACAAAACATTTCTCAATTTATAAAATTTTACTAAAATTTCTGAAAAGGACTAACGGTAATTAATGTACATTTAATTTTAAAAATGGATTTAAACTAAAAGGTACCAGATTGTTTAAAATTAAAAATAGTGGCAGAGTAGAGTGCTTGATAACCTAAGGGTGCTTAAGTCTGAACAAGTACTTGAATTTACTTTTCTAGGATACAGCTGAACTTTTCTTTGAAGATGTTCGATTGCCCAAGTCAGCTCTTCTAGGTGAAGAAAACAAAGGTTTTTATTACCTGATGAACGAGCTGCCTCAAGAAAGACTTTTAATTAGTACCATGGGCCTTGCAAACTGTGAATTTATGTTTGAAGAAACCAGAAAGTATGTGAAGGAAAGAAAAGCCTTTGGGAAAACACTTTCCAAATTACAAGTAGGTACTAATAAGACAATATATAAACAAATAGTTGTCACATAAGAATGGTGATACTCATCCAATCCAACTTAAATGGTACAGCACAATTTTAACTTAAAGAAATTCTCTTGTCACAATTTTTATAAGATTTATTGAGTACAGAATTATGTTTCTGTGCTTGTTAATCTTAGTAATGATCATAGTTTTCCATACCTATTGTTTGAAAGGTGCTTATTGTTGCTGAATCAACGACAAACTTATTAAATTGTGTAATTGTCATTTCTAAGTGTATCTTGGCATAGAATTGGAATGGATAGACCTTTCCTTTACTCTTACTTAAACTTATGCTAGGTTTGGTCAATCCTCAATCATTTGAATCAAATCAGTTATACACATCTGACTTAATTGCTATAGGTGATCCAACACAAGTTAGCTGAAATGAAAACAGAAATTGCAGTCACAAGAGCTTTCATGGACAGGTGCTTAGAGCTACACAATGTCAACAAGCTTGATGGGAGCACAGCTTCAATGAGCAAATATTGGTAAGAAGCATCTGTTGTATAACTTACTCCCTGCATACTATGAATTATTGGTACAAGTGACTTTTTTAATGTGACTGTTGCATATGTGAGACTTTATAAACAGCATGATGTCAAGCAACCTATTATAGTCAGTTCGGTCTTAGATTTTTATTTTTAAACTGTACATTTTGGCTTGCAATAAGTGCAAAGTCCATCTTCCATATTTTAAAGTATATTTTAAAATTTTGAAACAAAAATTATAGCTTTAAAAATGTTGAAAAAAAAACTTATATTTTTTTTTAAATTAAATAAATTTGCCATGCAAAAACAAAAGATGTAACAAAGCTATACAATAAATAAGTGAAGTAAGTGAAGCCATTCCCTGTTAAAAAAAATAAAAATAACCAATGCATTTGTCTCTCCCTATCACATCTCTTAGGGTGTCAGAGCTGCAGAACAAAATCGCATATCAATGTGTCCAGCTTCATGGAGGATGGGGCTACATGATGGAATATCCCATTGCTAAGGCGTATCTTGATGCAAGAGTGCAACCAATTTATGGTGGAAGCAATGAAATAATGAAAGAATTAATTGCAAGACAAATTATAAGCAATTAAATTTTGAAATATCAAAATTTAAAAAACTGATTTTCATAAATTTTGTTGCTTGTTTCAACTGTTATAAAAAATGAATACATAAAGCTCATTCATTGTTATCTACTGAGCTTGTTAAAATAAAACTTGCAAATAAAATGTTTAAAAATTTAAGTTACTGTGATTTCAGGAATTATTCTTAAGTTTATAGCCAAAAGTGAATTTCTGTTTCACACCAAATTGTGTAGGTGAGATCTACGTTTATGAAATATATGTACAAGTGCCATATTTGCTTCATATGTTATATTTTGATACCTATCACCATTGATGATTATTGGGAAAAATTCAATTACCAATGTGCAGTTGAAACCTACAAGTAAACTTTTTTTTCCATTTGTACTAAATCCACTGGTGATTTTCTAAATTTGACATCATTATGGGCTTTTGTTAAACTCTTACTTGTTAAAAAAACCATGAAAGGACTATGACAAAACAATTGTATTGTATACTGGTACTTGTGTTTATATATATAGTGATGAATTTTTTATATTATACATTTTATGTGCCATACCCAAAGGACATCATACTGTTTCCAAATTGAGCAGAAAATATTGTTTCTGTATTAATCTAAAACAAAACGTTTTGTTTTCTAATTAAAACATTCTTTACAATTAAAATGCTTGTCTTTTTATAAATAATTTTGTGACGTGAATTGAGTCTGTAAATTACCTACGAGTTGACAATCAAGACAATACTTTATTATAGGGACTTGTGTGATTTGTCATATTCACAATATTAAAATTGTGCCTGATGTGAGTAAACAACTTTGAACAGACGTTTCTTGCAAAACATTTTAAATTGTAATGAAAATCTGATTAAAGATATGAATTTACTAGGGGTTGGCTTGGTCGAGTTGGTAAAGCTCATGGTTGCTAAACCGAAAAGTCTCGAGTTCGAACCCTTGGGCAGATGAGGCTCGTTAGCTGGGGACAGCCACTCTTCTAGGAGAGACAACTCCAAATTCAAACAACTGCTGCCTTGTAGTTTGTACTTGGTTGAACAAAGGCTATGGAAGCAAATCCAAAAAGAAAAGCAGGCTGAAATCGTAGTCAATGGCGCATAACCAGTTGACACGTAATCCTTAATTGTGATGGAAGCATGGTCGAGTCGGCAAAGCTCATGGTTGATAAATTTGAAAAAAAGTCTCGAGTTCAAACCATCTGGCAGATAAGGCTCGATCCCTCCCAACACTAAAAATTAAGAACGAAGAAGAAGATTTTACTACCCTGTAGGCTGTAGAGTTATGTAGCCAGTGAATGTGTTTGAAGTCACCTAGTTTTCATATGAATGTAACCATAGTGGCAGCATGGCATCGTATTATGGCCCTGCATTACTTCGATCTAATTAAAAACACAAGGAAAAAACAATGATCTCACCGGAAAACTTTAATCATGAGCAGTTTAACAGTAAAATATATCATCATATATGTATCACAGTGCACAAAATAAAAAATACAAGAATATATTTCATAAAAGTTGTAAATATGGAACAAATTCAACAGGTCAGTTCTTGAAACTTTTCATTTACATAAAATAAAAAATTGGTATAAGCATTTAAATTAAACAATTCATATCTAGTTATTCCTTAGTAAAGTTTGTTCAGGAAATAAAATGTTATTTTTCAACTTCATAAAATGTATCAAAACTTTTTAGAGTTTAAATAAATTGTATGTGCAAAAAATTAAAATAAACAATTTTAAAAAGATCTCATTTTAAGGTTACAGTAAAATTATTTTTCATGAACATTGTAAGATATCACATTTAAAAAGTATCTAAAAGGTATAAAACTCTCCACTTTCAAAATCACAAATGGTATTATTTACATATGGAAATGTGTCACATCCATAAAATGAACACATTTTACACACACACTTCAAACAATGGAATAATATTATAGGCATGAAACGCTGGTTCCAAATTTTTTTTTGCCAGAAAGCATATTGTTCAACCAATATTGAATATTTGTGTAATAAGTACAAAATCACTTCCGGTTTTATTAAGGCTAGAAATAGTCTAACAAATAAATAATAATATAATAGTATTTTTAATTTGGATTAGCGGAGTAAGGGTGTTGTGGTGATTAGGGATGTTACATTAATATATTATTTAATATAAATACAATACCAGGCTATACATCATAGATCACTACTGTGTATTTTATGAAGGAAACAATTGTTTTGACTTTTATTGTTTTACTCTCCCTGGCCATTCCGGTGGACTTCAAGGAGAGGTTGAGGGCTGTTTATCAAAATATTTAAATTGATAAAATAATTCTAAACGGCTTTTCAACGGCTTATATTCAATACAAAAATATAAAAATGTGTAATCGATGTTTCTTAAACAGATTTAAGTTTTTAAAATGTAACTATAATTTTATCGCTTGCATATTTTTAAAAAGATTTTAAAAAAAATTTAGTATGATTACATAGGCTTTTTAAGACTATTGTGATTTTCTTGAAATTTAATTAAAGGGGAAAAGTTTTGAAATATAAAAAGCTCGTGGTCGTGAACAGTTTAAAAAAGAAATTTTACTTCCTAATTACATAAAACAATTAAAATTCCCCTTTCAGGCCTAACAATCCATAGAGCAGATGAAGTATTGAGTTTATCTTGACCATGGCAAAGGATGGTGTGGTCAGCACTATGCCAAGCTGCCTTCTCTTCCTCCAATGTAAGTTGAGTCACCATCAGGGCCGGGTGAAATCATGAACGTCTAGTGGTCCCAAGCCTGAGATCATAAGTCAGGACCTTGGGACAAAAATTCACTGTCCCATATGATGTGCCATTAAATTATTGACCTATATTACTTTATAAAGGTATATAGAATACATTTATAATTATATTATTGTTAACATTTTGTTATTTAATAATGTTAGATTCTAAACATATTAAAATCAGCAGTATTTAAGTATTAGAAAAAGAGTTTTCACTAATATTATTAACTGGCAGATTGTTTAATTCTGCTTTGGTATGACCTTTAGGAATGGGATAATCAAAAACAATAGGTTTATTGTGGGGTTTATACAGTATTGTACAGTTGGAGCCATTCATGAAAATTGTTTGACCGTCTGTTGTTACACCATAGCCTGTTAATGAGAAAAAAAGGTTAACTTATTTTCAAACATTTGTAGTTAAAATTAGTACAATACTAATCAGTACTCACTTAAAATAAAAATTTATTTTTTCCTAATGTTTGGAACTGTAGGTACTATATAATAGTACTTTAAGAACTAGGAAATAACAAATTACAGACTGTCAGTTGAACAGTTATTTTTTTTAACTTTGTCTTTTATGTTATACTAGAATACCCGTCATCCGTTGGTTAACTGTGGGTTTCGGGGGTCATCCATCAAAAAACATCACGTCTGTCACTCAGAGGCATAGCGACCCTTCCCGGCGCCCGGGGACAAACTTTTCTATTTGAACCCCCCACCCCGCAAGATTTCAATTTGCAACCCCCCCCCTCAAACTTTTGATGTGCACCCCCCCCCCCCGCACTCAAACTTTTGATTTGCACCCCCCTCAACCTTTCAATTTATTTTTCCAAACCATTTTGGCGCCCCAACATATTTTTTGTATTGAAATTTATTGTAAAACTAAATGAAAAAAGACAGTTGAAAATTGATATAAGTGTTGGAACGTAATAAATACAGCAAACGGACGTATTGTTAAAGTTATGACCGACAGTAAATTAGATTTAGAACGCGTTAAACTTTTGAATGGGAACACAATTTTCTTCGATAGACGCCGCCATTTTATTGTACTAAAGAGTAAACAAAAAACTGTGACGTCACGGTCCCGCCGAGTGTAGTGGTCGTTCTAAACTTTTTAAAAAAATAGGGTTACTCTACGTCTGAATAAATCAATAAATTAATTAACGTCTTTAAATAAATGTGTGATTAACAGTCTGTCTTAAAACAAAACATTTTCTCTACCTACATACTATTTTACAGCTCTCCACGATGAGTGCAACCATGCGCAATAGTCAATCAGCCAAACAAAAAAACAAACAAAAAAACAAATAAATATTCAAACATGTAAACAAACTTGACTTTTAGTAGTATATAGACTAGACTAGATCAAACAAGTGAACAGAATGCAATGATACATCAAAGTTTTGACTAAATACAATTTTTTTACCTTCATGTATATGACCATACAAATGGTACTTGGGTTTGACACGTTTTTGTATGGTTGCTAGAAGTTCTACACAGCCAGCTCTTAGACCAGATGTACATAAGTCACCATGACCTTAACATAATGGAATTTACAGAATGGTTTTATAAAAGGAAAAAAGGCAAATCCTATTATTTATATTTCAGACAAAGCAAAATTATACAAGGAATTGATGCATATGGTAGTGGAAAACAATTATTAATAGGTGTAAAATATATGTAACTAGCCTACCCGCCCCCGCGCGTTGCCGCGGGGATAGAAGAAAGTCTGACGAAGTATATTAGAAGGATATCACCAATGCATTACCAATCATATGTTCTTACACGCGTCACCTTGTTTTCTAAAACTGTGTTATTTAAATGTTAACAATGCCTGCTGGATAATAATTATCGGGACACGGGTTTACCTACACTACCGCATGAAAACATTGAGTGTACATTAATCACTCACCGAAATTATATGGTAGAACACACTTCGATGACCACCCATGTGTCAGGGACGTAGAGGGGCGCTCTCAGGGCCCCCACCCCCAGATTACACTGCCGCATAGGCGCGGAGTACGACCCCTGGCTCCTTAAAACTAACAGGCGCCATCGTGCCAAATAGCATCCTGTTAATAATGATGCAGATTTCGTCATTCGCTAAAGTGACACAAATGAAAAGGATTTTTTTCTTTAACACGTAAAAAAAGTATTTGACGTGTTTTAAACATCAGTGTGACTGATGCAATATGCTAGCGTTACTAATGGTCTATTATTAGATGCTCGATCTCAATTTCTGACTGGATTGTCTAATAGAAGATGCTTATTGCATCAATCGCAAAGTGACGAAACTCTACAGTAGGCTCCTCATATTCAAAAAGTTATTTTTTCATCTTTGGCAAGGTGACGAAACTGTACAGAAGGATTTCCTCGCGTTACAAAGTTATTTTTAGAAGACTGTTGTAGTTTTACCGCTGAATATAGTAGTACCCCTTACTCGCTATGCAGGACGCTCGATTAATGGGTGCCAAGTGCCAACATAGTCGCTCTAAAACTCTGGGCGCCAAACCGTGTACTGACAAAAGTTGTACCCTATATGGCGCCGCCCATAAGAAACTTTAGTTTTCTTTTTCGCAGATATATTTTCTGGAGTATTCTCATCTACTCCCTAAAGTTTCATGGCACTCGGATGAACCGCATCCGAGTTTTATTTTTTATATACGGTGAATAGAGAAAAAAATGTGAAACTGAAATAGACTTTTATTTTTATAAACCGTATATAGAGAAAAATTGCAGCCTCCCGTGGTGCCGCCCTTACAAAATTAAAAAAGGATTTTTTTTACAGAACCCTTCTCTGAATTGTTCTAATCAACTCCCCCAAAGTCTCATGGCTATGGATAACGGTGTAACGCCAAAATCGACTTTTTAAAAAAAATATACCGTATATAGAGAAAAATCGCACCCTCACGTGGCGCCGCCCTTGCGAAATTAAAAATTATTTTTTACAGAACCCTTCCCTAGAGTTTTATAATAAACTCCCCAACGTTTCATGCCTATCGGATGAACGGTGTCACTGCAATTAACTTTTATTATTTTTATATACCGTATATAGAGAAAAATCGGACCCTCCCGTGGCGCCGCCCTTGCGAAATTAAAAATTATTTTTTACAGAACCCTTCCTTAGAGTGGTATAATGAACTCCCGAAGTTTCATGCCTATCTGATGAAAGGTATCACTACAATTCACTTTTATTATTTTTATATACCGTATATAGAGAAAAATCGGACCCTCCCATGGCGCCGCCCTTGCGAAATTAAAAATTATTTTTTTACAGAACCCTTCCCTAGAGTGGTATAATGAACTCCCCAAAGTCTCATGGCTATCGGATGAACGATGCCAAACCAAAATCGACTTTTATTTTTATATACCGTATATAGAAAAAAAAAATCGCGCCCAGTCGGGCGCCACCCCTGCAAATTTGAAATTTTTTTTTCGCAGAAACCTCCCCAGGAATATTCTCAACATACATACTCTCATACCCTTGCAATACACTGAGATAGCATTCATCACAGATAGGAAGATACATTTATGAAGATTTTAAATATAAATTTCAAGATATTTTTTTCTCTTCATTTCTTCAACTAATTTTTTAAAAATCTGGTTCAAGTATATAATTCAATTTTTAAATTCATTACTATATTTTAAAAGAGAAGTAACAAATTTAATAAATAATTACCTAAAGGTGGTCCGTGTGTCATGAGTATATCTGTATCATCTGGAATCATGTTCCACTTCTCTAAACACTGAGCTCCCCTAGGCAAGTTAAAGGCCCAGCCATGGAATTCTGGCTGCCTGGGGTAAAAAAAATGTATTGACATTTTTACAAATATTCAGGTAAAAATGGTGTCATCCTTGTTGTAGGGGGAGGGGAAATGAAGGGCTTAGTGATTAAGAAAAGTCTGACATTGCATTTATTGGGAAAAAATTTATTTAAAAAAAAACATCAACTAAAGATTTGTTTTTGTTTGAACTATGGTTATAAGGGTGGGATTGTGTGAGTAGAAATTTGTTTTGACAATCAGGGGGGGGGATCTGGTCTGCTGTAATAATGTGTAACAATCTGGTATATGGAAAACAACTTAAAAAGTGGGACACCATTTATCAATGACCCTTTCGATGTTAAATTACATTATTGAAAACAAACGTAACATACTTTTAAAAATGAAATTCAAATATGACTTTTGATATAGTTATGCACACAGCAAACCAATTTAACTTCAAAATAGAAGACTGTAGCAAGTGGCAATAATTTTATGAAAAGTGGCAAGTTATAAAGAAAAAAATTACTGCTTTTAAATTATTATATATTTACCAATTTGCAAAGTTGTACATTGAGTTATTTAAAAATAAGAAACAAACCATAAGACAATTTATAATAATGTCCAATTTTTAATACTAGTATGTACTAGTTTGTTATTATTTAATTATTTTGCTTACCAAGGACTACCATAAATTTTAATTCCACACACATCTATACTTGAATCCATCAAATAGATACAATTGGTCAAAAGATCTCTGGATGATGTCACATTTAACTTGACTAATACTTCATCATATGAGGCAGGCTATCAAACAATATACATTATGACAGTACACATTCATTAGTTTCTTGCTTATAGAATTAAAATGACAATACTATATAGTAGCTTAAAATAATTAAAAATGTAGTTGTAGTATCCTCATGAATTAAAGATACTAACTTTACCTGTTTAATTAATATTTGCATAAACCTAATTGCAGCTACCATTTTTATTTTTTTATATGATAACTTACAGAGTTTAATTTTTTAAAATCTGGACTGTTCTTAAAAACAAATTGTGAAAATTAGTAATTTTAGTAAATAGACTATCAATTGCAACAATACTTACCAAAATGTTAAATTTTTTAGAAACATAGTCTTTAATATCTTCTCTGTTTATCATTGTGCTATCTAGAGTAATTTCATGATTACCAGCAATTATAATTTTTACCTTGTGGGGAAGATTGCCTGAGAAGCGAGAAGTGGAATTAATAAATAAACATGATAAATACCTAAATCATTAATTAACATTCATCAATTAAATAAAATTTATACAGGTAATTATTTGTGAACCCGATTTATTAAATGGGACGGTAGAGAGCTGGACTGCTAACCTGTAAGTCTCAAGTTCGAATCCGGGTTCAAGTCAATAGACTGTCCCTGAGTCCACCCAACTCTGATGGGCACCTAACTCACGTTAGGGAAAGTAAAGGCGGCTGTGCATAGTGCTGACCACACTATCTCTTCATATGCTGAGGTCACAGAAACAAGTGAACTCTACTTCACTTGCCCTGTAGACTGTCAGGTTTGAAAAGGGAACTTTACTTTACACAATTTATTAATCTGAATACACATTTAATTGAGTTATCATCCAGGTAAAATTGACAAAACAAATTTCCATTTTGTTTATATGTAATTTTGATACAGGTCTAATATGAAAAATGTTATTTATTGTGTTTTATTTTTAATTCTTTTGTTTTTCATTTATTCTTATATTATGCAATAACATTAGTGAGACATTGTGGTAAAACAATAAAGCAAATAGCACTTTGTTATTAATCTGAAAGTGATGAGTTTTGTTCTTAGGTTTGCGTCTGTAAATTCACCCAGCACTACAGATTATCTTGACTTTAGTCAGAGAAGCTTAAGATGTCTGGGCGTGTCGCCAACTATACAATCCTTTTATATTTTTATGTCAAAGATACAAATGAACTATACTTCATATGTTTAAGAGGCATGGTATCTAAAAGGGTATTTTACTTACTTCACTGGGAACTTTTGAAGTATTTAATACATTTTAGATTATCAAGAGTGATTTAAAAAAATCTTAAATAAACAGATGACTTTAAGTATGTTAAGTTAATTTAATATGAAACCTTCATTTGTATATTTATATGTACTGAATAACTGCATGATAAAACAATACATGTTTTAGGTTTTAAATCATTGTTAGTTGTCACCTCTTATATGCAAGAACTAACATACCTAAATATTGGTTAAACTCATGAATTGATTTTGGCAAACCAATTGAAGTGAAATCTCCTGCGTGCAGTAAGACATCCCCCGCTGGTACAAAAGAGTCCAATCTCTCAATTTTGTTGTGTGTGTCAGATAAGAAGACAAATCGAATCTTATCCTCAGATAATGAAGTGAGAGGATCTAAAGGCTCTAAAACTTGAACCACCTTAAACAAAAAAATTACTTTAAATAATTAAAACGAATGATAAAATAATATTTTTTAAGTGTAAAATAGAAAAGGGGGAATGAAATTTGTAATAAGAAACCCTATGTGGCCAGGAAACAATACATTTATAATTTTTTTAAAAGTTGTATATATTTTTAAAGAGAAAATCCTTCGACTCAGGATATAACCAATTGTGTACATTAAGTATGCAGGTGTGTCAATGACAAAATCTCTTCTCAGTGTTGTATACCACATCATTGATGCTTTTATTATACCAGCAACAGCCCCATCTCACATGGAGCTAAAAATAATTTCACAGCTTGCTAAACTGGTGGTGGGTTGAGAAGGGAGGTATAATTAAGAAAGGCTATTTGCATATTTCAAGAGCCCCTGTCCCAAATGATATGATAAAGGTATTTTTTAAAAATCAGAATTGACTGGATCTTATAAATTATAAATGTCTACATGTCATACATTTCTTGGTAACTATAAATAATAATAATATAATAATAAAGTAAAAATAAAACCTTAATTTAAATATAGAATTTAAAAACTATTTAAGTTTTTTTTATGTATTCTTTTAATTAAATAGAAGCCATGTATGTGGTTTGTTTCTTTTATAAAGATATATTTGTTAGGCTAATGACTGTAAGGGCAGTTGGTTTTCTAGCAAAAAGTTTTTGGGAAATCATCATGGACTGGTTCAATAATGATACGTCAAGCCTTCTGTTCACATGGTATACATATCAACAACAAAAAAGCCTCAGAAAATGATGTAGTGAAAATTGGAAATAGTTCCAAGAGTTGAAGCAAAAAAAAAAAGGAATATGTAGTATGATAAGTACTGTCCTATCTAAAAATACAAGTTGGAAATCAATGAATAAATTGGTTTCTCTGACCTGTTTGGCTTTCATTGTATCCCATGCTTTAGTAGGATCTTCAGTTAATCGATGTACTGAGACATTTTTTGAATCAACAAAATTAGCAAGAGCTCGAAGTCTATCCATTAATGTATCACAAAGGCTGAAAATAAAAAGCATAAGTTGATTAATGTTCAATACACTGCATAACTGCATGATAAATCAAACAATGCAGGTTTTAGGTTTTAAATCATTGTTAGTTGTCACCTCTTAGTTGTCAACTGTACATAAGTCAATAAGTATTACATAAAAATAACATTCTGCATCTCTAAAGTCGGACACCTTTGCAAATAACTAGTTATATTGTTATTTTGTTTTTGCTTCTTTTTTTAATTTGTTTGTAATGATTACCATTGAAGATTATGGTAAAAATAATACCAGAAACAGCTTTAATGATTTTGGCAGAAAAGTAAATATTTTATGTGATGAGAGGGGATGGGGAGGCAGTACATCTTTTTGTTTTTTAAGGGCGGCATCAAGGGTTTAGTTTTCCAAGGGTAGTGTAGTGACAAAAACTTTGAAACTTGTTGGTCTTTTACCATATGTTGCATTTCTGTTAATAATCCCAAGGTGTTGTCCATAAATTACATCACACTCTTGGAGTTTCCAGGCATGATAGGGCAAGGGGTGGAAGTGACTTTTATGATGATAGGAGAGAGGCATTAAGAAAATGTGATGTAGTACTTTTTGTATTTTAACACAAATATTAAAGTTGAAAATTACTATCTCATTTAGTTGCTAACAGATAATTTAAAAAAAAAATGATAATGAATGAAAGGATTCAATGGACAATTCTAAATAAGTCATCCTTAAAACTAAGTTAAAACCAAACACAAAGGGATGGTGTGGTCAAAGGGTAGAGCATTCATCTGCTAACCCAAAAAACTCAAATTCATCCCAGGTATCTGACAGGCACTAGGGTCGGGAGAGTAAAATGCTGACCACACTAGTGGTGAAACTATCCCTCCCTGTTTAGAGGTCACTAAAATAAAATGAATTTCTCCTACTTCACTTGCTCCATGGACCAAAAGGTTCAAAAGGGTACTTTAAAACTTTATTAATATTTTTACAACCAAACACACAAAGTCAGAAGTTGTGGGAGTTTAAAAACTGGACTACACTAGTAGGGTGTGGGGAAATTGCGAGACGCGAAAAGCGAAATGGCGAGGCGGGAAAATGCGAGAAGGGCGCGAAAACGGTCGGTCACGTGACTTTTTTGTCTCGCATTTTACCACAAGCCGATACTTCCGCTGGGTGGTGTTGAAATGCGAAGATTTCTGCGAAAAATTTACCGCACCCGATTTTCAGTGGTATTTGGTCCAGACTTCAAAGACGCTTCGTTTACATTGTTAAAACTTCCGATTTTTCCGTCGCTAGACATACTGATGATTTGTCAACTCCCCCCATCTTTTGTGTCGACTTTGAATACCACCTTGTTCGAAACCGACGGAAATACCGCCGACGATAGATCAACTTCTGTCTTTTGTGTGGAACGCCGAGGCCGCCTGATTTACCATCTTTGAAGATCGCCGTGCCCGGATCCGCTGCCGCCGCAAACATATTTTCTATTGTTGCATAGAAATTTTGTATTATAGCCGCTGCCTACGATTTTTTTCTAGCTTTTTTTACCATATAAATCTAAGCACAAGGAAATGCCTACATCATTTGGATACAACAAAATAAAGTGACGTCACCGTTATTATCAGTTGGTCGTGCTATATCGTAAGCTATGGGCCTACTTCAAATATTTTTAAAACCAAGTTGAACTTATCTGAATTTTTTGGTTTTGGTGGTGGTATTATTTGGGGTCTTCCATAAATGACGTCACACTCGTAGGGGGGGGGGTCTGTAATTTTATGACGATGTGTGATGAGGGGGAGGAGGGGGGGGTTAGATGTGAAGTCACACTATAAAAAAGCAATGTTAGAAAAAGAATTTTAGACGTTTTTTCGCGTTTTAGAAAACTGTTTTTTAATACATTGTAATAGGAATTGATTGAAATACTCTATTTTGACCGAAATTAGACAAGATTTTGGGAAAATATCGATGTTTTAAAAAAACTCAACTGCTGGTGACAACAATGAGCAAGACATTGCCAAAATTACAGAAATGATAAAAAATACAAATTATAAAAAACGGAAAACAGATGTTGAGCGTGCGGATGATGATGATGATGAGAACATGGGTGCCAGTGTTGTTTGTGGGATGAACGAGGAGGTCAACTGTGATGAGAATGTGAAATGTTGTGAATGTGGATTGGAAGAAGTAGCAAAAGAAAAATGTATAAATGGGAGTCTAATGAACTGGGTTGGGTGTACTATGTGTGAAAGATGGTGTCACGAGGTGTGTTTGAGGACTGTTTCAGAAGATTTTGTTTGTAAATTTTGTTTGTAATTAAAATTACTTAATAAAAAAATAAATTGCACTTTTTAGAATTGTTTATTTTACACTTTTTGCAAGTACAAAAATCCATAAATAGATGTTGCAAAATATCTCTCCTGCTGACAAGATTATACCAATTCACAATGACACAGCTCATGTTTGTATAAACATGAACGGGCTAGATTTTTAAATTAATGCCGACTGAGACGGGATTTTCCTCACGCTAACAAGAGCGGGCGATGACAGTAGCACAGCAACGATGTTAGGATTTTTAAATAGATAGATCTAGATATAGATCTATCTATCTTCTTAGTATCTAGATAAAAAATAACAACATACAACACTCGTGTTAAAGGGTATGGTTAAATGCTTGTTTATTTTAAAAATATTTAAAAAAATAATTGAAATAAATAAAGATGGAAAAAAAAAGGAAAAAACTTTTTTCGCAAAAAGTGTCTCGCTATTTACCCTTAATTCCGCAGGTATGTCTCGCATTACCTTCTCGCATTTTCCCGCCTCGCCATTTCGCTTTTCGCGTCTCGCAATTTCCCCACTCCCACACTAGTACACTGACTACAACTACAGTCACACTACAGTTGACTACAGTCACTACAGTGACTTAGTACTAGATTTCTAGATCATTTATTAGTTATTTTTTTAGATCTAGTTAAGATTAGAGATCAACTACAAAAAAAGTGTCAACTACTGAACAACTGATTGTAGAATAGAGAGTCGATAAATTATATTTCTGTTCTGAACAAACCCACCGTTTGATTGTGGCTCGGACAGGATCTCGTTCTGCTAAATACTAAAATTACTAAATAAATTATTAAAATTAATTTAAGTTTTAGAAAATTAGTTTTAGCCTCGAAATAGACCAGGTTCTCTTTTGGACTTTTTAGTCTCTGAGTTCTCTCTTTCCATCTATTTTAGGATCTATCTATGACTAGACTAGGCCTAAGTTACTAAGTTCTAAGTAGAGTAGCTGAGTATTCACTAGGCTTGTTTCAGACTTTAGTTTCCTGATTCGAGTTATCAACAGAGTGACTCCCCTTACAAAGGTCAACTGAGAACATAAACATCCGGTTCAAAATGGCTGTCTCTAATCAGCTGGATTCTCAATTTTTTAATGATTTAGTACCTCCAGAATCTTTTGAAACGAAAAAGGAACAAATAAACAAATTTGCTAACATTCATTTAGTAAAAAATAATAGAATAGTTCTAATCACGGTAAGTAGTTAAGTAAGCAATATGCAGCAATAGGGTTCTTAGAACAAGCTGGAAAAAGTCACAAAAGTGGTTCCGACATTTTTTTTTCAGAAAAATTAAAAATAAATTTTAAATTTTGGTAATCTATCGTTTTGGGTACGTAAAATCGCCTCGGCTTCTAATGTACGAAAAAGTTACCTCATTGTCAAGGTTTTAATAGAGGTATATTGTGATATATTTGTGTCAAATATTGTAGATAAATGAATAATAAACCTAAACCAATGGTTAAATATAAAATAAATAAATATATATCGGTAATCTATCGTTTTAGGTACGTAAAATCGCCAGCGGCTAGTAATGTACGAAAAAGTAACCTCATTGTTAAGGCTTTAATAGAAGTATGTTGTGATATATTTGTGTCAAATATTATAGATAAATGAATAATATTATAATAAACCTAAATCAATGGCTAAATATATCAATATAGGTAAGAAATTAACTTTAAACAGCAGTGTTTGCGAGCAGGATTAGCTATAAAAAGCGGCCATCAGTAATCTCTAGTGGCTTCCCCTGAATCATGCGCTATAAGTTTACAATTAAAAAAATAAACAAGATGGCTACTATAGTAAATGAGCATGGTTGCATCTGTTGGAAACATCGCTAGTCTTTATTTATTACTGAAAAGTTTTAACTCAGTTGTTTAAAAACAGGTAAATTCTACATAAATGAAACTAGGAAACATTTTTGTATTTTTCAAAACATAAATCCTCCTCAAAATGTGAAATAATTATTAAAGTTTAAGGAGTCACCTGTTTTTCACATTACTAGTCGCGGGCGATTTTACGGTCGGGGGGGGGGGGTAGAATTTTTCTTTTGAAATTATATGCCCCTTTATATATATGTAAAACTTTTTTACACCCCCCCCCCCCCCCCCCTCCCTTTACATGCTAAACTGACTGGCATTTATTGAAATTAAAAGAATACCATAAAAACACTCACATTTAGTACTCAATGAAATGGCTGCAATTTTACAGTGAGCTTCCAGCATGATGTAGACAAAGAACCTGGAAAGGTTATTGTTAGATATTAACCATGCTCAACTGTTAATCTTCTCTTCTTTTTTGTTTTGTTTTTTTTAGTCAGGGGGCACAACTGTGCCTCTTGAGAGCAGAACTGTCCGGTTTATTGACAATTTCAGTATTGGAACACGAGGAGCAACTTCAGCAGAGTATCCTTTGTTATTGTTAAAATTAAACAGAACAATAAACCAGTTTAACCATATCAATGTTTTTTGCCATTTTTTATGACCCTTACTTTCAGTATTGATTAGTAGAGTACCACTGTTATTAATTAATCTGTTTTCAAAACTTTTTTTTAAAGAACTTGTTTTTTTTTTATTGTCTTTTGATTTCTCTCTACTAATTTATTTGTCATTTAAAAAAATTTAATTGTTTAAAACTTTATTTAAATTCTTTGCTGTCTTAAAAAAAGAATTGTTCTTAACTGTCAAATATATTTTTTGAAGCAAGGCTATGCTGTGTTATTCTTGCATCGTCATAGATCTTTACAACCTTTTTTTCAAAGAGTTGAAAAAAATATTTTAGATATACTAAATGTTTCAGAAAATGAGGATACATTGATCACTGGTAGGTGATATCTTTCTTTTGATATTTTTTATGTATCTTAGAAATAAATAAAAGTATTTGTTATTTAGATTTTGGCAATGAATACATTTGCTTTTAATTTTATACTTGAAACTTAAAGTAAAATTGGTATTTCCATTTGTACTACATTCAGCAATGGTTTTTCTTAATGGTATGTTTCAAGTTAACTAGGATGGGATGTCCAACCCAACTTACAAACATCAATAAGTAAATTAAATCTTAACTTTGTTTTTGTCTTTTTACTAAAAAAATATTCTTTTTTATTTGACTTTATAAATGATATAAGATAGTCACCCAGGATAGTAAGCTAAGTAACATAGTTTATTTATTAAACTTATTGATAGATTTTACTTTTTAACATATGCTATTTCTTCCAGTTGATAAAACTTATGTCCAGAAATTGTCACCGGTTGTGAAACAGTACCAAAAGTTTCGAGATGAGGGCATGTTGTGTATGGTAGATTTCACCACCCTGTCTGAGTACCTGGTCTTGTTACATGAAGCTTGTGTGTCCCTCCAGCCCTGTGGCAAACAGGCAATTATTTATCTGGCAGCTGCTGTGGCTGATTTTTACATTCCTAAAGGACTGATGGTAATTTTTCTTGTCTACATTATTTAAGGTGAACAGATTTACTCCCTAATGTATAGGCCAAATAGATATTTAGCATTTCAGTGCATTGTGAAGACTTGCTTTTTCACTGTTGTTTTTGATGAGTTGTGAGGCATCTATTATCACATTAATCATGTATAATTGCATAATGTATAATTATCAGCTAAAACTAAACTAAAATTTAAACATGAAATACAGATATTTAATGATGGGTGGTACACATTTAAGTTTTCTTGCCAGAGTTTGAGATATTAGCTCCAAAAAGGTGTGTAGTTTTCTTGTGGTTTTTTTTTTTTGTATAAAGCTTATGTATGGGGATTTTTTAATGTTAATGACTTAAAAAGTAATAAGGTTTCCCTTCCAAATCTTAGAACAGATCAATAATCAATTGAATAATTAAGCTGTTCTTTGGTGCAGTTTTAAAATGTATGGCTGAATAGATGACAGTCTTATTCTACAGTTTCATAAATTGTTTAAAATTGTTATTTATTGGATATCCAAAAGTTGTTTAAATAGTTTTAAATAGTTTCTTATTGTACATGCTGTGTCTTCAGCCAGAACACAAAATCCAGTCATCTGAAGGAGTTTTGAAGTTGACCCTTGAAATGACACCAAAAATGTTGAAACCTCTAGTAAAAGATTGGGTACCTCATGCATTTATTATATCGTTTAAGGTAATTGTAACAGTCAAATGTATATGAATGTATGTTGCGAGTGTGTGTCTTAAAAAGGCGAGATAAAATATAAAATATAGTGTGGGTGTGCGCATGCGCGAAAGGAAAGGAAGCGAGAGGTGGAAGGCGGCAGAACAAGAAAGATGACGAAATTGAAAAGTCGTGTTTGTTGAGTAGTGTAGCTGCTTATTATCATTCTGAATATGTAGATCTAATATTAATAAAATTGTGAAATCACCAGTAATGTGGTTGGTATTTGCTTTTAGTTTATGTCGTGAACCCAGTCATACAAAAGGGCTGTGACAGTAATATTTTTTTTCTTATTTAATACTATTATGTGATGTATAAGTTAAACTGTTTAAAGACAGTGCTAGTTGGTTAAAATTTATATCATTTAGAGACTCAAGACTATACAAAAATATAAATAGGTGTAAACAGATGGATTATAAATGTATAATTCTTAACTATTTTATTATCAGTCAAAAATTTTTAAGTGTTGATGGTGTCCTTTTTTATATTTTTCAGTTAGAGACTGATAAAACTATTCTTAAAGATAAAGCAAAGAAAGCCCTTCAGATGTATCAACATCAGGTTAGTCAAACACTTGAAGTATATTTACATTTATTTGTTATCATATTAACCCTACTAACGTTATCAAACAGCTTTATGGACATTGTTGATCTAGAAATCTATATATATATAATTCTCTTCTGGGAGCCGTTAGAAAACAAGCTGCAAGCGCGCCTTTGCAGTCCCCTCTCTTCCTCTCTATCACTATCACTACCACCCCCACCCCCATATGATCTGGTGAGTTGTGGTTCACTCTAAATGTTTACAAATCGTAGAGCTGGGTTTGTTGACGGCTATTAGGGGCAGATAATTTAGTTTGAAACGATTTTAAACTTACAGGAGGTAACTAAGAGGAGGCTGCTTTCAGGGGGGGGGGGGAGGGGTGTATGGTAGGGGTTGGGGGGGGGGGTAGTGTTTTAAAGCAAATATTTTCAGTGGCAGCATTGGTACTGTCAAATTCACAAATTATGAATTACTGAAAAGTAGAAAATAAAACAACTAAATAGCGGCTTTTGATACGCAGCGGGTCGGCTCGTATTTTTAATTTTAATAATTCTTAAGTTAAACAATTTTTGATAGATTCATTTTTTTGTTTTTCTGACACAGATGGTTATAGCAAACCTCCTAGAGACACGCAAGAAAGAAGTTTTCATTATAGCCAAGGATTCCGAAGAAGATTTGATTCTCACAGAGGAACAGCTATCTTCTGGTCAAGAGATTGAGGAACTTCTGATAGAAAAACTTGTGATTTACCATACAAATTTACTACAGCCTTCGTAAAGATTGAAATGTTGGTCTAGAAAATATGACATGTTATTATCAAGCATTTCTTTTCTTTTTTAACTCAGATCTTTCATTTCACAATGCTTAAAAGGATACAATTGTCTTTATGCATTAGGGTTGAATGTGCCTGGTATTGGGACACCACATAAGCCGTTTGTGTAGTTAAATTTGGATACTGTTTCATAACTACTAAATCACAAGTTACGTTGAATTTAAAACGTAATTTTAAAATCTAAAATGTGATGGTTTCTTTAAATGGATTTGTTTAAATTGGCAAAATCAGCTTAATCCAATTAGTGGACAATTACTAAATTTTAAATCATATGAATGGCTCTTACATTACTTTAATAATTTTTTTTAGCTTGTTGGGTGTTTCTGATTTATTTTTCAAGTATATTGTGGGCATATATTGTTATTAATGTGAAGTCTTATTTCAAAAACATTGCTTAAACTTATTGCCATGGATGTAGCCCATATCCAGTGGTAGGAACTTCTTATTTAGGTTATTCTTTCATTATACTTTTTCCCCCCATAATTGGAGAATATAAGAATTATTTAAAGATTGCCGACATTGTATTTGAATGGAAAGGAATCTAGCAGACGACGCATTTCTGCTGAATAGTCCAACTTGTAACAACACTCTTTAAAAACTAACCCATCGTATTAGTCATAGCATCCTAGCCATTTAATAACAAATGTGTTTTAAAAAAAATCATTCCCTAGGCTATTGATTAATTTTTATAAATAAAATTGGTATGAAATGAAAAAAAAATAAATGTAGTTTTTAATTTCAGTCATCTTGAACAATAATGAAGTTTAAAATCTTATTTGCCACCTTATTTTAGATACAGCTGCTACAACCGCTTTTTTTTAAAAAAAAGGTTTAACTATCATTATAGAGAACAATATTTACAAATGTTTACCCCTCCCCACTTATTGAACAACCTTTGTTTTAGCAGTCACAAAAGTTATGGTTCATCATTTCAAACACTTTTACAAAATAGTTATCTCCCATATAGAGACCAAACCAACTGCTGCTCTTTCTCCTATTGTTACCTTTATTGAACTGTCTGTCTATGCTGTCTGAACAACATGACATTTTTTACATTAATATATTCTGCAAGTAAGAGGATGTTTAACTTGTTTTAAAATGTCTTGTTAAAAATTAAAGAATACGTCTTTTACAAGAATACTTGATGGTATTATAAAAGTATATTTTATTTATTTTATAATGTCTTTTAAAAATCAAAGAATATTTCTTTAACAAGATTACTTGATAGTATTATATTTCTTTTGATATTTTGTTATACAAACCATTTTAGTCCAGGAATTAAGTTTATTTAAAGACCAATACATACCATATTAATCTTATTATTCAGGTCCTTGGATATTTAGATTTTTTAAAGAATTTAGTGTCAGTTATGGATCCTAGGCTTCACAATGTTTAGGATGTGCTGAAGTCCAACAAAATTTATATTTGTTTGCTAACACCAAACACAGTAGGTTATCCCTTGCCTTCATGGGCTCCTGACACTAGTCAGGATTAGTTATGGTAGTTTGGCGTGACGCTTTGTAAAAACAGATGAACTCTACTTTATCTTTGTCATGTTTTTTAAAAACTTTTTGTTTGTTAATCTATATTTAGTATTGTTTACATTTTTTTCTTTACAAATATATTTTTTAACGTTATTGTAAATTGCAAGTATTTAAAAATGTTCATGTATCTCTACAATACTGTGTACAAGAAATTCAGGTCATGAATAGTCAATTGGATTCTATATGAGTATCGAATAATGGAAGTAAATTCTTTTTTTATGCTTCCCAAGAATTATTATCTTGTGCTATACAAAATTATTTTCTTTCATACTGCAATTTAAAAACATTTTCTGTATCAAAGATAATGTTTGAAACATATTCTTAGTCTAGTGATTTTATAAATGTTCCACTGTTTGCAAATTAAAATGTTGATTACTCCAGTAGTGGTATTTCAAGTCAGATTATTGTAATGTTTTTAACATAAAATTGTATTTTATTTATAAGCATCCTCCTGAAAAACTTGATGTGCTGTGTTATTAAAACATGGTTATAAAAACTTGATGGTGTCGTTGTGAAGATTAGATTTATTTCAGTTTTTTAAAGTATTTTCTTTAACTAAAAAAAAATTTGAAAAAGAAATTTTTTTTTTCTCATTAAAAATGTAAACAAATATGACTTTGACTAAGTCATGTTGTATTCATAAGTATAAGTTTATTACATTTACTGCAAAAGTTTTGAGTAAAAAGTGGAATTACAGAAATCCATGACGGATGATGAAGCACATCAGTTTGTCTTACTAAAGTGAAACCTCAGGTTGAAATAAATTGATAGAAGTCCTCACCATTTGCAACTTTTATAACATTGATTCTTAAAATATTAAATATCTGAAGTTTTCTACCCGTAAGCTTTTTTTTTTACATTTTTGTATTGCCACTATAAGGCAAAATTAACCAAAACATTTTTTATCTATGTCATCAATAATGATCAGAGCCATCTCATGAACTCTGCTGATGATGAGGTCTGAATATTTGGTTGGGCTTTTGGAATCTGCTATTAATTTTAAGAGATATAGTTTTTAAAATATTGAATATTAAAGATGTTTTTTTTTTTGTATTTTCCTCTTTGTTTTACTTTGTTAGGGTAGGGATGCAAATCTCTGGGGTTCATTATCATCTCTTACAGATTTGTCTGCCCTGATACATTTAATTACTTTTATCAATTACCATTTTATGATTTATAGAAAATAAAAATATAATACTATTAGAAAAATACTAAAAATATTCAATACTGTAAAGTATTTAAATATTAGGAAAAAAACAACTGTGAAACTAAATTGGTTGTGAGACAACTTTTATTTTGAATAATATGCAAATGACATGTTGAAAATCTGTAGACAATACATGTTTAAAAAAATTATATAGAAAGATCAAAGTCTTCTTGTACAAAAACGTTTACAAAAATTTATAGCTTTAGTATATAGCAACATGTAAATATTTTTATCGCAGCTAAATGAAAGCATAAGTTCCATCACAAGTAATTATCTACAGTGAATTATAAATAAAAATAAACTACTGCAAGCATGTTTAAAAAAATAATACTGGCTAATTTAACATAGAATGTTTTACCTAACACTTAGTTATTGAAGTAGTGTAAATTTGTTAACTGAATGAAGAAACCACCAGAATGATATAGATCAGGGACAGTATTTAAACAACGCAAAAATTAAATTTTGAGATGTTTTGAGTGAAATTAAGACATCTCCACAATCAAACAGAACATTTGCACTTCTCATGACCATAAGACAATTGATTCCTAACATAAAATCTTGATGTTTTACTAAACCTTAAAGCTAAAAAAAATTAGAATAGTTTTGCATTCAAATTAGTGTATCTACACAAAACATCGTAGTTGAACAATGAAATACAGAAGTGTTGGAATTCTCGTCTCAAGTTCATTATATTTAACTTAATTATTTCTAAAACAAAGATTAAAGTAAATTAACCCTTTCAACCCTAAAATTTGCCTCTTTATAGTGTTCCAGTGGGTTGTCAATTCTAGGTTTCATTATAAATTTTTACAGAGATACTTAATTTATTAATATTAAGTTATATTTATTTTAAGTTATATTAATTAATATAATATTAATAGGAATAATTAATATTTATATTAAGTTAAAACTATTGTTTCATGACTTAAATATTTATAAAAAGAAATACAGATTTCAGTTTGACTTCTCATCTTTCATAATAATTAACCGATGCACTAAAGATGAGATATTGATAAATTATTAGTATGTGTATGTCAAAGGACTTAATCAAAGCAATTTTCTTGGGCAAATACTTAGGGATTCAAGGGTTAAAAGACAATTTTCATTTTACTTCAACAAGCTTTAAGCAAACTACTTAATGTGTACCTTTAACATGTAATGAATCACTCCAGCAAATAAAATTTTAAAAAATTAATGTATGGACTGAATAATACATCACAGATCATTGGCAAACGGTGTCAGTGGAATGTTGGTCTTGCAATTGTAAAGCAAAGACAGCTTTATGCTTCTGTTTTTCATGTCAATTATAAACAGCAAAGTATTACCCTAGGTTACAATAAATAAAAAAAGATGGACAATTCTTTTGGTCTAAAACTGAATATAAAAAGTTATAAAATGTAAGAAAAATCTACTCAAAATTTATTTCAACATCTTAAAGTGATTGTCCAATATTTAAACTATCCTTTCTGTACTTTTTTTTTTATACAGATACACAAAAACTCTACATTAGCTTGATGCATTAAAACACATAAGTAGGCCTACACTGGTTAACAGAAATTAGTGAATAAACAAAGGGTAAAGCTGAATCACAATTTTAACACTCTCTTAATAAAGTAAAATAAAAATATACTGATTAATAGGTTCAACTGACTTTAAAAAATAAGTTATCATGTAAAAAATGTAATTAAAATTATTTATAATATTACCAATAAATTAACAATGTCACTTGATTACTATAAACTGTACAATAAGGAACAATATAAATAACTAAAAACTATTAGTAATTCTTTAAACCCACACAAAAATGTTACAAATTAGATATTGATAAATTAAAATCAACAATTTTCAAAATACACAGTAAACATAATGATTTTAAAATGAGAAATCTTTAAGAATAAAAGACAGGATGCTGTAATACAGTGTCTGCAGTAAAAAATAAATGGATAACACCCTTATGCTTTATACTTATAGGATTGCATAATTTAGAATAAAAGAAAATCAAAAGTATAAAATTATACCCTGAGCAACATTTTATGGTAACTACTGTAATTATTTGTAAACCATTAATTTGTATATATTAATTTTAAAAAACAACGAAACTTGTCATTTTTTTATCTTGGTCTGCTGTGATAGTTTGTTTTCCGCCACCAGAGGCAAAAGTGGAAATTACCAGAATGTGATACCCCCTCCACTGCCACCACTTAACCAGCCTGCATTCTTCTGTGTTGCTATCACAGTCCCACCTTGTGCGGCAGCCATCTGTGCAGCATTTGGAGCACACCCAGGGGGTGGAGGCTGATCAGGGAGTATAAAAGGAAGAAGTTTATCAGTAAGAATGACAGAAGCGTGTATCAAGAAATTGCTTTGATAGCATCTGTTTAATGTCATAACCCTAACCACTATACCAACTGAGCAAAATAGATTTCATAATAAAATCTTACTTCTAAATGTTAGTGGGTAGTTTAGATTTTAAAAAATACCATTGATAAATCAATAAATCTGTATTGATCACCATGATGACTTTATGTTTACTAATTTTTTTTCTTCATTTTCATTAATTTAGTAATGGTAAGTTTTTACAAATTTCAACTCAAGAACAGAATACAGTTTTTGACCCTCTCATTTTTAATACTCATAAAAGACAAAAGTGATGGGCAGACCTATTTTCTGTAGCACTGATACCAATATAGCCCAGTTGCTAATTTATGTATATAAATCTAAAGCTAAAAATACAAACTCAGTAATAGTTTACTAGCAAATAAGTCTGTTACTTACAGGAATATTATGGGAGGCAACACCATCAAATCTGGCACCTGAATCAAAATGTGCCACGGCTGTTACATTCTGATTAGAGTAAGCATAGCCCGGCTGTGTTGGGTAGCCTGTCTGGACTGCAGAATACTGGAGACATAAAAAAAATAAACCGGGAGTGTGATGGTATGAAATAATTGGTTAAGAGTTGTGAGGGTGGGGATTTTTAAGAAGGCGGAACGAATGAATCCAATAACACAAGTTCCAGTATAAAATCAAAAATGTTCTTTATTAAAACTATAAATCAATTTCCTACCTAACTAGCCTGTTAAATACTATCTACTACTACTACTACTACTAACTCCACTAACACGCCCTTCCATGACCAATCCTACCACTATCTACATTCTAACTGTTCTCTACATAACTATGTCTGCTCCATTCTACAACCTAACACCTTCTGCCCTCGCTAGCTAATCATGATCTCTGGGCCTGACAGTGGTCCACGCTTCAGTGGTCAGCTGACCGCCCCACGTGACCGGTCAGTTCACGTATTTTTTATTGGTCTCTCTCTCTGACTAGTATGACCAACTTGCTATAGCCTGCTTCTGCTATCTACCTGAGCTCGACGCAACCTTGCGTCATCACAGGGAGTGATCTCCCCTAAACTTTCTCGAATATTCTTATATAACTTGGAATATAGACATGATTTTTAATTACTTAAACTTTTAAAAATAGAATAGAATCTCATAGAAAAAAGAATTGCGCACCAAGCGAACGCCAAAACAAAATGTGCATAATATTAATAGTACGCAATATTATTAGTACTTTATAAATTTACATGCATTTTTTGAGAAATCGGAAATAGCGTAAATTAGTACTTCCGGTCAACGGAAATTACTCAAAATTTGACAAAAGGTAGAGAATTAGATCTTTTACTTACATGTGAAATTTCATTTATCTATCTGAAATAGTACTCAAGTTATAGGCTTTTGAAAAATTCAAAGAAGAAAAAGTACCATTTCCGATTATCGGAAATCGCTCAAAAGTTGATCAGGATCTACGATTTTGATAAAATACTTATATATGAAATTTTATCAACCTAGCTGTAACGGTACTCAAGTTATTGTGTTTACACACAGACAGACACACACACAGACATACGGACAAGATTGCAAAATTATGTTTTTCCGTATCAGTGAGGTGTAAAACGTCGAGATTTGTAAAAATCTCGATTTTATTTTTGCACGATTACAAGACTTTCTCTTAATAAGTAAATAAAACCAAAAATGTATACATTAACATCTTTTACATTTTTAACACAATATAACAAAATTTACAGTATTAATAGTATTATATAGTGCAAAAACAAATAATTTAGTAATCAAAAATTAAACCTAAAAAAAATTTAATTAAAAACATTAAATTATAGGCCTAATAAATATTCTAAAAAGAAGTTTTGAATGAAACTGCTATGAATAAATGTTAGAAAATTCAAGATCTACATTTAAAGTTTGGCTCTTATTGATTTGTCATGCTTAACTTAATGATTATGGAAGACACAGATCAAAATATTTTAGAATTAGGATATTGAAAGATTTATTTCTATCAAAACATGATACTCACAGACTGTTGGTAGGCACTGTATGGTGGGGGTGGGCCTTGAGCCATCATGTGACCTGAACCACTGTATGATTGATGCTGTACACCTAGTTAACAATGATAGAGGGTTTCAATTGTGCATTAAAGCTTGATACTTAACAATTATTAAATCAATGTCAACTAAACAAATCTGATGCTAATACTTATTCAAAGCTCAACACATTAATATAAGCATTACTAATATTTAGGAAAGTATTCAATGTTTTCACACTTTCTATACTGTGAACATCTTATGGAAAGGCATGCTCAGTGAGTAGAGCACAAGGCTGCTAACTTGAAAGTCTTAAGTTCAGATAAATGACGTCACGCTTTTTTTGACGATTTTTTACTCCCCCCTCCTCATCGTCACAAAAAGCCAGACCCCCCCCTAAAATGATGTCACACCTCAGCCTACAACCCCCCTCAAAACTGCAGTTTAATTTTTCTCAAAACATCAATTTTTTTCCAAAATCTTGTTTATAACTGTCAAAATAGAGTATTTTAATCAATTCCTAATACAATTTATTAAAACTGTTTTCTAAAACATGAAATAACGCCTAAATTCGTTTTCTAACATTGCTTTTTTATAATGCAAAAGTGTGACATTGCACCATCTGACCCCCCCCCCCCCCTCCCCCTTATCACACACCATCACAAAATTACGGACCCCCCTACAAGTGTGAAGTCATTTATGGACGACCCCTTGAGACTGTAATGCTCCTGATCCATCCAACTCTGATGGATAACTGATGCAATTGTTAAGGAACATGCTGTCTTTGAAAGTCAAGGTCACTGAAATAGATGAACTCTACTTCATTTGTCCCAACATGCTGACATAACAACATTCTAGACTCCTTACCAGCAGGTGGATACTGATACTGTGTTTGATACTGATAAGATCCAGGGCCAGGCATCATAGGTGGTTGACTTGAGTAAGGGGGTGGGGCATAGTTGTAGGCAGGTGGGGGGTAGGGTGCCATAGGTGCAGTTGTAGCCATGTTAGGGTACTGGCCACTCTGTTTTTCATTTCCAGCAGGGGGGTAGGCAGGGTCTGTGGAAAATCGCAAAGGCAAGATATAAAAGTAAAATGTGCTTGACGAGAGTGGTCTTAATTTCTTCAGCTGACAATCACACATGCAATGGTATAAAATAAAGATAAAAATTAGTGGCATCAGAACAATTGATTATTCAATTGTATTGCTTTTCCGATGGACTGATAGATTCGGATAATATTCAATGACATGTTCTGAGTTAGATCTATCTAGAACCCAGTGGTTACTACTAACAAATTGGCACTCATTTAACTCTAAAGTAGTCTAAAGTCTAGTTGCCTAAATAATACTAAATATATCTCTATATATATAATTCTCTTCTGGGAGACGCTAGAAAACAAGCTGTAAACGCGCTCCCTACCATCCCCACCCCTACATGGTCTTAGTGAGATGTGGTTCACGCTATGTTTACCTTCGTGGCGTCGGGTTTAGTGACAGCTATTAGGGGCAGATAATTTAGTTTGAAAAGATTTTAAACGTTGGGGGGAGGGGGGGGGGGGGAAGGAAGGGGGGTTATGGTCCTTAACGAGCTACTTATAGTGTTTTAAAGACATATTTTCAGTGTTAGCGTTGGTACTGTCGAATTCACAAATTATGAATTACTGAAAAGTAGAAAAGCAATAACTAAATAGCGGCGTATGTTATGCCGTGGGCCGGCTCGTTTAAATATAATATTGATTATTATTAATTATTAGGCCTAGATCTAGGCCTATATCAGAGTTTATTAATATTAAATTATTAGTCAATATTCAATATTAGTACTAATAATAGTACTTTAGTTTTAGTACCTACTACTAAGTAATATCAGATCTAGTACTAAAATACTAATATAATATTGAATATTGAAGTAGTAGTAGAATCTAGTAGAAGTAGGGCCTTTTATTAACTTAATACTTAATAAGTTAATATAGTACTAAGTAGTAAGTACTAAGTTAAAAGTACTACACTTACACTACTTAGATTCTTAGAATCTAGAATAATCTAGATGTCTAGTACTAAAGTACTAAGTAGGCTACTTAATACTTCTTATACACTAGATCTAGAAATCTACTAGATTTTTACCGATTTAATATTTAATTATTTATCATTTTTTTAACCTACCCTAACCTACTAGAACTAGTAGAGATAGTACTAGATCTACTACTAGAATCTACTACCTACCAGATCTAGAATCTAGATCTACTACTAGTACTACTGACTAGATCTAGATCTAGATCTACCACCTAAAGTTAGAATCTGGATCTAAAATCTAGATCTAGATCTAGATCTAGATTCTTTTAAAATTTATAATTAATTTATATTTAATAAAATAAAGACCAATCAATTTCTAAACCAATCACTATCACCATTTGATACCTTTTTGGAAAGACATTTCTCTCGTAGTAGATCTAGGAAAACAGTACAAGTACCAGTCCTGTAGTTCTGTGTTGTGTGTGTCTATGACTTGACTTTTCTAGGGATAAGCAGATAAATATAGAAACATATGACGTCACACTGTTGCGACAAGCCGAACAATGGTCAATACATCCGTTTTTCTTTATAGGCCAGGTCTATCGATTTTAATTTTTTTTTTTTAAATAGTTTATTTTAAAAGAAAAATCTCAGAACGTGTAGTCATTTCAAAGTTCGTGGTGCGGTTGTTATTATGTTGTAAAGCTTATGACGCCTTATGAGTATGATCACATTCACAGCATTCGTATAAAAAAAAAATTTTAAAGTATCTCTAGAAGAAATACTAAATAGATCTAGATCTAGAATCTATAAGGCAAATGAGTCTATAACACAAATATAGATCAAGGCCTGTAATTAGCTACTAGAATCTAGATCTATGTAGCAGTGGCGGATTAAGGGGGGTGCTGAGGGCAGTTTTTCTTCCAGACTTTTTTCTCCGGGGGGGGGGGGGCACTTGAAATCTTCGGGGGGGGGGCGGTAAACTTTCTTCGGGGGGGGGGGGGGACACTGTTAAAAGTATATATTTTCTATATAAATTATGTAAATTTCATTTCGTTCGGGGGGCGGTAAAAAAATTTCGGGGGGGGGGGGGGGGGCTTAGCCCCCCCGAAGAGATGCCTGGAAGAAACTCTGGCTGAGGGGGCTACAGCCTGGGGCCCCCGATTTTTAGGGCCCCCAAATTTCCTTTTTCAATCAGAGTAAATTTCCATTTAAAGTGATTTTTTTTTTACTATAAAAGCCAATGTTTTAATATTTGAATCACAAGTTTATTTCAATTTTTTATCAAAATATCAAAAGCGAGTACACACTTTAGTATAAATACCATACCAGCCCGGACAGCGTTTGCTTATAACAATAAATTGGATTAATTTTAGAGTTAAAAACACAAACAGTGGTCGAATTCTGACACATAAATGACATGAATCTGGTGTGAACACTCTATGATTTAAACTTTTAAAAACATTTATAGGCCTTTACTTTTATTGAACGTTAATATCGGGTTTACAGGCCAGGGATGACGTTCTTTAAATGGACGCCGGTGGAAATCCAACTTTTTGTTGGCCTCATAAATGGATGACACCTAAGAGGATGGAGGTGTGGTTTTTTTACGCTTATACCGTGCTTACTGTTTTAGTTGGGCCTAGTTTAACCTCGTAGACCGTCCCTGAGTCCACCCAACTCTGATGGGCACTTAACTCACGTTAGGGAAAGTAAAGTTTGCTGGGCATAGTGATGACCACACAATCTCTTCATATGCCGAGGTCATAGAAACAAGTGAACTCTACTTCACTTGCCCCATAGACCGTCAGGAAAAGGAAACTTTACTTTACTAGTTTAACCTCTTTATGTTATTAATAATTTACTACATAGAGTGGATTGAAATTCTCTTTTTTTCTCTTCGCATCTGCAAGCAAACACGTGCCAACAGTCTTTATCGTCTGCTATATAACGACATAATAATATTATCATGAACATTTAGATTTGTTCAACGTTAGTCTGCATTTCCAGCTTTCTCATGCCCAATATAAATTCTTGAATGACAGTTCAATAACTATCGTGACACGGATATACCGGCTAAGGAGTTTGACTCAAATTAGCCAGGCAGGCCTCGACGTACTGAAATCCAACTAAATGGCAAACTGTGGACAAAATCAGTCTCACGAAGATGTTGGTTTGAAACACTACATGTGAGTCGCTTATTCATCCGTAGGCTCTCACCAGGCTTTACTCCCCCCACCAACAGAAGCGGGACATCGTCCTACCGTCTGGTACCCGGCTAGGTCGATGGTCAGAGGTCTAAAGCTTCTACAGGCCTAAAGTAAACATCATATATTTATTACTGCTCACTTAGCGGATGGATCTCGCTTCTCTGTATTTTGTTAGTGTGTGTGTGTGTCGTGGTAGTGGGTGGGGGCAACATATAATCATGCTAAAAATGAGTACATATTGGTTAGATGTTAGGGGATCAGCGTGGTTGAATCGATAAAGCTCGTGGATGCTTAACCGAGTTCAAACCCTAGGACAGATGAGGCTCATTAGCTGGGGACAGCAACTCTTCTAGGAGAGACAACTCCAAAATCAAACATCTGCTGTAGTTTGTTCTTGGTTGGACAAAGGCTATTGAAACAAATTAAAAAAGAAAAGCAGGCTGAAATCGGACTCAATGGTCTAAACGGCGCATAACCAGTTGACACGTATACTTAAGTGTGTTGGAGGGCACCCCTTCCAACACTAAAATTAAGAACAAAGAAGAAGAGAAGAAGAAGGTTAGATGTTTGTATCCAATTTACCGCTCATTGAACACAATTGACAGCTTTTTTAAATTAGTAGTTTTGTAAATATCGGTGTCGAATGTTCCTATAAGTTATAAATAATCCATTAATATCTTGAATAATTTGCTGATTAGGATATATATATATATATATATATATATATATATATATATATATATATATATATATATATATATATATATATATATATATATATCAGGGGCCCCCAAAAAGTTTCAGCCCGGGCCCCGTCCAAGCTTAATCCGCCCCTGCTATGTAGACATATGTAGGCCATGCTTGGATAGGCCTGTATTTTGTTAAATATTTCGTTGTCTATTTGTTGTCTACAGACGTTTTTTTGTGTCTACTTGTTTAAACACGCTTTTTTACTTTCTCGTATATACGAAGTATAGAGAAAGTATTGTAATCGTGCACAAAAATCACTTGAAATTTTAACAATTTTCACCGTATTACACCTCAGTCCTTCATCACATCCGAAGTATAGAGGACTTATTTTAATCGGGCAAAAATTATCAATCCAGATTTATCAAAATTAAGAGGTTTTATGCGTAATCCAGTCTGAAAAACTGAGCTTTGCAATTCTGTCCGTATGTCTGTGTGTCTGTGTGTGTGTGTGTCCGTGTGTAAACACGATTACTTGAGTACCGTTATAGCTAGGTTGATGAAATTTCATATATAAGTATTTTATCAAAATCGTAGATCCGTATCAACTTTTGAGCGATTTCCGATAACCGGAAGTGGTACTTTTCCTACTTTGAATTTTTCAAAAGCCTATAACTTGAGTACTATTTCAGATAGATAAATGAAATTTCACATGTAAGTAAAAGATCTAATTCTCTACCTTCTGTTAAATTTTGAGTAATTTCCGTTGACCGGAAGTAGTAATTTACGCTACTTCCGATTTCTCAAAAAACTAATGTAAATTTTTAAAGTACTAATAATATTGCGCGCTATTGTGCACTTTTTTATTTGGCGTTCACTAGTTCACTTGGTGTGCAATTATTTTGTCTACGAGATTTTATTCTATTTTTAAAACTTTAAGTATTTAAAATGGATTAAAAATCATGTCAATAGCCCGAGTTCCCATCCCCTGTTGTTTTATATAAGAATATTCGAGAAAGTTTAGGGGAGATCACTCCCGGTTTATTACTATATAATATGCGTGCATTGCCTACATACCTCATATCGTTACATGTCTTTACAAAACACAACAAAAAGTTCATTCGACCTAAAGAAATTAATTTCTAAAGTCCACTATTAACAAAAATTTCACCCCCTCCCTTCCTTACTTAAGTAAGCACGCTACCACAATCATGACAATGATTCAATGGTCTGACCCCCACCCCCATTATAGGCCCTATTTAGTTGGTGATAAGTTATGAATTATACGGATGACAAAGAACTTCATTCTAATGAATGTATGGTGAAATATTTGGCGTTGCGTAATTTATAATTCGCGTATTATAGATCTAATTGTCGAACAGGCACTTTTCTCCGGGTAGGCACTTGAAAACTTCCCGGCGGGAGGGGAAGACAGGTTAAAAAATAATTTGTTCTATGTGTTTAATTTAAAATTATATCCGGGACCGTAGGGGAAGCGGTTTGTAGGCCTTGCTTCTGAGGAAGGGGGGGGGGGGGGCGAGTCGCCTGAAAGAAATAGCCTAATGGTTTACATGTAAATAAGAAAAATTGCGACACAGGACATTCACTGACTCAAACGTATCAGCAAGATAGGGCCTAGGCCAAGAGTTAAAATTAAATCGCATTTCGTAATTGGCCAACTAGGCATTCTATAAACACGGAAACCGTAGAGTAGAATACTAAGATTTCAGTGCAAAGGAAAACAAAGTAAAAAAAAAATTCTTTTTTACAATTTCGCTTTTTCTTTTAAAACGGATTCTATTGAAGCTATTATTAGATTTGTTACGTCATTTATAAAGCAAATCTCAAAATTTTAGTAAGCTATTTTTTAAGATATTTGATTCACTGTTCAGCTCATTTGGAGTTCATTCTCTTGTTTCTGTTACAGTTACAGGTTGGGTTGATGTGTTCAATTCCAATGCAGAAGCATTTTTTGACTTTATGTAAAAGATCACTTATATTTGTAGCTGCTTAATTAAAATGTAACCAAGTGTTTTGTATTTGTATAGTATTAAACAATATACTATGACTGCTGTAGTATACAGTCCAACTCTTTATACTTTTTAAATAAGTATTGTAGAAATACTTATTAAAATAGGCCTATAATTATATAATATATAAATACCATTTTTTAAATAATAAGATTCAAATATTCTATAACTTCATACAAAGTCTGCTGATTAAAAACTTTATTTCTTTATAATTATTTCCTTAATATAACAACTGTTACATATTATTATAATATTCAGCTTTTCAATTTACAGACAAAAAATGTGTTTTTTTCAATGTAAAAAGTTAAAAGTACTGTTACAGTTTTACTTTTGCGTGAAACAAACCAGTGTTTTTAAGATTCAGTTCAATATGAACAATAAGTTAAATTTCATGTCAAGAAATTTAACAACAGGCTATCACAGGAGTGTGTGATTTGTCAAACTCCTTTTGCGCTTTATACAATAGACTATACAAATTATTTACAATTTTAACAGACATTTTTTTAAAAATCAACTACCAGGTTCCCATATTTTAGAATTTAAAAATGTTTTTTCAGTCCCATGTTGTAAGAAGTTTTTAAAAATAAAAATAGCAATGAAAATATACTATACCTATACATCCTAACTCACTGTATAAAAGTGTTCATTGATCAACTTTGTATCTATATAGTAATAGTATGTATACAAGCTGGAAAACATCATCTGGATCCAAGAATCTTGGTTGGACAAAGTGAACTAAATATCTATTATTGATCATATCTAAGCTAAATTTTTATTGATTTGAAAACTGATTTAAAGATATCCGTAAATAATTTGTATAAGCTTATTTATACTGTTATATTGCTGCATTAAGGCACTAACATGAAGAATTAACTTAATTAAGGTAGAAATATTGCTATTTGCAAAACAAAGAAAGATTGTTTTTAATAAAACATTAAGTAAAGGGAAGTTTTGTGCTTAAGGCAAGATTTGATAATGTGTTTTTGTTACACTTTGGTTATGATTCAGAAAATCAAACAATTTGTTTTTCACCTGTGATAAACCTATTACTAAATGTGCACAAGGCTCCAATGTCAATATAATTGTGAGCTAAGACAACAGAAACTACCCAGAGGTTTTTTTTACAAAGCAAAAGTGTATTAAAAAACTACGGTAAAAATCTCAGAAACAAATAATACAAATCACGTTAGAAAACACAATATGTATGTTTTGTTCCTCTTGTCAGTTTTTGTTGCTAAAGTAATATTGTGTTGTTTAGTGTGGCAAAGTTTTAACGTTAAGCATCAACAGCTGTATTAGCTTCTTAAGGTTTTATAATCTTTGTATTTCTTATAATTAAATTTTTTTAATTCTAAAAACATTTTTTGAATAATGATAACAATTTTAAAATATTAATGGACATTTGTATAAAAATATTGCAAGTCTTTAAAAAAAAATGGTGTGAATACATCCACTACACAAATGCCATGACTTATAAAACAAAATTGTGTTTAAAGATGTACAAAAAAGCACATAAAAACAACAAATGTATAGTTCATTATTTGCTTAGCAAATGTGTACGCAGCAGTGCTCTTGAAGACTAGAAATAATTTCTTTGTATCACTTAATAGAAATACTCCATTTTAAACTGCTGCTTTTATTTATAAACTGAAATCACACTACTTTGAACTTTGAAAATTAGTGGCTCCTTTCAATGGTAAACCCAATCCTTCAAATTCAACACAGTCAGAGGATCCTGATCTATTTTTATCATCCTCATAGTCATCGTCTCCTTGTATACTTGTTGAAAACCCCTTTTTAGAACCACTGGGTGCACTGTACTTAACCACAGATGCAGGGAGTGTTTGTGCTGCCTGTGAGCCTGCTATGTCGCTCGTTGTTTGTTTGGAAGTTGATGGCTGATTGTTGCCATTTTCCTTGTCTGAGAGTGTCAATGAATTCTCTGCTGAGGACAGCCTTTTGGCGCAGTACTGACGGTCCTCCTCATTCATCACTATCTCTTTGGGTTCAATCGGGATAATATTTGTACTGGAGATGAGAAATAATCATTTTTTAAACTATAGGATAATATTTGTACTGGAGATGAGAAATAATCATTTTTTAAACTATAGGATAATATTTGTACTGGAGATGAGAAATAATCATTTTTTAAACTATAGGATAATATTTGTACTGGAGATGAGAAATAATCATTTTTTAAACTATAGGATAATATTTGTACTGGAGATGAGAAATAATCATTTTTTAAACTATAGGATAATATTTGTACTGGAGATGAGAAATAATCATTTTTTAAACAATTAGGATTACATTTGTACTGTATATTAGAAATAATTTAACCATTTTAATTTAAATTGTTTTATATAAACTTTAAAACCAAAACTTTTTAAAAGTGTGTTTTTATAGTATTAAAAGTGTTGCTAAAAAGACTATTATTCAAATAAAGTACACTAGAAACAATACATTGATTATTGTGCTACAAAATAATTTTCAATCTGCCTTGAACTAAAGAGCTAAAAAACAAGTGTCCAGGTTTACCTAGTCTTTTATGTAATTTTTTATGCATGCATTTAAACATTTTATTAAAAAATATAACAGTTCTACACATTTAAGATATCAGAGTGTTAGTTTTATCATCCGCATGGCTGTATTGAATGTACTAACTTTTTTTATAATCAGGATATAAATACCAGGAAAATAAAAATCTTACATAAAACATTTCAGTAAAACAGTATAGTTATCCCCCCCCCCCCCCCCCACCCTAAATTGTTGGGGTAATTTCAACACTTTTGACTTACTTTACAACATAACTACTTGTGTGAACATGGCCAATATTTTTCCATGCATTTTCAATGAAAGACTCAGACAAACGACCCTCAAAGTACTCATCCATCTCCTCTGTGGTTAGGTCGGTCTGTAGAAACAAGTGGAATGCTGCGTCTGATAGAACTGTGTCTGTCACCAGAAGCCTGAGGAAAAATTATGTTCATATATTACAAACTACACACGTTAAGTAGAATTTGGATTGTTATAGTTTATACAACATGAACATGATAAGCATAGAAGGAAAAAAAAACAAATGGGTGATTCATTTTTAAGCGATTTATATATTTTATATAGTATGCGACAATATTCTTTCATACACAGAGGTCACTAAAACAGATGTACTTTACAGGTTAACTTCACTGTCTTGGGCATGAATGGGAAAAGATGCTGATGAAATACTTGTTTATACTATTTGAACTAGAAAAAACTAAGAATAGTGCCTATAACCAATATGAATGTAAATGAACTTGAAAAGACAAGTAAAATATACTGTAACTAAAATACCTACTCATTTAAGAAGTTTTCAATTAGCTTCATTCTTGTTTTAATAAATGATGGATCAAATCTTTCCGCTAAAACTTTCTTGGGTGGCAGAGCAGGTAATGACCTGTCAATCATAGAAGTTACATAGTTATATAATATGTTATTTTCAAATCAAACCTTCTTACTCTCAAATTGCTTCACACTGAATCTTATTAATCAAACAAATTATAACATCTACTACTAAGAGGGTTAATATACCAAATGCTATGAAATTTCATCTAAACGCAAGTATGTTAAATAAACAAAAATTATTATTTTTACATTAATTATGCTGTGGTATTAAAGGAAGATGCTCGTTATAACTGCTGTTAATATAAAAATTTGAACTAGATCAATTTAAAAAAAAAAATCTGTTTGTAGTAGTAGAAAAAACGCGATTAATTCCTGAGAAATAATAAAATTGTTAAAAGATATTTATACTCACACATATTTATGGTTTGCTTTGAGTACATTATAAAGCCAAATCAGCTCGGAGTAGCGCCTTCTGACAGCAGAAAGATGCAAATGAAATGCTGGATGCTCTGTCTGAAATTAAATTTTTCACATGCATTTTTTTTACAAATATCTATTGAACTCAAATATAATCCTTTCACTCTAAAGAAACAGTTTGACATTTTTATTATTAATACATTTTTTTTTGCAGCAAAAACTGACAGAACTAACTCAAGCAACCTAAAGTGTATACAGATTTAGATGTATATTTCATACCTTGATACAAATTTGATATGATGTATATTTCCCATGCTCCCATGTGCTGTGAATGACTGGATCTTTGACAATTATTTTGGGCAACAAATCCTGAAAAAATAGAACATTGTTTATTTATTGACACATTTTGTTTCCTGGTTGGTCTTTACGTTTCTGCTATATGATACCAGTTAGCAGCTACCTGTTGTCAAGCAAATCAATTAAAATCTTCACAACCAACAATTTTTAGAAATGGTTGCAAAATGGTGGGTGCATGGTGCATGATTAGAAAATTCATGTGCCAATTTTTAATACTCATTACACAACCACACTTCATAGTGGAACATTAATTATATCACAGTAAGCTCAGTATATTGTTGGTGGGGGGGGGGGGGGGGGGTTCTCAAAAATAAAAAATAAAATTTCTTAAAAGTAAAAGATTTTTGTGACTTTTTCCTGTGATTTTATTTCTGTGACTTTTTTCTGACAAAAATTACAATTAAAACTTTTTTTCTTCTGTGACTTGTTTCAGATAAAAGTTTTCCATTTTGACTTTTTCCTTTGCAAAACTGTGACCTTTTTCAGTGTTTTTTCCTGTGACTCCCCCCCCCCCCCCCGTGTGTGTAGGTGGTGGGGGGGGGGAGGTTGCCCACAAATTATCACAATTTTTTAGTTCATATCATAGACTATGATGACGAAAACTGATTTTTTTTTTGGCGCCCTAAGATAATTGGAGAGTTCTGGCGAGCACTTGTGGATAAGAAGACTAAGTAAGTAAATAACAGGACACGGAAAATAGTCTTCCGCTAACCAGGATACATTTTTTAAAAGTAGCCTACATATTTACAAAACTTACCACATCCGTATATTCATAACTGCTATCACTACTGTCCATTCTTGCACATTTACTTATACTCTAACAATAAAGTCGCTAAAAAGGCCAACTATTTTCAAGTTTTCAAGATAAGCTGTACAATACAATGTCAATCTGGAATCAGCTGTGTGTTAATGAGTATCCAAGTGTAAACAATAGGTGTGTAGTGTGCTATACGACATACGTCAACACACTAGACCTAATCTAGAATTTACTAACAATGTGGTGAAGAGAAATAGAATTCGAGAACGAATTATCAGAATATTTTCAACGTCACCAACAGCACACAGCCCTATCACTATCAGCGTTGATCAAAAGATAACCGTCTAAGAGACTCTAATAACTCAGCTGAGTAGCTCCGTCTCAATCTGTAGAAAACTAGATCTACGCCTTATTTTACTTCTACAACTCGGGTCTAGTCGACTTCAATTAAGCAATTACTGTAATTCATAATAAAGCCAAAAGGCGGATAAGCTTTATGAATTAATTCGAATGGTGACTGTCCACGAAAGTCAAGGAAAACACCTCTGAATTTTAATATGTAAATTAACCCGTGTAGAATCTTTGAGCATCCGGGTTGTAAAATAACAGCGCTTTTCTTATAAAACCGATTGCTAGGTTCGTAAAGGTTCACATAGATCTAGATCTATTTACAGCTAGGCCCAACAACATAAATAACAGCATCCGGTAGAAACGGCGACTGTCACAAGTAGGTCATATCCTTGAAAGTAGGGAAAATTTGGCTGATTTGGTACAAGTAAATTGGTGTCAAACCATGCGAACGGAACGTGGACAATAGCTGGGTACTAATGAGGTCAGATTCGGGTGTAGAGGTATGACCCTGTTTCTAAATAAACAAAGAGCATAGCCTAGGGATTACGTTGCGACCTAAGGCAAATTATAGGGACGGTGAGTCAGAGACAGTCTAGAGTCTAGACTATAACATTTAGGACACCGGCGGGCAAAGTTATCAATATAAATACAAACAAAATATAAGTACTCTTAAATTGCGTGAGTTGTGTTGTTTTTTAAGACGATTTTAGCATATAAAAAAAAGCCACTCCGACACAGTTCACACTTGCGGCACGTCAAAGAAGACAAAGGGATTCGGCTGGGTCATCTTTAAATTCACATGTACTGCTGTATAACAACTTTACAAGAAGGGTTAGGGGTCATCCATTTATGACGTCCTCAATTTTTTTTGGATTTTGGAAATCCCCCCCCCCCCTAAAAAATCCACTTAATTCCCTTTTAAAAGTCCATTCGCGTCCGCAGAAGTCAATTTTTTTCGGCCCCCTCCCCCCCCCCCCGTGTGGACGTCATAAATGGATGACCCCTTCGTGTGGTCAGCGCTATACCCAGCTGCCTTTACTCTCCATAATGTGAGTTAGCTACTCATTAGTGTGGTCAGCGCTATACCCAGCCGCCTTTACTCTCCCTAATGTGAGTTAGGTACACATCAGAGCTGGGTGGACTCAGGGACGTTCTACTGATTTGAACACGAGGCTTCCGGGTTAGCAGTCTAGCGCTCTACCGCTAGGTCACAACGTCCCACATTTTGAGACTTTGAAAGACATTAAAGTGAAGGCATCTCCAAAGCCTCGCCTGTTACATTTTCAGTTCTCTAAGTATTCCAACTTTTTGTGCCAATCCAATTTATAATGGTCAGCCATTTTTTTGTTGTTTTTTTTGTCCTATGTTACTTACAATTCTATTTTTAATTTAATCTGTGTCGATTATCACGTCAAAAAATACATACAGAGCAGATAAAGAACAGCTGATATGAGCTGGGCACATGTTTCCTTGTATCCTATTAAACTACGAGCTTGTACATTCTTCCAACAGAGAGAGCGTAGATAATAACAGGATGTGTTAGATAAGAGTGCAGGGTCTACCATGTTTTTAAATGGCGAACACGTCTGTACACAAAGACACCCCTGCTTTAGATTAGCCATACACACAACACAGCAGCTGTGATGTAAATAATCAAACATCATTTTAATCTGATGGTGGACTGAAGCTGTCTTTGTACCTGGGAGTTCTAAAGACAGAGCAGGCAGGGCGTACTGCAAAACTGATTGTGTGGAAACGTGGTGTAACTAGTTACAGCCCCCCCCCCCCCCCCCACCGAAGAGATGCCTAAAAGAAACTGCTGGGTAGCATTTTGTGTAAACAAATGTTTATTATCTTATCAACGGTGAATAGATGCCCGCGTGCTATTCTTCGGGGCGCATATAAAGCTAGTTATATATCTTGTACCCCCGAAGAAAGTCTACCCCCCCCCTCCCGAACGAAATGGAATTTATATAGAAAATATGTACTTTAAGAGCGTCCGCCCCCCCCCCCCCCTCCGGCAGAAAAAAGTCTGAAAGAATCACTGCTCCCACTATTATACTGTGGTAGTAAAATCATTTAAGATAGGTCTAGTTACTAGTAGAGACACTTGATTCTTCCAAAGTAACATGCTTTAGAGACACTTTTAAATAGTTCTTATGACAACAAGCTACAGGTACAGACTCCACGACTGCACTAGATAACCTATGTGTACTACGACATCGGTCTAGTCTTCGCGGAAATAGATTTATTTACCTAGCATTGTCCAGCCTGAAGAGACAAAACGTCTCGTATTTGTATAAAAGCGGTTCAAGTGTAGAGCACGTGATCACATGATATTCGCTTATGTACACAATAGCCAATGGTCAGCGGGGTATTGTGGGCTATAAATAGTCTAGTGCCCATGCGTTCTACACGCGGTCCCCACCATAGTTGTCTCGCCACTAGCCCCCATGTGTTTCTTTCATAACAATTTTCTCGGGGGGGAGGGGGGGGGGAGAGAAGGACACCCCCACCCTAGAAATGTGTGAAAGAAACTCAGCCTCCACCCCGGACACACCACGAAAGCTGGAGTCGTGTTCTGATGTGTAACGTTTTACAAGATGACAACTTCCTACCATAGGTCAAGGTCTCCTGACAAAGAAATAAGGTTCAATTTGATTCACAAGTGGATGCCCCCCACCCCCCATTTGGGACCCGCCCCCAACCATTGTTTTGGAATATATATAGGCCTCTCTCCCTCTAAATGTATCTTGTAAAGGCCATGTTTAAAAATAACTCATCCCCCCCCCCCCCCACCAATGAATGGACCCGACAATGAACAGTTTCTTCCAGGCATCTATTCGGGGGGATGGGGAGGAGCGGAGTCGTCCCCCCCCCCCAACGAAATGGAATTTATTTAAAAATATATACTTTTCACAGTGTCCGCCCCATCCCCCGTTGAATAAAGTCTGGAAGAAACACTGACAATGAGTATTGCAAAAAGTGATTGCCCAACAATAATTATTTGAAGAGGTTCGTTTATTACCACACTATATAGTAACAATTGCGGTCGAACCTACAAAGAAAAGGCGAGTATTTCAAAGAAGTGTAAAATTAGACATTTTACGGTAATTATGTTTGAACTAAAAACAGACATCTACTCATCAGCTGACAAGTCATGTGACATCCCACGCGATAACTGATAAATATGTAAACAGCCATGGGACATGACGTCTGCTATACTGTTGAGTTCAGTTAAATACCATGATTAAGCTACACTATTTCCCCGGGAAATCTTATGATGGGAAAATTGTGGTACAGGGCGAATTCGAAAAGATTGACAGGCGAATAGACTATGTAATTTGTAATTTTTTTTTTTACTAATAAGTGAATTGGGTCGTTCATGGGATACTTTTTTTTTTAGTGAAGACTTTTACCCCTCCCCATCGACAGATAATCACTCGCCCATCATACAAAGTACAATGTTTCATTTTTGCAACATGGATCGGGATTGGGCTAGTTGACACGTTTTTATTATAATTTAAAAAAAAAAGTCTTTAAAGCAAAATCATTGCAAGTCAATTAATTTTTTAAAAAGTGCAATAAAGAAAGACCTCAGACCTTTATTTGAAAAGAGAAGGCTGGTTTTAGACAAAAAATGTCAATATGAGAGGAGGACATGCTGAATGTGACGTCATCTTATGGGAGGGTAGTGTTTCTTCCAGACTTTTTTCCCCGGGGGGGGGGGGACGGGACGGGGGACTTGATATTTTCGGATGGAGGGGGCGCACACTGATAAAAGTATGCTCTATATACATTTTATTTCGTTCGGGGGGGGGGGGGGGGGCGGTAGACTAACCCCCCCCCCCCCCGGAAGAAATTCTGCGGAAGGTGCTGAATTTTTGTGACCACGAGTGACGATGTAGAAGGGAGGGGGGGGGGGGGCTACTTTTAAAAAAAATAGTCAACAATTATAGCTTTATATTAAAGGAATACGCCTTTTTAAATTGCAGATATAATTTATAAACAGCCGCTGTTCTCACAGGCGATTGGGTGGGCAAGAGATGGGGTATGGTGACCAAAGAGGAAAAAGTGTCGGAAAATGTCTGTTATATTAATATATGTTATATAGATAGCTATACAATATATTGGTATCTATAAAGTGAAACTTGATTGTGTAGCCCTATAAACTATAAATACACAATGTATAATGGAATCTTATAGGCCTATAGTAGGCAAAATTTATAAAACATCTATTCATAAGATAAGTCTATTACTAATTAGATCTAGTAATTTCTTAATATTTTAATAAAGTTTAATAAAGGCTCTAGATCTAGATCTTATCTAGATACAGAAAACTGTAAACTAATGATTAGCATAGGAGTTTATGAGTTTAGATATAGTTAAGTTACTATAGAATGTAGATCATAGTCAGAGTTTCTTCCAGGCATCTCTTCGGGGGGGGGGGGGGGGCGAAGCCCCCCCGAAAATTTTTTACCGCCCCCCCCCCCCCCGAACGAAATGAAATTTATATAATTTATATAGAAAATATATACTTTTAATAGTGTCTGCCCCCCCGAAGAAAGTTTATCGCCCCCCCCCCCCGAAGATTTCAAGTACCCCCCCCCCCCCGGAGAAAAAAGTCTGGAAGAAACACTGATCATAGTAATCATAGTTTTTTAGTTACTATAGTAACTATCTATCTATATTCTATAGATAGTAAAAAAATTGATTTAAAAAAAATTCATAAAAAACGTTTTAATAACAAGCTTTTATGTAATGATGCACTAAAAAGTAGAAAATAAATTATAGACTACTATTTAAATAACTATAAAGAAAAGCGTGGGTCACTTTAGTATCTATTGGATACCTTTACTAATGTTAAGGAAGACACCCACGCTTTTCTTTATAGTTATTTAAATAGTAGTCTATAATTTATTTTCTACTTTTTAGTGCATCATTACATAAAAGCTTGTTATTAAAACGTTTTTTATGAATTTTTTTTCAGTACTTTACATGTTTTATCTACAATAGAGTTACATGACTAAAAACCATTGCGCGCCTACTGAATATCACGTTCAGTAGGCGCGCAATGGTTTTTGAACGCAGCCATTACGTGGTCGTGATGGCGCAGCTATTGATGACGCGTGTGGTGTGGTTGGCTAGACATGCCTACTAATTCGGTCCAAATTTTAATTAATTCATAAAAAATCAATTAGGCATCCAATTAAGTCAAATTTAGTTTCAGATTGCATTGTCTTCATGTCTTGACCCACGTGCCAACTGTGAATCGTGTCGGTCAAGTAGAACTGTCCGAATTTTCACTCCTGCGTTTCCGTCTAGACTGACGACAGACAGAGGAAGTGAGTTAAATAAAAGCTTGTAAAAAAAAAATTCATAAAAAACGTTTTAATAACAAGCTTTTATGTAACAATGCACTAAAAAGTAGAAAATAAATTATAGACTACTATTTAAATAACTATAAAGAAAAGCGTGGGTCACTTTAGTATCTATTGGATACCTTTACTAATGTTAAGGAAGACACCCACGCTTTTCTTTATAGTTATTTAAATAGTAGTCTATAATTTATTTTCTACTTTTTAGTGCATTGTTACATAAAAGCTTGTTATTAAAACGTTTTTTATGAATTTTTTTTTCAGTACTTTACATGTTTTATTTACAATAGAGTTATATGACTAAAAACCATTGCGCGCCTACTGAATATCACGTTCAGTAGGCGCGCAATGGTTTTTGAACGCAGCCATTACGTGGTCGTGATGGCGCAGCTATTGATGACGCGTGTGGTGTGGTTGGCTAGACATGCCTACTAATTCGGTCCAAATTTTAATTAATTCATAAAAAATCAATTAGGCATCCAATTAAGTCAAATTTAGTTTCAGATTGCATTGTCTTCATGTCTTGACCCACGTGCCAACTGTGAATCGTGTCGGTCAAGTAGAACTGTCCGAATTTTCACTCCTGCGTTTCCGTCTAGACTGACGACAGACAGAGGAAGTGAGTTAAATAAAAGCTTGTAAAAACACTATTTTATCAATCTCTCACGATTTAGACCTAGACTAGAGAAACTAAATCTAAATCTATCTAGAATCTAGATATCTTGATCTAGACTATATTTATAATAACTAGATCTAGATCATTAATATCTAGATCTAGTCTAGATCTGTTCTTTTACGCTGGGACTACTCACTAAGACTTCGAGTTCACAGACTTGTGTGTTATGACTTAAGTTATGACTCTAGTTAGAATCTAGATCTAGAATCTAGATCTAGATCCTAGAACTAGATTCTAGAATGAATCTCGATCTAGCGGATAAATCAGATATAGATCTAGATCTAGAATGATTATGTGATAGAATTTAGTAAATAAAGTATATTAATATTTACTACTTGATCCTAGTACTCACCTGAAATGACAGAAACTTGTTTTTCCTCATTTTAGATCTTAATTAAAATTTTTAAAGCTAATGTCACGAATATGAATGTCAATAAACAATAAGCTCAGAAACCTCAAGGTCTAGAGATCTTATAACAAGACAATCTCAAATTATTTTGAAATTATAAGATAACTTCTTAGTCCTCGTTTTGCGAATTTATTTTAATCCGTGTGGTAACACACGGACCTCAGTGCATTATATTAATTACGTCAAGGAAGTATGTCAATGACCAGCTCCACTTCTGGTTGAGAAGAAAACAGAAAAAAATAAGGACGGGCGGTATTTAGACTAGTTTTCACAATCTGACATGTCACGTAGGCTAACGCCTCTTCCGATTGATACGGATAGCCAAGCGATTTGCCAAATTATAAATAGACTACATATTATTATTATTATTATTATTATTATAAACTACACATGTTTTTACACGTATTGGAATGAAACTGCCCCGATAACCACAACACAAACTATAGCAAACACATTTAGCAGTTCTTAAGTAAGTAGGGCTCGGTTTTAAAAGGCGTAGTCTAGGCCTAACGATTTAATAACAACACTTCGAAAAATAGGTCACCAAGGGAAACCACTTCACTAAAACATGTTGAGCCAAATCGATTGTCGTTCCTAAATTGAAAATTTAACCATCAAATCCTCTTGTAGATTCTAGCTCAAGGTAGTTACTTAAAGGCAGAATTCTCATACTTCCTGAATGCGTAGTACTAAATGGGAAGACCGAGAAGACCCAGGGAAATTCTGATTTCTATGCTACGGACTCGATCGAGCACAGGAAAAGGGACCCGAGTATAAATAAAAATCTAACTTACGTCTTTATTCCATCGGTGTGTCCCCCTTTGGTAGAACAACTTCACCATCCTAGGGAAATTCTCCGTCCTGATTGCTTTTTGAGACCTAGATCTAGATAATACAATCAACAGTTGTTTTTTTAAAGCGACAGCAAATATTGTATTAAATTGAAGTTCCCTTTCAAACCTGACAGTCCACGGGGCAAGTGAAGTAGAGTTCACCTGTTTGTATGACCTCGGCATTTGAAGGAACATCTGCCCTTGCTTTCACAACCATAAGTTAGGTACATATTAGAGCCGAGAGGACTCAGGAATATTCTACTGACTTGAACCCGTATTTGAACTCGAGACCGTCGAGTTAGCAGTCGTTTGAAATATCGTGTCACTGGTTTAATAATCTTAATTTTTATATCCGAACAGTAACATTATAGTATATTGTTAAAAATAAATAAAAGCAAGAAAAATTAAAACAACTTTACACGATTAAAAAAAATCTTTTTAAAAATGTGGTTAGTGGTGTCGACAGCTTTCAACTTTGCCTGTGTGACTCACAATACGAACAGAAGCCTATCTAAGTGATCGTTGTGTTAAACATAATTAACACAAGAGGCAGGAGAAGAAAAAAAAACTAATCGATTTTCTACGAACTCAATTTTTTATTTTATTTTAAACGAGTCACGCGCGCGGTGATTTTTAGACACACAATCACGTGCGTGGATTAATGAATGAAGTGGTAAGATGCTGCAGGGGAAGGGGAGGGGGGGAAGGGGAGGGGGGGGGTCAACTGCTCGAGTTAGTATTTTTGTAAATAGAAATTAAGAGGTTGACTTCAAAATAAATCTCGTTGGTGGATTTTGTCTATATGTGTGTCTATGTGTGTGTGTGTGTGTGTGTGAATGTATGTGTGTGTGTGTGTGTGTGTGATGGGGTGCATTCACCTAGGTTATGCCCCCCCCCTTCCTCCATATATACTCACTATCACACGCCTATATATTACCCAGTCTACTCAGCGTTAGGACCGCAGTGACAGCTATTTACAATCATCACCGCAAAAATACGCAGAATTCAATGGACTGCATGTCCATTGAACCTACATCATATCGCGAGAAGTCCTATATATTTCTTTTAAATATAATTAACTTTGGGGGGGGGGGTCGCAAAAAGAATTCAAAGTTTTGGTGGCGCCATGCCACGTGTTAAGCTAGTTAAAGCTACACCCCCCACCCACTCACTACTTTTGATCTCCCCTCCCCCAGTTTATCTTTAGCAGGTCATGAAGGCCTATAACTACAATACATAAAAATATTTGTATAAATAATATTTTCTTGACTTACCTTTCTGTAAAAAAAAGCCTTCTTACAAACAGTTAGGCCTATGGTATTCGAATAAGTGGTAGACTAGTAATCCGTTTTCCAGAGTTCACTCCGAGTGAAGCAGTACTTTAAGCTCGAGCCCTTTATAAGGTTTGTTTCCCGGATACAAATTTCCCACATTTCCCCACTCGTTTTATTATTTTGGGATAAGAAACAAAAAAAAAAAAAACCGTAGTAAACATAAACGGGAATTTCCAATTTAAACCAGACCAATTCATAGGATGTGAGTTTACGGAAAATATTTGACCTATATAGCTTTGGGGAGAAAAACTTCAAAACTTTTTGACACCTACATAACGCTCACCTCTGACTATAAATAACCCGGAAAATTGACGTTTATTTTTAGATAATTCCTTTGCAGCTTAAAAATGACGTGTTGCTTTTATCATTTAATTTTCTTTATAGTAATTAAAGAGTCTTGAATTAAAAAAAAAAAACAAAAAACATACGAACTCTGCCGGGGTTGGAACTAGCTTACACTTTCAACGCTTGTAAGAACAAAGCCTATCACTTTCTTCGGTGCGCGGACCTTTGACCACAGGTGCTTTGACCATAGGGGGTTTGACCACAGCGGTGCTTTGACCATAGGGGGTTTGATCATAGGGGGTTTGACCATAGGGTGTTTGATCACAAGCGCTGTGTCCGGCTTTGATCATATTTGTGATACAATTAACACGATTTTATACATGTTTCCTGAGAGTACGTTAATAGAAATTAACATGTATTTAAAAAAGCCAAGAACTATATTTTAGTCTCCACATAAAGGCTGGTGCTAGGCCTCATAGATTTATTTTAAATATAAATGAAACACAAATAATGCGACATATAACAATTTTCACAAATAAATAATGTAGAAGTACTTGAAAATACATAGCATATATAAAGGATAAAAAAATGATACAAAACTTGCCAACATTATAGTCAAAGATGTAATACATAAAATGGTTAACTAAATGACAGATGTGCTATAGCACGCAAATATGTCAGTACATCTGTTTGACCATATTATTACATTATGTCGAAATTTAAAATATAATTTAGCAACTTTTAAAATAAATCCTTACCATATATGGACAGCATTGGACAAACCACCTGAGATCAAAGACCCTATGTGGACAAAACACCTGAGATCAAACACCCTTTGTGGACAAAACACCTATGATCAAAGCCGGACACAGCGCTTGTGATCAAACACCAGTTGATAGACCACCTGTGATCAAAGACCCTCTGCTGAGAAAACACCCTATGGTCAAACCCCCTATGATCAAACCACCTATGGTCAAAGCACCGCTATGGTCAAAGCCCCGCTGTGGTCAAATCTCCTATGGTCAAAGCCCCTATGGTCAAAGCTCCGCTGTGGTCAAACCACCTATGGTCAAAGCCCCTATGGTCAAAGCACCTGTGGTCAAAGGTCCTAGGACCCTTTCTTCACATCCCCACTACAATTCTCTTGTACTAAGCAAGCTGAATTTTAGTTTTTATATTGGTTTGTGTATATATTTTCTGTAAACGTATATAATAACTTTCAATAGCCTTTATACAATGCGAGTGTAATCATGAAAAGAATCGTACATCAAAATGATAAAATCTCTTCATCATCGTTATTCCAGCGGGCCAATTGAGACTAAGAGAGAGGCAACATTCCACTCTTTCAGACATTTTTTTTTTTGGCGATTTCTACAAGTGGGTCCTAAACATGAATTGTACAAAATCTATTCGAAATAACACGAGGCATTATGGTCGAGTGTTAGAGCCTACGGTTGCGAACCCGAAAGTCATAAGAGAAGCAGAGGCGTAGCGAGGGGGCGGGGGGCATATGGGGGGCGCCAAATTGAAAGTTTGAGGGGGGGTGCAAATGAAACGTTCGAGGGGGGGGGATGGAAATCGAAAGTTTAAGGGGAGAGGGGTGCAAATCGAAAGTTTGAGGGGGGTGGGGGTGCAAATCGGTAGGGTGGCGGGCACCACCTATTTTAAATCGACAAACTCCTTCCAGAGGCGTAGCGACCCTTCCCGTCACCCGGGGACAAAACTATCGATTTGCACCCCCCCCCCTTCAAACTTTCGATTTGCACCCCTCTCCCCTTCAACTTTCGATTTCCATCCCCTTCAACCTTTCAATAATGTTTATGAAAAAAATTCTGTCTCTGTCGAATAGTGAGAGGCGGGCACATACGAATCGTTTGGCGGGCGCCATGGCGCCCGCGGGCACGGGGTTGGGAACCCCTGGCTTAGGGTATAGCTATTGATATGGATAGTGCCAAGAAAAGTGATATACTTTTAGAGATAATGTGAACATTATACTGACCACACAAGTAATGATAGGTCAAGGTCATATTTACTTAATTTAATGATATTTATGGATCTTAATTGCTGAGAGGTTAGGCTTACTTTACTTATTTTTTAGTGTCAATACTTCTGAGAATTATCCCCCTTCTCCCACCCTCACAGACAGATTTATGTGCCCTTGGACATGGCCTAGTTAGGGAATACCAGTCTTAACGGCTAATCTCCTATTGGTATCATTTCCTACTGGGTCATATCATCAACGAAGGACAAAAAATAAAAACATGTTTAAAAAACAAAATATCAAGTAACTAAACTTTCTAAACTTTGGACTTTGATCCCGGAAATGAGATGTTTACCCAGGGCAACAGTTGTTGTCATTAAATCGTGATTAACAGGGTTTCTTTCAGACATTTTTTCTTCGTTGGGGGGGGGGTAGGTTTAAAACTTTCAGGCGAGAGAGAGTAAGGCAAACTGAAAGGAGGGGGGGGGGGAGGTGGACGTTGGTTAAAGTATATATTTTTTTTTTATAAATTATGTTTTTTTCCCAATCTCGTCCGTGAGGAGGGAAGGGGGAATATGGTGGGTAGACGTGTTTCGGGTAGGGGGGAGGGGTTGACATTGAAGTATATATTTTCTGTATAAATTATGTTTTTTCCCCCAATCTCGTCCGTGAGAAGGGAGTGTGGGGGGGGGGGGGGTAGACGAGTTTCGGGTAGAGGGAGGGTATTGCCTAAATGAAAGAAAGAAACTAGTTGTTAGGAAAGGGATTAGAACTTAAGCTAGGAATACTCGTTCTGCTGCTTATATATCAAGTGGCTTAAAAAAGTGGCTCAGAATTTGTAGTTGTCAAGTACACTATTATCAACCTAATTTTTTTAAAGAATGCGAAATAAAGGCTAAAGCTTTCTAACATAACATTTTAATCTACAAAAGTGTGTCGTGTTACACTTTCTGTACCCCCCTTTTTTTTCCACTTGTCACACATCGTCACGAAATTCCGAGCTCCCCTCTCTTAGAGCGTGTGCAACGTTGCTTATGAAAACCCCCATATAGGAGGAAAAGAACCAGTAACCAGAGGCGTAGCGACCCTTCCCGGCGCCCGGGGACAAACTTTTCGATTTGCACCCCCCCCTCGAGATTTTGATTTGCACCCCCCTCAAACTTTCGATTTGCACCCCCCTCAACCTTTCAATTTATTTTTCCAACCCATTTTGGCGCCCCCTAAGGTCGGCGCCCGGGGACATATGTCCCCCCCCCCCCCGCCCCCCCCGCCCCCCCCTCGCTACGCTACTGCCAGTAACTCAATGTCTATTGCATACATTGGCATAAAATATCCTTAGAAGTAGAATTCATCTAAAAGCCCCAATAAACCTTACACCATGTCATTAACAAAATAAACGCATGCAGTAACGTTGCAAAATAATAACAAAGTAAGTACTACTTGGATATCATCTTGCACCTGATATTTTTAATTCATGGGTAGTCAGAATAAATCTAAAAATATAATTCCGGCCTTCCCACAAGGAATTCCCGTTTATTCGTAATTGGTTTGCACTTGAATACACGCATGCTAAATGGCGCGTGGGTTGTAAATGAAGTAGAAGAGTTCTCTAATAACATCTTGAGTTTATCGCATTTCTATCGAAACATTTAGATTGTCTGATTTTTATTTACATTTAGGCAGGTAATTAGCTAATTAAAATTAGCATGTTGTCCAATTGCAAATAAAAACGCAATTAACATTTTCTGTTCAATCGGTATTAAACACGCATAAGTGTAAAATAAAACAACACATTCTAGAATTTTCGTGTTGTGATTACCTAAAGTTCCTAAAAATGTTAATGGTGCTGCGTTTGATTTGAATTCAGTGTATTCACTGTTTTACAATCCCCACAATAGGGTAATAACTTACATCATAGAGAATTCTTAAATGGGCTACAGGCCAAGGCTTAGGTATATTGCTATGGATAGCGATAGTGCCAGGAAAAGTTAGATCTATATATTTTTAGAAATAGGGAGCAGTGTTTCTCCCATACATTTTTCTCCGGGGGGGGGGAGACTGGTAAAAGTATATATTTCTATATAAATTTCCATTTCGTTCGGGGTGGGGGGGGGGGGGGGAAGGGAGGGGGTAATTATCGGGGAGGACAATGAACAGGGGGTCAATGTTGGGGAAAATGACTGGGTGATATGGATGTTGTTAGAGATAGGGAGCTGGAGATGGGTTAATAGGCTAGGTATAAGAGGGTGATTATCCAGGAGGGCAATTGGTAGGGTGGGGGTGATGATGGGGGGGGGTGAACCGGGGGATATCCTAGACCCAAGATGTATACACGATCCCCTGTGGCTGGTATTTATCCTGCATTTAATTAAGCAAAAAAAAAAAAAAAACTAGTCAGTTAAAATTTATCTGGCCACCAGGCGGACACCACCCGGTCACCATGTTACCCCTGCTGACGCTAATTCGCCCGCACAAGAGAATCCGCAACGGCGCCTACGTCACAGTCGAGCTCCCGAAGCGGAACAAGATTGGCTCGGAACTAGACGGAGTCGCTGACCCCAGCCAACCGGGCAGAAGGTAGAGGAGGATGGGGGCAGACGGCAGGGGCAGCACACAGTGGATCTCAAGGCGTGCGAGGGGGTGCAGGGGGACGGTCCTCACAAGCAGGTGGCCCTCGGGATCAGCCAGGGCGAGGCGGGACTGGACACCAACAGCAGCGCCAACGGTCAGGGTGAGTCTGTAGGCAACCACGTGACGTCACGCGATGTTCTGTGGTATTAGAAGTATTGGATTTTAGACGTATGGTAGTGCAACTGAGTAGAGGAGTGGAGGGGGGGGGGGGGGGAGATCGTGCGTTAAGTGATAGAATGTTTGGGAGGTGTGTGTGTTTGTGTGTATGTTTGTGGGTCGGCGCCGAGTGGATTTTGTCTATTTTTTTTTAAAAAGAAGGCTGTTTTTTGTTGTTTTTCTTTTGGTGGTGTGGTGTGGGGTAGGCTTGCATTGTAAACTAGTTAGTCAAATGTTTATATATTGTTCTATCCCATAATCCCGAGAGTTTAGTTGAGGCAGCACAGGTGACCCTTTCATCATTCCTTGCCACCCTTCCCGGTCCTATAAAAGTTGAATAACACGGCATCAGACAACCCGGCCCAGTCCTTGACGTCACCCAGCCATTTCCTTCTTCATCTCAATCTCCTTCTTTCCCCCTGGCATAGCCCCCCTGCATGATTGTGATTGGCCAGATCGTGTTACGTGTGCTTATCATCTGTGCTTTGTTTCTCTTGACGTTGTTTAGCAAGTTCTCGAAACGACAACTCACATTGGTCCGTGTATGAAATTAGTAGAATTCTGCGCAAAAAATGGCTGAATCTGTTTTGTAGTCTGCCTTCATGCCACGCATACATAATTATAAGAAGACCTACATTTAACAAAACTAGCATCGCATAAATCTGATTTTAGTACCAAGAGAAGTATTTCTTTCACGCTAAATGCTCCTTAGCTTGCTAAGAGATGTGGTATTTATTTATTTTTTGGCAATTCACGCTACAATAATTTCAGGCATAGTTCACAGACAAGATGACACCAAAAAAAAAAAAACTGGACCTCATCCAATCTTTGACTATTTGAGAAAGTATAAGTTATTGGTATACTATCCCTTTTTATATGCCGAGGTCACTAAAACAGATGAACTCTACTTCACCTGCCCCCCATGGCAGGTTCGAAATTGTACTTTTTACTTACTCTAAGTTCTTGGTAGACCAGTGGTTATACTTTCCACCCCCGTCCTGATCTGCAAAGGTAGGCTCTACCCTTGTCAACCCCGGGCGTCGACCGAGACTAAATGTATTGGTTTATGGCAGTTATAATCTCTATGTGTCGCATCTAGTGCTAGCTGGCGCCCATCCAAGCTGGTTATTACAAGTCTAATTATTGTATTTTTTTTGCTTACTGTTTCCATCTAGTCATAAACCCATACGCTCAGTACGCGCAAGGAGGCCAGCCCCCACCCCAGCAGGGTTATCCACAACAGGGTTATCCACAACAGGGATATCCACAGCAGGGATATCCGCAACAGGGATATCCACAACAGGGATATCCGCAACAGGGATATCCGCAACAGGGATATCCGCAACAGCAGTATCCTCAGTACCAGGCTCCACCCTACCCACAGCCTCAGCCTCCCCCTGGGTACAGCTACCAGCTGCCACCCCAAGGGGGCAACCCGGGGGTGTTCCAGAACCCACAGAACCACGTCGTGTACCCACCCCCGGGCTCCTACCAGCAGCCGCCGCCCGCCTACTCCCAGTCTGGCCAACCCCAGGATCAAGTCATGTACCAGCAGACTGTGGTGACGTAGACATCCGTCTTGTCTTGTCCATGTTTTTTGTTTTAATCTTCTAAATGTCTAGTTTTAGATGAGGCTCGTTAGCTGGGTACAGCCACTCTTCTAGGAGAGCGTGGTCGAGTCGGTAAAGCTCATGGTTGCTAAACCGAAAAGTCTCGAGTTCGAACCCTCGGGCAGATGAGGTTCGTTAGCTGGGGACAGCCACTCTTCTAGGAGAGACAACTCCAAAATCAAACAACTGCTGCCTTGTAGTTTGTTCTTGGTTTAACAAAGGCTATGGAAGCAAATCCAAAAAGAATAGCAGGCTGAAATCGGAGTCAATGGCCTCAATGGCGCATAACCAGTTGACACGTATCCATAATGGTGATGGAGTCGTGGTCGAATCGGCATGGTTGATAAATTCGAAAAAGTCTCGAGTTCAACCCTCTTGCAGATAAGGCTCGATCCTTTCCAACACTAAAAATTAAGAACGAAGAAGAAGAAATACATGTGTTGACTAATAAAAAAAAACTTTAAAAAAAAACCGTTCTAATTGCCAAAGGGAGCTACATGCCAATTATTCTTTAATTAAGTTCAACAAAATCATCCAAGGTCGTTTATGACTTTAATATACATTTATCACATAGGTCGTATACTACACTAAACCTTTGGAAGATCCCGAAAAACGAAGAGGTAATTAGTATATATATATATATATATATATATATATATATATATATATATATATATATATATATATATATATATATATATATATATATATATATATATATATATATATATATATATATATGCATATGTTCTGAGTGTACATGCAGATCAACTAAATAGATACTTATTTCATTCGAAAGAATATCACTTATTAACAACATTGTAAAGGTTAGTTGTTTTAGTTTTGTTTCTTTAGGTCTGCACTTTATAAACAATGCAAAGAACTCTATTTAAATGGCTGTGTACATTTGTTGTTTTCTAGCGTTTATCACAAAAACCTACACGGTTCTACTGATCCAGTTTATTTTTACTGCGCTGGTGGTTGCAGCTTGCACGCTCCTGTAAGTATATACAAGAATTTTGGTTGCCCTTTCAAAACTTTTTAAAACCATTTAGTGCATAGCGAATAGTTTTGGTTAGCACCGTTTTATTGAATACATATATTTAAACAAATATTATATTGGTCAGTAAAGGTTATTTTGAAATTTTAACATATCTGTTTAAAAAGAACGGAATAAACTATACATGGTTTTGGGAAAACGGTAGTTGATTATAAATTTTAATTTCGGATTAAAATAGCAAAAAAATCTGGTAAATAATAAAGAAGACCAGTTTGGGTTCCGTCACAAGATGGAGAGTGTTGTTTGTTTGTTTCGTCACGGTACAATAAAGTCAACACAGAAAACTAGTGTTTCTTTCATGCATCACGGGGGGGGGGGAGGGGTGGAGGTAGAGGGCTGACACTGCCCCATGAGCTCATCCAACCCGGACAAAATAGAAAAGAAAATTAAATTAATATAGAAAATATATACTTTAACCCTGGGAAGTTATTTTAAGTGCCCCCCCCCCCTCTGCCCCGGCGGAGAGATGCCTGAAAGAAAGACTGACTGGTAGAGCCTGAGTCAGTGGCGTAGCGAGGTCGGGTGTCACCCGGTGCGGCACTTATTAGTGTCACCTCCACCCCACCCCCAACCCTTAAAAAAAAAAAAAAAAAAAAAAAAAAAAAAATATATATATATATATATATATATATATATATATATATATATATATATATATATATATATATATATATATATATATATATATATATATATATATATATATGAACTTGCTTAAGAACGATGTATATATATATATATATATATATATATATATATATATATATATATATATATATATATATATATATATATATGTAACTCACTATAATTAATCACTTAATTAAGTTGAATTTTCATTTTTCTGTATATATTTGCTATTTTTTGCTTTTGTGTCCCCCCCCCCCTAAATGGTTTCACCGGTGCGGTTCGCCCCCCCCCCCCCACCCCCCCTCGCTACGCCACTGGCCTGAGTCCATGATTTCTGTAAACCAACATAACTATAGGATGTACATTGAACTGTATAGAGAGATAAAACATTTTTATTGTGGTTTCAGGGAGCCCGTCAAAATCTGGCTGAAAGAACATTTCTACCTTATCTATGTTTGCATGTAAGTTGCTTATGAATCTGTGAAGTCTTCTACTTTAAACTGAGTAAAAGGTTTCAACGATTTCCCAATGATCCTAACTCGATTTAGCTAGGTTAGCAGTCTATGCTAGTATATAGTATAGCAAGTTTTGTTTAAAAAATATGTTAAGATTTCTGATGTAGTATTCACTAGTATGTTAATGTAAAGTAAAGTACCCTTTCGAACCTGATGGTCCATGGGGCAAGTGAAGTAGAGTTCATGTGTTTCTGTAACCTCGATATAAGGACAGCTATTTTGGTCAGTCCTATGCCCAGCCGCTATCACTTTCCCTAACATGAGTTAGGTGCCCATCAGAGCTGGATTCGAACACGGGACTTCCAGGTTATTTTATGTTGCTCTGCCATTTAACCATGCCGCCACAGTTGTACATGTAGCGTGCTACATTGGCAGATTATGGGACGGAGTGGCCTAGCGGTAGAGAGCTGCTAACCCGAGAGTCTCGAGTTCAATTCCGGGTTTAAGCCAGTAGACCGTAACTGAGTCCACCCAGTCCTGATGGGTACCTAACTCACGTTAGGGAAAGTAAAGGCAGATGGGCATAGTGCTTAACACACCATCCCCTCATAAGCCGAGGCCACAGAAACAGGTGAACTCTACTTCACCTGCCCCATCGACCGTCAGGTTTGAAATGGAACTTGACTCACATTGGCAGGTTCCTCTACCTCTGCTGTGCTATATTGATGTGCTTCTGTGCCGAAAAGTTGATGACCACCAACCCAACTAGCGTTGGTGTAATCGTCGTCCTTGTAAGTATATTTCAGGCATCTCTTCGCCCCCCCCTCCCCTCCCCGATGAACCCCCCCCCCCGAACGAAATAGAATATTGATAGAAAATATAAACTTTTACTAGTGTCCATCCCACCCCCCCCTCCCCCCTGAAAAATTTAGATTTTAATTTAATTTGTTTTTGTAAATTAAATAAAATTGAAATATACCTAATTAGTTTATATTTACTAAAAATAATAGCCTGGGCCCTCACTTATGGAAACTATATTCCCTTTCATAGGGCGTTCATTGATAGGTGTATTTGATCTATAATATAAGACTTATTTTCAATTCCTATCATTGAGAGCCTAGGCTTATATTTTTAGTCAAATCATCATATAGCTATAGAAAGGTTTCACTAAACTCTATTAATTTTTTTTTATACTTTTTAGTGCATTCTTTTCATCTGTGATTGTGTGTGTGATTTGTGAATATAATAAAAGACTTTTTTCCAGAGGCGTAGCGACCCTTCCCGGCGCCCTGGGACAAACTTTCGATTTGCACCCCCCCCCCCCCCTCAAATTTTCGATTTGCACCCCCCTCAAGCATTCAATCTATTTTTCCAACCCATTTTGACGCCCCCTAAGGTCGGCGCCCGGGGACATATGTCGTCCCCCCCGCACCCCCCCCCCCCCCCTCGCTATGCCTCTGCTTTTTTCCTTATCAATTTTTATTTTGCTATGTTAGATTTATTAAAGCTTTCACTTTACAGTTTAGTTTATTCATCATTGAATTATTTTTTTAAAGATTTATTTAATGGCCATCTTTTAAATCAGACAATAGCAGAGGCTGGCACGTTAGGATTTGTTACAAGGTTAGTGGCGGTGTCGTGAGTTCATCGCTTGTGGCGCTGATGTATGTGTGTAGTGTGTAATAATGTATAAGTGTAGTGTGAGTGGTGTTGTAATGAGGCTGAGTGTTGTTCTTATGAGATTAAGTATGTGCTGTTGCTATGAGATTAAGTATGTGCTGTTGCTATGAGATTAAGTATGTGCTGTTGCTATTAGATTAGGTATATGCTGTTGCTATGAGATTAAGTATGTGCTGTTGCTATGAGATTAAGTATGTGCTGTTGCTATGAGATTAAGTATGTGTTGTTGCTATGAGATTAAGTATATGCTGTTGCTATGAGATTAAGTATGTGCTGTTGCTATGAGATTAAGTATGTGCTGTTGCTATGAGATTAAGTATATGCTGTTGCTGTGAGATTAAGTATGTGCTGTTGCTATTAGATTAAGTATGTGTTGTTGCTATGAGATTAAGTATGTGCTGTTGCTATGAGATTAAGTATGTGCTCTTGCTATGAGATTAAGTATGTGTTGTTGCTATGAGATTAAGTATGTGTTGTTGCTATGAGATTAAGTATGTGCTGTTGCTATGAGATTAAGTATGTGCTGTTGCTATGAGATTAAGTATGTGTTGTTGCTATGAGATTAAGTATGTGTTGTTGCTATGAGATTAAGTATTGTGTTGTTACTATGTTTTACTATGATTAAGTAAACAGTAATGCTTTAATTCAAATCGTGCTGTGAGTTTATTTTTAGTTCATATTTTGGGTTCAAATGATCAAACCGAGCTTGACTACATGGGGCATTGTGGCCGAGTGTTAGAGCGCCCGATTACTAGCCCGAAGGTCTCGAGTTTGGGATCTCACTCCAGGCTCATAACTGAAAGAGTCCTGGAGTCCACCCAGCTCTAATGGGTACCTGACTCACGCTAATGAAAATAAAGGCGGCTGAGAATAGTGCTGAGCACACTATCAATTTTTATGCCGATGTCAAGAAAATGAACTCTACTACTGCCCTATGAATTATGAGAGCTAAAACTAAAATTTTAATAATCACCACCAATTGTTTTTACCTTTATATGTCAACATATTCCAGTAAAGTATAACGAAATGTTACTTTTTTCAGCACTAAAGCCCAAGAAATCGTATTGATAGCTGCTGTCGCTACAGTGGTACGTCTAATCACCGAGATTCACTCGTTCAGTAATTAAATAGACTCGTACTTGCTGTGTAAATGATCATAATAAAGACAAACGTGTCGAAGATGTTAAAATATGACAACAAGGTTTTATTCAGTGACAAATAGAGTTGTCTAAAAACATTCAATGTTTATTCAATAGATTCTATGAGTCAAAAAATGGAAATGCTAAATGGTGTTACTAATATTATTGAATTCAACAAAACAAATATGGCCTTTTTTGTATTAGCTTTTTCTACTAGCCTTGATGCATATATGAATTTTGTCATTAGCCTCTTTATGGGGTGGGGGTAAAATATCACGCATCTCAAACACCTAAAAGCTGTTACAAAGTCAATAATAACAATGCTTTTACGCCAAATTTTTACCCCGAATCCGGGCCCAATTCACAGAAACAGGTTAACTCTACTTCAATAGACGTATAGACCATCATTTTCGAAAAGTGAACGCTACCTAACTAGGCATCTATTTTATATCTATATCTATATATATATATATATATATATATATATATATATATATATATATATATATATATATATATATATATATATATATATATATATCTCACATATATACTCACTTACAAAATGTAAATACAAATTGTGCAGGCATGTTTTTTCGTCCTGACGATTGCGGGAATCTGCTGTAAATTTGATTTCACTGGTTTCATGTCAGTGATGTTTGTCATCTTTCTGATGATCATGTTGTTTGGAATCCTTGCCGCCATCCTGCACTCTTACGTGAGTTAAGTCCCTTACACAATCCTTGCCGCCACCCTCCACTCTTACGTGAGTTAAGTCCCTTACACAATCCTTGCCGCCACCCTCCACTCTTAGTGAGTTAAGTCCCTTACACAACCATAAGTACCGGATAACTTAATGCTGAGGGCGTAGCTAGGGAGGGAGGGCAGACCCAAATGCAAGGAATCCCATGAATTGACCACCATGTTAGTAAAGCCATTTATTGAACTAAAAGCCAGTAAAAAGCCAGTAATCCCATAAATTTACCAACATGCCAGTAACCCCAAATATGGTCTAAAATCTAGTAAACCCATACCTTGACAAACATGCCAGTAAATCCATAAATGGACAAATGTGTTGTTTACTATTTGACTATGACAGAAGTCACTTTTAAATTTTTATCAGGAGATTTTTGCATGTATGCTTGCTAATATGGTGTGTACATATTCGGCTTTGAAAAAACACATTTTAGATATTGATTAACTAAATTAATAATAATAATAAAAAAATAAAAATAATAATACACGCTTTTATCAAAAACAGCAAACTGTTTAAGGTAACAATTAAAAAACGGGTTTTGTCTAACAGTTTACATATTGTTTTGTAAGTAAGACATGACATGAGACAATTCTAAAAAGAAATATCACTCACCTAGGTTCCTATTCTACGGTTGATCTACGCGTGTTTGGGTGCCCTCGCTGTGTGTGTGGTGAGTACACGGTTCTTATCTGGTATCAACAAAAGTTTGCTCACTCATTTTGGGATGACATTATATCTAGAAAAGTAGGTTTTTTTTCTGTTTAAAAAGACACTATTCTAAGAAAAGTGTTTTTTCCGTTAAAAATTATGTAAAATTGTGTGAATTTGCTAAATTTCTTTTTCAATTGGTATGCTCAATGCTTAAGAATTCTTGCCCAATTTCCCCGATATATATATATATATGTGTGTCACCCCCCCCCCTTCTGAGGCGTAGCGATCCTTCCCGGGGACAAACTTTCAAGTTTTCGATTTGCACCCCCCCCCCTCAAACTTTCGATTTGCATTCCCCCCCCCTCAAACTTTCGATTTGAACCCCCCTCAAGTTTTCTATTTGCACCCCCCCCCTCAAGTTTTTATCTATATATTTTGCTTTTTTTTTCCTTGGTGTCACCCCCCTAAATGGTGTCACCCGGTGCGGTCCGCACCCCCCGCCCCCCCCCTCGCTACGCCCCTGTATATATATATATATATATACTAGGCAAGCTGCACAGCTTCGCTTAGGCTTTCGAAAACATTGAGAATTTGAATGCTTAATTAATTCGCCCGAGGGTCGGTCTACGACCTCAGGAGTTATGAAGAGGTTCCTCCGTGGACATTTTTTTTCGATTTATAGCCCATATAAGGCGCCGGTCAGTCGAGGTCAGTATTGACCCCCTCATCGTAGACCTTTAGGCCAACCGGTTCCCGTGTTCTGTCGCCCCAAGGCAAAATCCTGCCAAATTTGAAGCGCCTGCGGCGCCGGAAAGTGGCCTGTCGGGCACCCGACAACTTTGCTTTATATATTATAGAGATTAGCAAATTGCATAGATAAACAAATATTTCAATAAAGTAATTAAGGCCTGAAATACTTTAGTATAGAAATGTATTATTTGAATAGATTCTAGATCTAGGTAGGGTCTACATCTGTGTAAGTCTAGTTTTTCCATAGATCTAGATAATCTAGATCTAGATCTAGAATCTCTAGATCTAGATGATCTAGAATCTCTAGATCTAGATCTAGATCTAGATGATCTAGAATATCTAGATCTAGAATCTCTAGATCTAGAACAGAGGCGTAGCGACCCTTCCCGATTTGCACCCCCTCGAGATTTTGATTTGCACCCCCCCTCAAACTTTCGATTTGCACCCCCCCTCGACATTTTGATTTGCACCCCCCCCCCCTCGAACTTTCAATTTGCACCCCCTCAACCTTTCAATTTATTTTTCCAACCCATTTTGGCGCCCCCTAAGCTCGGCGCCCGAAGATATATGTCCCCCCCCCGCCCCCGCCCCCGCCCCCCCCCCCCTCGCTACGCTACTGATCTAGAATCCAAATAGATAAAATAATTTTTTTAAGTTTAGGCCGAGAAAATCGTATTGTTTACATTTCATAGCGTACATAGCTCTAGATCATATTTGAATGAAATAGTTAATTTCTTTTTATTCTAAACTCGGAAGATGACGTCATCAGTTTCTTTTTTTTTCCTTTTTTCCTTTTTTTTTAAAAAAAAAGACGTCTTCAATTTCGTGCTCTTTTTTTAGTGTAAACAATAAGCGACGTCATTGTTAAATGCGTTCTTGTCCCAAGTTTAAACACTTTTCCGGTTGCATAATTAAAATTGTTTTTCTAAATTCGAATGCGCCTTTATTTTTTATTTTTCTTCTTTAAATAAAATTGTGGTTATACATTTAAAACATCTAACATATTACTTTCAACAAAAGTCCGTATAAAATTCTTCATATATCGCTGCAGTTTCTGATGTGATGTGAAAATATTTTGCGGACAGACAGAGAGAGAGAGAGAGAGAGAGAGAGAGAGAGAGAGAGAGAGAAGTGCGCACAGGGGCTATTATAAATTCGGCCTTTGGCCGGCCAGTCCGCGGACTGGCCATGGTGGACCGGCCAAAGTCTTAATTAGAAGATCTTCTGGCTAGGGACGACCGGCCAAAGTCCGAATTAGAAGATCATGGGCAGATTTTTTTTTTTAATGCCGTAAGGATCACAAAATTAAGTCTTTATTGATTATTAATTAAATTAAATGACAGAAACATTCAAATGTTTTATTGTACTATAGTCTCAATCTATCAATATCATCATTTGTTACAACAAGTTGAACTTTTATGGCATTTAGAATTACATAGCAGCTTGTTATTTTTACACTTGCAGCGATTTGTTGTGTACTTAGTTGTGCAATTGCAGCGAGTGTAGCCTTGGCCCCCAGTCAATGATTGTGAAGATGCGATGGTTCGTAGTGATTTTTCCTCAGTGCCAACTGACGACAATAAGAGCAGTTTTTCGTGAAGAATTGAAAACTCACTTCTAGCATACAGTTGTTTTAGAACACCATGTTCCGTTTCTAATTTGTAGAAACCGCCCTCGACGCTCATGACAACTGCAATCACGCTTCGGGGATCACCGTGACCTCTGTCAACATCTGGAAAACGGATGCGTGCATTGTCACCCACTTCACCATCTTTAAATTTTGTATTTGATGTTTTAAGCATCTTAGCACCTTGAGATTGCAAGCCAGTATGAGCTGCTGATCTGTGTTCCATGATGTCTTGTTTGTTGTGACACAATCTGCAGGCAATGTTCCCTCCGTACCCTTCGTCTGCTTCATTGGGCATTACACACATAGCATGGACATCGTTGCCACATGATCCACAAAAATGAGCTGCACTACAATGTTTTTCACAAACTAAACAGAATCTGTTGGCCACATTATTGTCACGCAACTGGTCTGGGCGTTCAGCCACGGCAGTAGATGTGTTAGCTGAGGATGTAGTTGCATTTATGGCAACCTCCATTTCTTGTTCAATGTTCTCAAGATCTTCCTCAGTAACTATTTTATTGAAAGCCTCTCTTGGTAGATTTGAAATGCTAAGTCCCACTTTTGCTTTGCATCCAAACAAGGCTTCGTATGGCGATTGTTGGATTCCTTGATGAAAAGAACGATTTTTCATAAATTGAATGAATTTGAGACTCTCAGCCCAATAAGCTGATTCATTTGTCTGCATCAATGTTATCATTGTGTTTTGAACATCTTGGTTGGCACGTTCGACTGAACCTTGGCTTTGGCTATGCCTTGGTTTTCCGTGAACTAGTTTAAGTTCAGGCCACATGTTCTTTAGTTCAGAAATAACTTGATTCACAAATTCTCTTCCATTATCTGATTGAAGCACACTTGGGGCACCAATAGTCGTGAAGATATCCAGCAGCTGGTGAGCAACTTCTTCTGCTCTTTTGGTTTCCAAAGCATGTGGTCGGTGACGCCGACTGTCTTTGATTTTGTTCTTTGATGATTGTCTCACCTCGTCATCATGGAGGAGGCTGTCACATACAGTTGTAGCCCATATATGGAAACTGACATGGATTTAAATTTTTTTCTTTTGACATCCAACTGCTATGTCTGTCTCATGGTCTGACGGCCCTTTTGATCCATGTCGCCTTGCATATAGAATGCTATACAAACGAGCTAAACAATACGTTACTCGCAATGAAACCGCACCCAGAATAATGAAAACGCGATCACAACTTAGTCTAGATAGAACATTGGCCAGGACATCCCGGCCAATGCGCGCATTGGCCGGCCAATGTACAAAATACGCTGTCAAGTTTAAGCACTTCGGACTTTGGCCAGTACGTCCCGGCTAGTGCGCGCATTGGCCGGCCAATGTACGAAATACGATCTTAGTTCTAAGTTCTTCGGGCTTTGGCCAAGAGAGCCGGCCAATCCGCGCATTGGCCGGCCAATCCGGGGTTTGGCCGCACTTCGGGCTTTGACCGTAACATATATATATACATATATATATACATACATACACATATATATATATATATATATATATATATATATATATATATATATATATGTATATATATATATATATGACTTGTTTTAATATTAGTGTATGTGTGTGTGTACTTGTGTACATGCGTGTGTGTGACTCGTGAGGCCACTCATCCTGTCTTACATTGGAATTGTGCACAAGACGTCTCGTAACACACAATTAGCGAACCAGTCCATTTTTCTGTTCTATTGTATATTATCAATTTCTCACTACATTTTCATCAATTTCTTTGTTCCACTGCCATATAATTAATTACACTATAGTACATTATAATCAATTTCTCATCAATTTTCACTCAAATATAATCAATTACTATAATCAACGAGTTCCAGTACATTATCATCATATCATCGATTTCTCTCTTACAGTACATTACCATCATTTCATCAATTTCTCTCTTCCAGTACATTATCATCAAATCCAGAGTTTCTTCCAAGCATCTCGTTGGAGGGCAAAGCCCCCCCCCCCGGAAATTTTTTACCGCCCCTCCCCCCCCCCCCCCCCGAACGAAATGAAATTTATATAATTTATATAGAAAATATATTCTTTTAACAGTGTCCCCCCCCCCCCCGAAGAAAGCTTACCGCCCCCCCCCCCCGAAAATGTCAAGTACCCCCCCCCCCCCCCCCGGAGAAAAAAGTCTGGAAGAAACACTGATCATATCATCAGTTTCTCTCTTCCAGTACATTATCATTATATCATCAATTTCACTCTTACAGTACATTATCATCAATTGCATTCTAGTACATTATCATCAATTTCTCATCAATTTTCACTACAATATAATCAATTACTATAATCAATTAGTTCCAGTACATTATCATCATATCATCGATTTCTCTCTTCCAGTGTTTTATCATCATATCATCAATTTCTCTCTTCCAGTACATTATCCTCATTTCATCAATTTCTCTCTTCCAATAGATTATCATCATTTCATCAATTTCTCTCTTCCAATAGATTATCATCATTTCATCAATTTCTCTCTTCCAATAGATTACCATCATTTCATCAATTTCTCTCTTCCAATAGATTACCATCATTTCATCAATTTCTCTCTTACAGTACATTATCATCATATCATCAATTTCTCTCTTCCAGTACATTATCATTATATCATCAATTTCACTCTTACAGTACATTATCATCAATTGCATTCTAGTACATTATCATCAATTTCTCATCAATTTTCACTACAATATAATCAATTACTATAATCAATTAGTTCCAGTACATTATCATCATATCATCGATTTCTCTCTTCCAGTGTTTTATCATCATATCATCAATTTCTCTCTTCCAGTACATTATCCTCATTTCATCAATTTCTCTCTTCCAATAGATTATCATCATTTCATCAATTTCTCTCTTCCAATAGATTATCATCATTTCATCAATTTCTCTCTTCCAATAGATTACCATCATTTCATCAATTTCTCTCTTCCAATAGATTACCATCATTTCATCAATTTCTCTCTTACAGTACATTATCATCATATCATCAATTTCTCTCTTCCAGTACATTATCATTATATCATCAATTTCACTCTTACAGTACATTATCATCAATTGCATTCTAGTACATTATCATCAATTTCTCATCAATTTTCACTACAATATAATCAATTACTATAATCAATTAGTTCCAGTACATTATCATCATATCATCGATTTCTCTCTTCCAGTGTTTTATCATCATATCATCAATTTCTCTCTTCCAGTACATTATCCTCATTTCATCAATTTCTCTCTTCCAATAGATTATCATCATTTCATCAATTTCTCTCTTCCAATAGATTATCATCATTTCATCAATTTCTCTCTTCCAATAGATTACCATCATTTCATCAATTTCTCTCTTCCAATAGATTACCATCATTTCATCAATTTCTCTCTTACAGTACATTATCATCATATCATCAATTTCTCTCTTCCAGTACATTATCATTATATCATCAATTTCACTCTTACAGTACATTATCATCAATTGCATTCTAGTACATTATCATCAATTTCTCATCAATTTTCACTACAATATAATCAATTACTATAATCAATTAGTTCCAGTACATTATCATCATATCATCGATTTCTCTCTTCCAGTGTTTTAACATCATATCATCAATTTCTCTCTTCCAGTACATTATCATCATTTCATCAATTTCTCTCTTCCAATAGATTATCATCATTTCATCAATTTCTCTCTTCCAATAGATTATCATCATTTCATCAATTTCTCTCTTCCAATAGATTACCATCATTTCATCAATTTCTCTCTTCCAATAGATTACCATCATTTCATCAATTTCTCTCTTACAGTACATTATCATCATATCATCAATTTCTCTCTTCCAGTACATTATTATCGACACACAATTAATAATGGGCGGCAAGAGACACCAACTTGAACCGGAAATGTACATTCTGGCCGCCATCTTGCTCTACATAGACCTCGTCATGTTGTTCATGTACATTCTGGAAATAGCCGAATATTCCAAGGATTAAGGCCACCAGTTCAAATAGATTCAAAGGATTAAGGCCATCACTTAAAATAGATTTTTAAAAAAATGTACATTTAAAAACAATTTTCTGTTTACAAAAACATTTAGAATGTTCCCTGCTAACGGTATTTAAAGATCATGATTTAAATGTAAAATTGAGAAATTTTTTTTTTTTTTTGGAAATATTACTTCTTATTATCGAAAAGAAAAAAACATCTATCCCATAAGAGCACTTGTAAGTGTTAAATTTGTATTAAAAGTATCTTCACAAAATTATAATGTGTGCACATACATTGCCTGTAACTATAGTTGTTAATGATTTGAAAAAAAAGTTATTAGATGAATGTATTTTATCAACCAATAAAACTTGCGCGACAACTCAAAGTTTTCTTTGTTTTAATTTTCGTTTGTAGGTATTTTCATGTTAATAATTATTTACGTTGTGCTAAATTTTACAAAGAAAATCTAATCTTTAAAACTTGTTATTTAATTAACTATATAATTCAGTTTAAATGTTGATTAAAACAATAAAAAATTTATAATTTAACATATTGTTAAAACCTTCGCTTCCATGAAAATTAAATGCATATGAAATCGAACAGATTCTATTAGCTTATTGAGAAAAATGTTTTTGTTATTTATTTGATGTTTTAAATAGAATTTGTTGGCTTCCAATCTTGGATTTTCGTAACTCAATGCAGATTCTACATGTTGAAATTGCAGAGGGTATATAAATTTCGGGGATTTCCAATTGTCCCCACCTACAGTACCTACATTGCACACAATGGCACAAAATCGCACCAGTGAGAAACAAGTTAAAAACAGAAAGAAGCGGAAGACTGTGTTTTGACAACTTTGATAACTCTTTATTACTTGATGAAGTTGTTAGCTCCGCTTATAAAAGTCTTCTAGCTTCTTTTTGGTTAGTTGACTTCTTCTTTTGATTATCGATAATAGGTCTGAGTTTAATCACCATGTACCCAGTTTTAGCATTGTTTATTTTATAGCAGTAAAGTTGTAAAATGGACCCTAATGTAAAGTCTCGAATGTTCCATTTATTAAAATTAAATATTGAAAAATCGTGTGCAACGTTAAAATATTTGTCGTTATAATAACGTGGTTGTTTGACTTTAGACGGAATTTACAAACTACGCAATTGACTTTTTTTTAGTATTTCACTTTTAGGTGAGTAGGCTCACTAGGTTCCTTCTGTCCCACATGTGGCTCCAGGCGCCACACCCCGGCACACCGCCTCAGCCAGCGGACCAAACCACATGTGGGGGTGGTGCTAAAGCGACATCATTAGGTGTAGGGCCTTCTAGTAAAGGTCACCGGCCAGAGAGGTGACACTACAATGTTGCCCCTACTATCCAAAGTGACCCTACAATGTTGTCCCTACTATCCACAGTGACCCTACAATGTTGCCCCTCCAATGTTGTCCCTACTATCCACAGTGACCCTACAATGTTGCCCCTGCTGTCACTCCTCCGCCCACACAAAAGAATCTGCAATGGCGGCTACTACACGCAGGAGGAAGAGCGCGCTATGGGCAGCCAGACCAGGCTGGAACCGACCCAGGGATCCGGTGCCTCTGCTCCCAAGCCGACGTCAGAGGCCATCAGGCAGCAGGGGGGACGGCACCATCAGGCAGACGCCAGCCAGGAATGTGCCGCACCAGGAGACAGGCAACATCTAGAACCTTCGCACGGTGATGGGAAGGAGGGCGGGGGGACGTCGGGTCATGATCACAACAGCAGCGCCAGCGGCCAAGGTAGGTTCAGGTAGGTCAAGGTAGGTTTTTGTAGGTTCAGGTAAGTGAAGCCCGGTCCTTTTCCATTGGGTTAAGGGGTTCATCCGTTAATGACGTCATACCCCTAAAAAATGCTGCTTTTCCAAAAGTTGGAATAACTTAAACTAAAAGTATTATACTGAATTTACAGTTGGAAATTTCAATATTTATAATGTAGTATAATATATTTACAAATTGTGTAACTATAGCCTATAATTGTAACAAATATTCTGCTCCGAATGTACCATACTCGTTTTAATTCTAGTTAAACTTATTGTGAATTAGCAACTGAATACTACTGACACATTTTAGGGCGTTACTAATATTGAAAACTATTTTTTTTCTCTTACCCCAGGATATCAGCCTGTTTCCGGCACCCAACCCCCTCCCACTAACCAACCCCCTCCCGCCTATCAACCTCCCCCTGGTTATCAACCACCGCCCGGGTATCAACACCCCCCTCCGATGTACCAACAATCCCAAGGAGACCATTACCCCCCTCAGGGATACCAACCACCACCCCCGGGATATCAGCCTCCACCCCCGGGATATCAGCTTCCACCCCCGGGATATCAACCTCCACCCCAGGGGTACCAGCCTCCACCCCAGGGGTACCAGCCTCCACCCCCGGGGTACCAGCCTCCACCCCAGGGGTACCAGCCTCCACCCCAGGGCAACCAGCCGGCCCCCCAGAGCATCTACGTGTCCTACCAGGGTCAGCAGAACGATGCCCTACAGGACCCCCAGACCAGGATCCTGGGGATCGTCCAGACGGTGCACCAGGTGCCCACCTCCAACGCCAAGGACATTCCCGTGTACTGCCAGGAGACGACGGTAACGTGTTTCTTTCAGATATTTTATTTTTATTGGAGGGGGGGGGGAGACTTGAAACATACAGGGATGGGGGGGGGGGGAATGTAATAACAATTGTTGTCACCCAGTGTTTCTTTCAGAATTTTTTTCTCGGGGGTTGGGGGGGGGGGGGGATAACTTGAAACACGGTAACTTGTTTCTTTCAGACATTTTGTTTTATTGGAGAGTGACTTGAAACATACAGGGTTGGGGAGGGG